CCAAGTATGTATAATCATTAGTAGTTGTTCTCCATTACAGTAAAATTGCTCATTTCTTGTTTTATTGCCGGATACAATAAGTACTTTGCTCTTGGAAGTATTGATCTCCATGCCCTTACTCAAAAGCTCCTCCTCCCGCCACTGAGTTGTTGCAGTTTCTCTTAAGAATCTGCAAGTAGCACAATATCATCTGAGAATAAGTAGCATTTTGTGAGGATTGTCCTGAGATTCCACTTTCCTATCAATGTCCAAGATGTACTCCTTTTGTAAATCTTATGGATCTCATCCATCAGTATTATGAAGAGAAGGAGGCTCAAGCTATTGCCTTGTTTAACAGAATGGTTCAGATGCTTGACCATTTACACATACAATACCTTTCGGTTCTTGATATGTAAACTTTATAGCATCTGTCATACTTTTAGGAACTTGCTTTAGCTGGAAACACTCCCACAAACGTTTCCTAGGAACAGAATTAAAAGGCGATTTCAGGTCATTCAAGATAGACGTTCTTATCTCTCTTCCATGACTTTTCAATATATTTTTCTAGATAAAAATATTATCTTGTGTTTGTCTTTCTGGGCAGAAACCAGCCTGTTCCTCTTCCAAGTCACCCTCTACTATTTCTTTTAGCCTAAACTGGACGATAGATGTATATATTTTGTATATATGTATACTGAAGAGAGACAAGAATTTTTCTTTGCTTCATGAAAAATTATCACCGTGTATCATCACTTAAAACCTTTACCAACTCCGATCTGAGCTAATTATAAAATGTATGTGAGAGATGAATAAATATTAAAAACATAATAATTTCACCCATAGTAATAATTCAATTTTTCCAAAAATGTCACTATCACCTTTACCCACTTGACCCTTAATTTGTAGGAAACAAAAACATATGGATTGAAACAACAGCTGTTTATTTTTATATTAACAAAGAACATACATGTACCTTGGAACAAAAAAGAACAAATGCTTGAAACTTAATGTTAGACTTCAAAACATAATTTCCATTTTCAAAAATAATAAGATAATGATCAATTTTAGAAATGCAACTAGCCGAGTCAATGAAGAAATAATAATATTGGTTTAATCAAATATGAAAGGTGAAGAAGAGAGAATAAAAATTTGGAAACTTGCCAACGTTCAATACTCACCATAAGTAGCAAATCCTGATGTTTAGGAGAACTGCACAAAATAAATCATTGTAAGATATAAATTAACTGTTAAAAAGACCAATGTCCTCCTATCATTAGTTAGCCTTCATGGCTGATTGTGGGAGAACCTTTTAACTATTACTGTACTGTGTGTTAAGCGTATACCTTATCCTGATTTTTTTTGTTTAGTTAACTCAAATATCAAAATCTAGAACATTGGCCATTTTTGATACAAGGTACAGATATAAAGATAGACAATAACTTTCTAGATGACCACTACAAAAGATTATACCTAAACTTACTACAATCTAAATTATAAACTTAAAAATAATTGACAAATGTTTAGTAAACAATTAGAATCAAGATCCTTGTTTCAATAAATATTTTCAAAACAATTCACGTCATGTCCATACAAACATAGAGAACCACAAAAATGAGTTAATGAAGGCGAAAAGGAAAAATAGTATCAAAAACTAGATGATAACGAGTTTTATTGAAGATATAAATTAAAATATCTCAGTAACTGAAAATCAGACCTGCATACTGTAAACAAGGGAATTGTTCATCATTTCATCCTATCTGTAATGGGCTATTATTCAAAATTATACTTTAATGCGACACCATGTTAGAGAGGCGAAAAGGGAAATGAATACCACAAGTTTTATTGAAGATATGGATTAAAATACCTCAGAAACTAAAAATCGGACTTGCATACTGTAAGTGGAGAAAATTTTCAATATTTCATCCTCTTTATAATGAGCTATTGTTTATAATTTATATTTTATATTATCAATCTCGACTATTTAACATTTTCACTTCTATCATGTGGTCTAAACCACACACCTTACACAACTAAATAATACGTAAATAAATATTTATCTACAAATAGTATAGAATAAAAATTATTTTTATATGAAATTGGTGGAATCATTCATCATTTATATTAAATCAATTTTGCACAACATTGATAGTTATTAATTTAAATTGGACTAAAAAATGACAAGATTGATTTGTAAGGAATAAATGAACATTAATTAACACATAATTTTGGAAAATAATAAGATGATGGTCAATTTTAGAAATATAACTAGCAGAACTGATAAAGAAAAAAATATAATATTGATTCAATCAAATGTGAGTAGAAGTTTGGAGACTTGCCAAAATTCAACGACAACCACAAGTAACAAATCCTGACAGTTTTTTTACGCAATAAGCCAACTTTCAAGGTAAAATTAATTTTGACTATCTTCATTTTCAAATAATATAATAAGAATTATAGTATCTATCAAATTGTTATTTGCTTATGATTTAATATTTTTAATCGATATAAATATTTATAAGCATATAACTAGTTTAAAAAATAATTATAAAAGAAAAATATATATTGCAGAGAAATATTTTATAGTGGAATGAAAACAACAGATCAGTTTTATTTCAACAAATGTCTGAAATTTTAATAAAAATATGTTTCATGGGTTTCCACAAATACACTATTTCAAATATAAAAAAATACAGAAAAGGATAATAATATTTACACATAAATAGTAGCATTACGGCCCTATAGCTAAACTGATTAAATTAGATGAATGAAAAAAACTTTATAAATTTTTTCATGGAGTCAGAAAGGAACAATCAAAACTGTGACAAGAATATATAGGGACTCATATTGTCAATACTGTTTTTAATATGCCATACTGCAACTGTATCTACAAATAACTGGAGTGTCTGGCAAAACTTAACAAGGAGGCCTTAAGATAAAGGTGGATTATTGTGTTAATATACAGAAACAAATATGTATGTTTTAATTATTATTATTTTTTTTTTTAAGTTTTGAAAATAGCTTTCTTAAATAATATAATGTTGTTAGAAGAATCAATGGTTTATTGTATAATCAGTAATTATAAGACAAACATTTAGAGTATTATAAATAATAATGAAAAACAAAATCATGATAGATGTTTAAAAAAATAGAATCATGATTTAAAAAATTATACAAATATATACCTAAGTACATCAGAAATAACCCTCTATCTGATTTCATATTCATTCACTTTAATAATAAATTACTATCAGCATATAAAATGAAGATTTAATACCTCAAATGCTGCTGAAGGATACACCAATTTTGGCCAAGATATTCCAGAAAAAAGTCTATGCCAAGTAACAAATGAAAATGGTAAATACGGGTACAGGGCGTACACCTGGGTACTTTGAATAATTGTAGACATCAAATCATGAAAACAAAACCAGCTTAATCCAACACAAACCTAGAAAATCAAAATAATTAATATATATATATATATATTTAATACAATAAGGAAAAAAACAACTTAATTTAGACAGTGACTATGTTCCTTATGAATAAATAGCAAGAATGAACAAAAATCACTTATGGTCAATTATCAATACATAAAACCTATACATAATCAGTGCTGGCCTTAGGAACTTTTTTCTATTTTTTGTGAATATCTCAAAAAATACACAATATATTCCCAATATTAAATGCTGTGATTTATTTATTTTTCTCTAGTAATTTATATTTATTTAAAAACAAAGAGTTATTACACAAATTCATTAACAATTTAAATACAAATAGTTTCAGATATTATTTTTTCTTTCAAAAATGAAAGAACGTATATTTGTAGTAGGTGAAGTACGAATGAAAATTTTACTTTAAATATTTTTCGGTTATTTATGAAAATCATTCATTCTTAGTTCTGAGGTATTTACTTATCTTCTGTACACATCTGGTATTATCTTATTATTTTACATGATTACAGTAATGTTGATTCCACATTTAAACGAATATTCTTCATATTTCATCATATTTAAAAACTGAAATATAAACGAGAAAAAAAGTAAGACGATTGATTTGGCAAAAAGGATCGGGAGGCCTCCTTATCGGATTCGTCGCTCCTCCCCTCTCCCCCAACTTTACCTGTACCAGTAGACAGTTTTTATAAAATTCTAAACAAATATTTAATTTTTTTTAAATAAAGCAAAAGAACAAAATATGATGAATATGGATTCAAGGAAACAGTGACACATTATATATTAAACTTGTAAAATGATATAAAAAATAGAATATATATATATATATATATATATATATATATATATATATACAGATCATGGAGCAATACACAGATTTCATGAAAAAATAAAAATAAGCCTTCCAACTCTAACCGATACCTTACAAATACTTTAATTATGCAGTCTAATTCTAAAACCTATTGAAAAATTTTGAGATGACTGGATAAAGATAAATAAATAGACACTTAGCATTAACAGAACAATTTTGAGAATTAATGGGATTATTTTTAACAAAAGAATATAAAAATTCTGGAATGAAAACTTAATTAAGTCACTGCCATATCATCAAATGTAAACAATAATAAATGCACAAGAAAAAAACATTTCTTATTCAAATTCTAATGTAATACTTTCAACAATAAAAAGTATTTTATTAATATTAATTTCTAAAGTAATTATATTCCTATTTTATTTATTTGTTATTCTCTTAGAAATATAATGAAAACTAGTTTAATTGGGAACCAGAGTAAACAATAAACATTGACATTTTTCGCCTCACATTGTATTTTAAATTATTTAAGGTTAATTATAAATTTGTGTGCTTATGGATTTAAGATAATTATTTAGGAATCCACGTTAGTAAGATGAAAAAAAAGAAAATTAGAAATGAATTTAAAAACTAATAACACATGTCAATATAGAATTTATTTAACAGACATTAATTAGGAACGATCACTTTTCTTTTTAGCAAGATTGAAAAAAATTAAGAAAACATACATAAGCATTATTGAGTAACCATATGATTGCCTGCTAATTTTAAAGCCTTCCAACTTGTATCATATGTAGTTCTTTAGGAAACTTATTATAAAATATTCTCGATCAATCAAGGGTTCTAACATTGAAAGGATAAGTTAAAGATCTCAATTTAAAGTTTTAAACCATAAAATTATCATTTGAAATTATTATATTATTAACAAGTTTGAGGCTTGATGAATACTTCAGGTTTAAGCAGGTGATGAAACCATACCGTAACTGTAATAAAGATTAACGACTACTAATTTATTAAATGATACTTTTGAACATGATTATATTTTGGTATATGCTAACTTATCAAAAATGGCTTTCTTCAATAATTATTCTTTTAATAGTGAAAGGCCTTTTCCTATATTTTTCTAACCCCTACGCACATATTCAGGTAAATCATATAAATATTAAGCTATGTATAATAAATATATTTTTTTTCACATGAGATTTATTGAACTAGGAAAAATAAACAGTTTATAAAACATATGATTCCAAACTTTTTTTTTTCCTATCCATTTTATTTTATATTGATATAAGTTATCTTCAAAATACAGAAAAGTTTAATATTGTTATTTCCAGAAAAGAAGAAAATTATTATGGATTGCTATTTAGCAGCTTGGTGATGACATGAGGATAAAGAAGCTTAATAAAATTGATGGTGCACTAAAAAGCTTATTCGAAAATCATAAGATGTGTATTACATTGATGATTACATCCTTAGCAACAACGCTCTGTAAGTTTACAAAATATATAAGAACTAAGAACTATTTTACTTGATATAATTTTTATAATAAATTTATGAGATGTTTAAAACAAAAAGAAATAACTCCATTTAATTTTTTTAAGTCTATTTTTGAAAAGTTTATAGCATAGCTATAATAAATATTTACTGGAAAGTTAATTTTTACTGCTAAACATAAAGTTACAAAGGCAGACTGAGATGTCAGAAATCAGTTCTATCGATAGCAAACCAAGTAGGTTTTTTTTTTTTTTAATTTAAGAAATTGGAGTTATCTTATTCTTAATAGACATCTCATAACGTTAGTTTATTGAAAAAAGTCACTAAATACAATTTTGATTGAGCTATTACGTTAAGTACTTAACAATAAAAAAGCTGATAAATTGCATCATAATAACACCAACCCAAATGTATGTCAAAAGTAGTTTCATTAAGGGCACAAAGTTCTGATTTAAAAGAGTGAAAATTCATCAAATTACTTAATGATTTTTTTCAATAAACTATATTGTAATTTTAAAAAACTATTATTTTAATTTTATTCATTTTGCTGTTTAGGCTTTGTTTTAATGATAGATTATCTTAAAAACAAAATGATTGTAATTTTGTATGGTATCATTAAATATCTGAAATCGTTAAAGTTCTAACTGGCTTATAGTAGAGATATAGATGTTGCTCAGCTCTTAAAACTAGAGAAAGTGATAAAAACATCATATAAAAATGGAGGGGAGCTGAGCGGAAAGAATTATAAAATTCTTGCATATGCAAATGATATAGCAGTCCTTGGAAGCAATCAAGAGGATGTTGAGAAACTCCCTAAGATTCTGATACATAAGCAGAACAAATCAGCCTAGAAGTAAATGAAAATAAAATAAAATATATGATAAGTCAAGATTCCACCCCAGAAGAAAGGTCGTTTCAGAGAAAAGACAAATTGTAATACCTCGACTTCTCAAAAACCTCAATGAATGACCAACAGTCTGAAATAGACCAGCATACAACAAGCGTAAGCAGAGGTTTTTTTTCTCTCTTTCAAAGGTATTGAAATTCCAAAAAATCTCAAATTAAAGGAGTACAATGCGATGATAAATCATGTTCTTGTATACGGCTGCCAGATCTGAACACTAACCAGTACTAGAAAGAAGTATTGAAAGATTTAAGAAACCGGAGCGATCTAGCATCAGAGTACTAACTAAGGTATGAAGGAGAAGGACCAATAAAGAGCTGCTTATAGAAACTGGTCAATCAATATCTCATGATGTGAAGGCAAGGAGATTAAGATGGGTAGGGCATGTAGCTCGGCACAATCCATTTGGAAGCCTATAAAATTAAGGCATTATTAGTAGGCAAAAAGCAGGATAGATTAAATCAACAATGATACTATAGAGCTGCATGCAGAACAATGGAAAGAAATAGCCCAAGACAGGATAAGCCAGTTCATTGATTGATTGAGTCATTGGAGGCAGCAAAAGATCTACAATGTCTGCGATGCCAACAGAAAAAAAAAATCGAGTATTTAAAAACTTTTAAGGATTGTTGTTTTTCAGCAAGAACAATCCAGTCACTGATAATTATACACTATTCAGTGAACTGAACATTTTTCATTAAATCTGGCAATAGTGTATTTAAAAAAAAATTAAATAAACTAATTTGTAGTTTCTAATATGTAATACTCTCATATTTTTAATTTAAACAAAATAAAATTTATATAATGTATCATTAAATAATGTAAAAATACTTTTATCAAAGAAATAATAATTTATAAATGAACCTAACTTGGTGGAATTGACAGAACCACAAATATCATTGAAAAAAAAGTTGCAAATGAATGCACTCTTTACAATAAAACAGATTTATTCTCATTTTCATGCTACACAAGTAAATAGGAAACAAATATATATATATATATATATATATATATATTATAAGCCCACAAATGTTAGCAGTCATCAAACTACTATTACTTCTTTCCAAGCTCTAGCTTTCAATTTTTTATTTGTGCAAGAGATAATAAGTCACAGGTTACAAATATTATTCACGTACAGTGTAACCAGCTCCTTATATCTTTTAAAATCTGATATTTCCATCAGATAGGTGATTTTTTTTATTGGTTTTATTGATGACAGAATTAAAATTAATAACAATTAATATTCGATAGAACCAAATGCTTACACAGGACACATAAAATTAAATTTAGCTCCTGATTTGTGGAAAAGTGATCTAATGGCCCTATACTATTCAATCTTAATCCTTCATGTCATATTGTAATATTCTTCAATTTTTAATATCTTTAAATTAACCTGTTATTAATTATTTGATGTTATTATTAATACAAAATTTTATTTTATTATTTTATAATCATTCATAGAAAATATATATGAGCTTTTTTTGTTTAGTTATGTATATATTCACAAGTGTAATTGTTAAACATTATTTCTCAATGGCGTTTTATTTTTGTAAGTATTAGTCATTTCATAATACTTAATACTTCATTATAACTAATGATCAAGCCATCATTTTGAAGATTACTACAAAATGTTCTTTTGAAATTCCAATCATATATTTACAATGTTGTGAGACTTGTATATTTTTATACCTGATTTCTACATTCTAATAAATATAAAATATACTTTATTAATAAATACTTGCATTAACTTATTTATACACTTTATTATTTTTAAGTGACTGAAAAATATGTCAAGTGAACTATTTGTATGGGACATGTAGTATAAACTAATAGTACTTATTTAAAATTATATACTTAAAAAAAATGTAATTGTGAGTGTATGTGAGCAAATATTTAATTATATTGAAAGCCATATTTAAACTTTTCCCAGCAAAAACTCTTAATGCAACTAGATGAAACTTAATAGGAAATATACATTTAATAAAGAGAATTGAATCTAGTTCTACCATGAATCACTAACAATATGTAGTTGCAGTAAGGAAAGAGAAAAAAAAGTCGAGAAAGAGTTCAGAAATAAAGAAGCCTCATTCCTTTGTTGATGTTCAGATGATTACCTTAAATAACAAGGTTAAAAGAAAAAACATCAACAATAACGATATCAGCAAGACAACCCTTAACAAGCAGCTCTTAAAGACTTGTTGATAATGTGATTGCGATGTAACTTTAATGTTGAAAAGAAATGAGTTAAGTGAAACGTCAAATCGAATAAAACTTAAAGTGTGTTGTAAACCAATATAACGACTAAATAAAGAAGATCTGATTGAATTAAACTTTCATTATTTAGTTATGTACAATAGTAAAAGATGTTCATAAAAAACTTTTTCCTAGCCATATTAGTATTTCTTCTTTTCTTAAGAACATTTCTGCTTTCAAAATAATAAAAGTTAATCAAATAAGTTTTAGTTAAAGAATTTATACCAACATAATTATACCGTAGATTCTAGAGCATTTGTTTATATTGTTTAACAATGTTTATTTTTTTAAACAAAACATTCCATTTGTTCCAAGAATAAGGCAACGCAAATATATTTTTATCATCTGAATAACTAATATAAATCATAATAGAACTTGTTCTAGTATTATAAAAATATTGTGAATTATATGTTTATTTTCTTTGATTGAAATATGAACTTAATCTTAAATATTGAATTTTTATTATAAGTCACTAGCAATTCCATAAATCTATTTAGTTCAATAACAATCTACGAAAGGTTTAGAAGGCATTGGTAGGAAAGATAACTGATTTGAAACTTATATTATTATTCTTTTTGGTTGGTGTTTGGTTAGCAGTTAGAGCCTAATTTATGCCACTAGCTGATCCAGGATTTAATTTTGGGGGGGCTTCAGCCCGAAATTGTTTTTTTTTTCATATACAGATAACGATAATTAATTAGAAAAAAAAAGAAGAAAGAAATTAACTACCTATATGAAATGGTGTTCAAGTAGTTCTTGAAGTCCTATTAAATGTGATTACACGAACGAGAATACTTTAAGAGATAGTTTTTAATATTTTTTTCTGTAAAACATAGTTATATTTTATCATTTTTTTGGGGGGGAGGGGGCTCAGCCCGAAAGCTTGATTACTATGATTTAGTTGAACATATTCCACTACAACTGAGAAGGGACATGTGGCTTCAATTGGATGGTTGTCCTGCACATCACGGAAGAGGTCCACGACAATGGCTAAATGTTAATTATTCTATAGCAGGACCAGTGGCTTAGCCTCCATACTCTCCAGACCTGACATCACTGGATTTTTTTTGTTTGGGGTGACATTAACCAAAAAGTCTATGCAAGTCCAGTCAATAACCTTAATTCCTTATGAAGAAGGATAATTGAATCTTGTAAAACACTAACACATATCCAGTGCCGTTCTGCCACTGCTGCTGTTGAAGAAAGATGCTGTCTTAATGCTCAAGGAAATCACTTTGAACAATATTTAATATGAATTTAATGTTTACGTTTAATTAATAAAGTAGTTGTAACAAATAAATAAGTTTTATTTACTTAATATAACGTAAATAATTCATAACAATGAAAATCTTTAGGTATGAATATCGTCTGAACAAAGCTTTTGCGGACATATCTTCATAGGAATTTTTTTTTTTTTTTTTTGAGGTCCTTAATTCATATTTTCAGTTTGGCCACAATCCTGAAACACGCTGTATACTTGTTTTTTAGAATAAATAAATAAATATTGTTTGAAACATTTCAAGTATATTATTTTTAAAAATGAACTTAAACTGAATAAAAATGAAGATTATATTTTAAATGAAATTTGATCGGGAAGCAAAATTAACCCCTTCCCACAAGATTCAACAATGTTTCTAAATCCAATTATAAAATAAAATCAATCCATCTGTTCTTGGTTTTCTTCCGAGACTTCTGGGCCAATTTTTTTTTGCAGATTGGGTATCAATAACATGTCACCACAGGGTGACCCACGGAACTCAACACTATTTTATTTTCTAATGAAGACGGAGGAAAACTATACAGTGTTATTGAATTATAACAAAGCCAGGGTTGGGATCCAAACAACTTGTCTTTTTGTTTTGTTTTTTAATATTAGGGTTATCTATTTGGAAATAATAAACCATTGTATACTAATTTACAGTGTTAATAAATTAATAATATCCACACCCGATTCAGCTAACATTATAAATTAATAGTATTATAAAGAATTTTTGCAAATTTTAAAAATTTATGAATAATATTAACAGTACAAGCTTATTTTCTGTTCTGATAAATTACCTAACTACCCAATAAACACCTCTTATGTACCACTGGGCTTTTTTTTAGTAAATAAACAAATATGTTCAATTTTACAGTGGTTCAAATATGGCTGTTTAAAGTGTTAAACCATTCACAAAATTTTTATTCAAATCAAACTATTCTAATATTTTTATTATTTTCTACACATTTTAGAAAATAAATCACAAAATGTAATAAATAATAATATAATCTACAATCCCTTCACTCCCTGGGGAAATTCGTTAAATGAAATATTATTATTATTGGGAAAAGCCATTAAAGAACATTTTACAATATATCATTATATAGTGAGCGGAGTAGCTCAGTGGGTGGGCACTAACTTCCAGACCTTCAAGGTCCCAGGTTCAGATCTGAGGTCGGGAGACCCTCCTGGGGCTGTCCCAGCCTCTATAAAGTGTGGGTACTCTTAAATAGTTAATTAAGGGGAAAAACTTGACGGTTGAGTATGATATCGGTCCAATCACCTCCTCGTACAACTGTTGGCCTTGTAACAGTACTTCATCACATTGTACTGAACCCAAGACCCTTCATGGGTTGTTAGTGGTACAGTTTTATATCTTTATGTACTTAGATGAAATTTTCCTCTCTGAAATCAAAGCATTGTGCATTTGAGTTGTACTATTTTGATAAATTGTTTGTTATTTCGATGCATTTAGTGAGTTCTGACATTGATATGTAAGATCAAAATTCACAAATATATACTTAAATAAGCTCCATCATAAATGTACTTGGTAGCATTTTGCAATCAGCCCCACAATGTACTAAATTGTGAATTTGAACAACACAAATGTATTTGATATGAAACTTTTGTTGTTAAAAATGAAATTCATAAGGAAATATCTTTCCACATCAATCATAATGGGTTTTCCTCTTGATTTAAAGAAACAATTGAGTAGCGTAAAACTCCTAATACTTCTATTTTATCATTGTATATACCTATATTTAATCAATCAGTTATTGTTATATAAAAATTTATATATGAAAACAAAAGTAACAGGACCAATTTTAATGCTACACGGAGATATGTTGAGGATTAAACTATTTTATTAGCCATATTTACATTTTGATTTCCACTTCCTCACATTGTTAAAATTAAAATCTCAATTTATATTACAAAAATTATGAAATTTTATTATAAGCCAACGTGCATTATATTTCATAATTATATTCAGTATATGATGCTTCTAATTTATCAATAACAAGCGCATTAAGTTCCATTTTCGTTGTGCATTAAAAATAAAATAATTCAGTTTAGGTTTCTTGGAGCTCACATTAGTTGATATATATATATATTATTAAAATAAGCAAAAACATTGTTTGTTTTATCTAGATTGTAAAAAAATTCTCACACTAAGTAAGTATAATAATTCTCGTTTATTTCTTTAGACTTCAATACATTTCTCAACTGAAGCTATTTAACTTTCTAATAATGTATTAGGTCTTTTCAACTTCTTGATTATATTTACTACTTTTAATTTACTTTTCATTTTTCTGAAAATAGATAAATTTTCAATTTATCTTCAATATACTTTGCTTACTTCAGAACTAGTATGATATTAATTTTGCAATGGAAGAACACAACTTCATGAATAAGATCCATCAAAACTCCATAATGATTTTTCTTGGACAGCTACAGATTGCTAATTATGAAACTATTTCTATAATATAAACAATGATATTCATGTTGTAACAATGATATCTTTTATTGTTACATACATAGTATTTTACCTAAGTTAATGTTATAACCCAATCCTGCAATCACAGGGGGACCTACGGGGAGGACTTTCATTCAGGCTGAAGCCTATCTCCACCCAAAATGGTAAAATATAACCATATTTTACAGACAAAAATATAGTGCCTGCAATTAAAAAGGTGTTTTTTCAGGAAAACTGACAAAATAATTATTACTTGTGAGATATTTAACTTAATTTTTAGAACTTTCTTCAATGCAAAATAATAGTTTTCAAGGAATTTTCTAAATGGAAATAAAAAAATGGACTTGATTTTATTCTCTTGATAATTCACAACAATTCAATAACAAGTCACCCTGATCAAGTACAACAATTTAGACTGAAACATTGGCACAAATTTAAGCAGTAATACCTTAATCGGGTCACACAGTAAGAACTTACTAGGCAGGGTTTTTCTTTCTACTTACCCACAAACCTCTGAAAATAAATAAAAGAGGACATCACTCTCACTATCTAGTGAGAATAATGTCTCAGCTTTATTCACCGAGATCTCCTATAGAATAGGTACACCAGTTTATTTTCAGTAACTATATAGATTATTACCATATGACTAATATCGTATCCATATGACTAACATCTGCCCATACAAACATCATATGTTTAAAACAATATATATACATATGATATTGAGACATTTGGTTATCTTATTTACAAATTATAAGTCAAGAAACATTTATGTGTCATCAAAGAAGTGTTACTCGTAATATTATATCCGTTATAACGACTTAGTCCCAGTATAGCTTGACGTGATGTTTATCGATAACTGACTGTGGTATAAGCTTGTAATAAGGACAAGCGTCGTATAAAATACCAAAGTTCTTGGTTAATTCCAGGTGAACGATTTTTGCCATGTTGTATCTCAGAGCCCAAAATGTTCTGAAATATTTTTAAAAAAAAAATGTCCCCACATGAACTTGCATATGTACTGTATTTAACATCAATACATATTGGTGAACAACGTTTACCTTGTAATTTTTCTGAAGCTTTCCTAGATCTTTTTTTTCCACACTTCCACTTGTTGATTGTATTACAAATTACATTAAGTTCCTTATAGTAGCATACTACGTAATATAGAATATCTTTTGATATTAAAACTTGATTTGTAACCTTCTTCCATCTTTTAATTTTCATATAACTTGAACAACTTCATTATGCTCATATGTATGAATGAATATATTATCACTGAATCTTCATAAAAGTAATACTAATGATCACTATAGTTACTAAAAAGTAAATAGTGTACCTATTCAATAAAACACCTATTCTTGGTAATAAGACTATTATTTATCTTTAATTAATTTCTTTATAAGGCACAAAGTATCAATTAATTTCATATCTTGTTATAAGTTATAACCGAACTTGAAAAAAAAACTTACAAAGAAACTGTTTTGGCAAGATAGACAAGACAATTGTAGCCGAGGACATGTTAACAAGGATTTTCAACTTATTCATAAATTTCCACATAAAAATGATCAGTAGGAGTAGTATAATAAAGAGATTATTATTCGGAAATTTTTAAGAAATCAGTTCCAAGATATGATGGTTCATTAACGAAATAATCACAATAAATGAAAATTTGATGTAATGAATGAATCATTGCCAAGGTTAGCAACCAAGACAAGGTCACAAAAATATTACATCAAACAAAAAGTTTTTTGGAACTACTTGAAGAACTTGATGAAACCAGATTGTTACCTCATTTTCCACCTTTAGATATATAATCATTCCCATTTTCTATTTCAAACAATTCATGATTTGCAGCCAGAATTTCCATTATGACCAACCATAGTATCTTCCATTTAAGCTATCTTTCATAATCGATCCTTAAAAATCGAAAACATCGAAAGCTACGGACCACCTTGAAAGTATCCTTACTAGACATTTAACAGATTGAAGAAATGAGCTTTCCATCTCATAAAAACTGTAACATTTCTATAAAAAAAAAAATTACATACTTAAAAACCATCATATTCCAATGTGAGAAGATTTTTAATTGAAGGATGATGAATAATGAATGCTTCATATTAATTTTCATTTTTTATTGTTGCTTGATATTCCGGGTTAAATGCCAATGTTCATAAGTATTACAATACCTTTTGCTATACACTGCTCTTTTTCTTTGAAACATTTATTCCTTATATTTTGTTTTCATCATATTTAACATTGAACTATAAGTTTAATTTGACAATCAAAGAAACATTATGTATTCTCAGTTGTTTATATTAACATATATAATTTTTTCTTCCATGTTGAACTAGCTGCTTCAAGATAAGTATTGTAAAATATTAATATTTCCCTATTCAAATTTTAAACCTATGGTTTGCCTTTCATCCTTACAGTGGATAAGATTTTTCATACTTAAAAATGAGAAAAAAAATTTCCATTACATTATTTCCGCAATTGTTTCCTGTTTTTCTTTTTTGAATACAATTTTCTCACATTTTGCGCAATAGAATATCCCCCTTGTCTTCGAATATTTTATGATCACCCATTCATTTCATTGGAATAATATTCTCTTGAACAAAGAAAGACTTTTGGAACAGTCTTAACTTATAATATAAATGTTCTCCCCGCAATGAATTATAATATTTACATTCTCAGATCAACTATAAGAACATTTAACTTTTTCAGGCGCTATGTTAATTAATGCAATGGTCACTAAAAACCTGAAACCGTTGCATATTTTCACTTCTGTAAGAAATGGCTGCTCCCTCACTTGGTTTTTTTGTCTCGCAATTTTTTTCAGGATAAATTTTATTTGTAGGTCAAGTGTCACAGCAGCCATGATCAGAGTTTATGTCAATATGAGCAAAGATAATGTACATTTTGAAGTACTATTATCACATAGTCAGTCTGGTAGCATCATGAAATCCTAATCTCTTCCAACTAATAATAGAAAACTATCTCATTTCATTTCTGACATATCAGTGATACATATTAGAAGTCATAGAATGTTTGTTCCTCCTCTCAATTTCAATTATTACAATCATTGGCCCATTTTTTCTGTAAGGTAAAAAATTCAACAGTTTAGAAGATACCACTGTAGGTATTCAGGAATTCTTAGAATTCACACACACACAAGATTACCATTGAGCCATGATAGGTTATATTTTAAGGATAATTAAATCAACCATCAAAAAAACACTAAAATTTTATATTTAAACTTACACATTTTTTTCCTTTGTCGCCATCCTTTTATTATAATAAAATATTAATTTTTTTTATCTTTTTCTGTACAGATATCAAAAGAGAATGGCTCATGAAAAAACTACAGAAGATATGGTTGCTGTTTCAACCTGGTCAAGGACATAGTGGCTTACAAATTAAAACATATGAACCATATGACTTCCTGAAATTTTTACTAGAATTCAAAATTATTAAATAAATATTTTTTTTACAACACTAGTTTTTTTAACTCCCCTCTTGAACAACATTACATATATAAAATTATATTTGTATATATATAATGGTAGAAAAAAAAAATTGAAGTATAACTTACCAAAAAAAACTTGTTTTATCACATGATGGACATATCATATGACAACAATGTATCATATGTTTTAACAAAGATATGAAATATTTATTTATTTGTTTTTTATTGTTGCCTCTACCCTGCAGGGTCATTGGCAACACTTCCTATTTATATTCTATTGTAGAACTTTATTTTTTTTAAAAACTGTAAGGTTTTTTCCACGGCGTTTTCGTTGTCGCTGAGGTTTTCTTTTAGGCTCTGAGCCATATCGAGATTTTTCCTTACATTCTCAAATACTGGGCAGTCTTGAATGATGTGTTGGACAGTTCTTTGCACCTTACAGCCCTCGCAGGTCGGTGGGTCTAGTCCTCTTAGTAAGTAGGCATGTGAAAATTCACAATGCCCAATTCGTAAGCGGCAGAGGACTGTCTTTTCTTTTCTAGAGAGTCGGTTGCTAGTTTTCCATTTGGAACAGTGGCTTTTTTATTCCTTTTAATTTGGTTTCTTTTTGTTGCCATACGTTATGCCACATTACCCGCAATTTTTTTTTTATATGATGTATGAAATCTTCTATCGGGATTTCTTTGATTATAACTGTTGGATTTCTATCTATCTATCTATCTAGCCTTGCTGCTTTGTCTGCCTGTTCATTTCAGACAATTCCGCAGTGTGAAGGAACCCACATGAATACTATTTCCTTTCCCTTTTCTGTCAGTTTCCACCAGATATTTTTAATAGATCTTGCCAGTGTGGTTGTCGGTGTTCTCTTTTCAATGGCCAGGATTGCACTCTTTGAATCCGTTACCACGACCCATTTGTTACTCTCCGTTGAATCAATGTAAGTCAAAGCTTCTCTAATAGCGATCATCTCTCCACTAAATACAGAGCAGATCTCCGGAAGTTTGAAGTACTTTTCTATTTGAGAGTTGACAATAGCACATCCTATTTCGTCGTGAATTAGTCAGTGATTATTATTAGTCGTGAAGATATGAAATAATAAACCTTTGTAAACAAAGAAAAAATATATATACACATAAGAAATACTAAAATAGTAAGGGAAAGTTGATTAATATATATATATTAAGAACATTCCATTTTCTAATAACACTAAGTTAATTACTATAATAGTGGAAGTTTATAAATACTAGTGTTCGCCCAGTGGTCGAAATTCGACCATAGCCATTAAAAATTTGAGAAAAAGATATAATTAATTAAAAAAATAAAGTAAATAAATAAAGAGTCAATCACGATTCGAAAATCCTCATGTATTAATACAAACAAAATTTCAATTTAAATTAAAAATCGAGCTTAAGTCATTTAAAATTATTTATAAGTAATACAAAATATACTCATTCAAAAATATTTCATTTTCAGTATAATTTATGTGTGTTATAATCGCAATAAATTAATGTTATGATTAAGTAAGTAATAAATAAATTTAAATTTACTTTAAATCCATTTTTATTCAGAACTTCTATGTAAATAATGTTCTTTTTTAATGTTCTGTTATTGTTTAGTGCATAGCCATGCCCATTGCCATTGAAAGTATAAATTTCAATATTTTAAATGAACATGCTCTAATTGCTGCCACATATAATTGTCCATGCGAAATTACTGGGCGTCACAATAATGTACACATTTTTCCAAAACTTTTATCCTGCGATTTGATTATGGTAATAGCAAATGCAGGTATTAATAGGAACGTTGTTCTTTGAAAGTCGAATGTAAGTATAGTGTCAGAAAATGTTAAATTAATTCTTAGAATTAAAATTCTTTAATTTAAAGTAGCCCCCGTTAATACTTCAGTCTCATCACATTAACTAATGCTTGTGCAGTATTTAAGTTAACAACGAGTATAACTATAGAATATATTTTTAAATTTAATTTATTATGTACCATTCAGCTAACATTACATGATATCATCTCTTCAAAAAATAGACCCAATTACCTCAGAAAATGAAAAGTTTTCGATTTATCAAAAAACAAAATAAAAGAAATCGAATTTGGAAGGGAAAGAAAACGTACTAAATGTTTAAAATGATATATCTCTGCAACAAATAGTCCGATTTCGATGATTTGTTTGTTTATTTTGAAGGAAATTCAGGAAGCTTTCAAATAAATATCGGTATTATTAGTAAAAAAATAATTGTGAATTGTGTTTACCAATTTATATAATGATTAAAAATAGATGTATAAATAAATAAATAAGTGGTTTAATTACAAAAATTGATAGTTGACTATTGTATAAAGAGAACATAAATCATAAACTTGTACCTTTCATATTTATGGTTATAAAGTTTATTTACAGAAACCATTATATTACATCAATGAGTCGACATTAAAATGCCTTTTCCTGATTCAACTATCAAGGACACCACCATCAATGAAAACTAATGTTCACCAGCCAAGGTGACTCTAACCTTAATCAACTTAAATCATGTTGGCAATGGTTTTTAGTGCCTCAGATGATGATTTATTGAGAATGTTTATGTATACACACCCTTTCTGGAATCAAAAATCTCACAAAAACCATTGTAGGTTGACGGTGATACAGAGAATGGTAAAACTTAAGGTAGAAATAAATGTCTTTTTATTATATTCCGTGGCACACACCCATTTTTATCAAATTATTAACATCTCAATAAAACTATTTTAAAGGCTTCATCTTATCCTACCTGCTGCGTTTTCAAATTGGAGATGGGTAAACTTTGTTTGTTCTATCATAAGATTGAGGAATCATAAGATAATTTGATCAAGAAATAAAAAAAATAAAAAAAATATGGCCAACAAAGGTATTGTGTTGTTTAACATAACCTACATCTCCAACATATGAAAAAAACGAAGTTATATAGGTTAAAGGGTCCAATATTTTTGTATGCTACTTTTTTAACCAATTTTGTGATCAAACTATCTTACGATTGAAGCAGGGGAAAAAATGGGTATTCATAACTATTGCAATCTTCCAAGCTTCGCTTCAGTCTACCCCTTGGACGTTCACATATTAACCATTTAGGAATTCTTTCGTTACTAAGCCCAACAATTTTACACACCCATTTCATTTGCTGCAATGTAATCACCTCAATTATATTAACCAGATACGGTTAACGCATGCAATTCAGCGTTGTGTAATCATCTAAACTCTCTGGTTAACTCATCTTTTTTCGGTCTGAATATTCGACGCAATACTCTATTTTGAAAAACCTTAAGATGTTCATCCGTTCATGTAGTGGCCAAGTTGGCATCCATAAAGAACCATAGGTAGGATAATCTTTTTATAGATTCTATTTTTTATGTTTCGGGACAGGAGGCGCGAGCTAAGTAGTTTTGTCACAGAAAAATAACAAGCATTTCCCGCCTTCAGCTTAACCTTAATTCCCACTTCAATTTCGTTTTTTATAGTTATCGTAGACCCTAGATACCTAAACTTTTCTACATTTTCAAATATATTCCCTTCTATATCGATATCACCAACATATTTGCAGCTAACCATATACTTTGTCTTATAAAAAATTAGAGTATAAGGGTGAAAAAAAATATGGATTTTCGATATCCAGAACAAAACACATCCCTTTGGTACCATCTTGAATCTTTCATTCGTCAACATTTTGCTATGGCATGGTCTTCTAGAAGTTTCAGTGAGGGAACTTTTAGAAATGTTATAGAGTGAGATCAATATCCCAAAAAACACAAAACATTCTTAAATGAAGGCATAGGTCTTTTAGAGTGCAAACAATAAAGAAAAATGGAAAGTAAATTATTAAATAATAAAATAAAAATTGGGCAAAAACTTACAGGCTTTATTGAACCTTCATGAGGCTTGATGGTAAGGTAATTCTCAAACACTCCTGAAGCTAAACGATCATAATCTCCATAACTTTGCACAATCCGCAACACATTTAGAAACCTGCACAGAAATACACTTTAAATTATCTGGCAGTTTAAATAATTATAGTGTATTGTAAATGATTAGTCATATTAATCTAAAGATAATTTCACTCATGCATTCTTTCCACCATGACTCTCTAAAATCTTTAATAAATGAAACTGATAAATTATAAATTACTAATGTCCTACTGCTGGCCAAAACGTTGTCAATAAAGATAATATAAAATAAATAAAATATTGAGAAAATATGGCAAGTCATAGTGTTGGTCTCAATTTGCATCCACATAAGTAATTATATTTAATAAATATTAACCTATTTTTCACAGAGGAGTCACTACATTTTTCAGCTGAATCGGAACTCTTAGAATGAACAGTGTGTGCTTTTCTAAAACATAGTAAAAGTAAACATCCAGTCACTTATATATTATATGTAAGTATATATAATCATACACATGTTCTCTGAATATATTCGATACAATACATATGTTATTTTTAAAAATTACTTTTTTATAGGAATGTGGAATATACTCTGCCATACTGAAAACAGACCTTGTTGGCGATCTTTTGTACCTAATTTTGCACTACTGACTTGACTTAGGGTAACACGATCACCTTTTGCCTTCAACATGGCAAGAAGTGAGAGGCATGAACGAATATCATTGTTAGTTTTTTCACTAAGTGCCATCATAGTCCCTAGATCGCTTTTTATAAATTCTTTCTTACATATTTCAATTAGCCTTTCTCCAAGCCTATAATAAAACATACTGGTTAATAATAAAATACTTATGATGTAAAAACAGAGAAAAGGATATTTCTAATAATTAAAAATATACCACTATAATATAATAAAATGCAAAAATCCGATCCAATTGTAATTGTAATTGTAATTAGTGACAAACCTTGCTGTTGCAGTTGGTGGAAAATGAAGAGTAAATGCAATCTGCCTCAAAGGTCTCAATGCTGGAACATAAATGTCATTACAAATGCAAATAACTGGTCTTTTTACAATTCCTCCACCCTTTTTCTTTCCTTTTTTCTTTTCACCTTTATCTGTCACAAATTTTATAAGAACGTCTATTGCAGCCTACAAAAAAAAATAAATAAAATAAATCAAACTTAATAAAATCATGTTTCTGTATTTGAAATCAATGAAAGAATGATATTCAAAGGAAACAATTTAAGTCCATCTGCATTTCATTCACAAAACAAAAAATATTTAACATTCCATCACACACATCTTAAATGTTTATAGTTACAACATGAAATTTAGTTAAGACAAAGATGTTTGAATTTATTAATAATAGATAATACTTCATTCAACAATTTCATAATTTTTGTATTATTACCTAATATCCTAGGAATTTTCTGGGAGTAATTGTTTTAATAATAATTTTTACAGTATTAAATTATGCAATACATTTTAAAACCTATCAAAATTTATATGCATCCTTTAAAAGTACCTTTACCTTTAATTTGGTTTATTAAAAAAAATTAACTCTCTCTTATTGAAAGCACCTGTAAAAAATGACTATATAAAAAGTATGAAAGAATTTTATAATTTGAAAATGGAGAAAAAGGGTAAAATGTTAATTTAGGTCGAAAATGAATTTTCGGAAATACTAATCCGAAAGTATACGTATAATATATCTTCGGAAAGCAGAGAATTTTAGAAAAACCAATATTTAATATAGAAAATCATAAAAGGTAATGGAGAATGACGAAAAATTATAAATAATAATTTGTATAAACTAATATTATTTAACGGAAATCACATGTTTCCAAGAAAATTAAATGAAATATAATTACAAAATGAAAATTTTTAAGATTTGTTAGTTTGAAAAAAAAACAACATTTAAATTCCACTGAATCAAGCCAATAATATTGTTTAAAAAACTATTTCATTGTACTTGTGTGAAAGAAGAAGTGAAATATAAAAATATTTCATGGATGTGTAAAACATAAGTTTATAACCTTAAATACATTTACTGTAGTTTAATAACTCTAGATCCGATATTATATTTAAATAAATAGGTATATATCGTCAATTTATTCCAAAAAAATTTCTCTTTATGAAATCACAACATATACACTTACAATTAGTGTGACAACTTTTGACCTATAGATGCTATATTTATAAGTAACTGTATTTTGGTATGTTTTCTAAGGGTAAAAATAAGGATTTAAATACATGTTTACATGTGATAGAGATATAGTAACTATAATTTATACTATGTAGTACGATCCTTACTTATTCATAATTCAATATATGAACTTTCAAATTTCTCTTAGTCTATTGAGCTCAGAGACTGGAGTTATGTGATTCAAATAAACTGCATGCAGTTACATCTAAGGTTTTTATAGACTGGAACCAATATTATAAATAGGTTTTATGTTATTATGACGATCTTAATGAGTTTTTGTATTGATGAATATGTAGTTTAAAGTTAAGCTCCATTAAAAATGCACTTGAAAAACATCTTATGATAGCCCAATTTCGCCAGACACAAATTGCTTTTCAAAGTAAGTGAAAGTTGTGTGATGCGTGCACCAGATTTTTACATTTAAAACTGTAATTGTTGCTTAGAAAAAAAACTAAACTGTCATTATATGAGCTATGTTGTTTGTTATATCTAACACACAAACTGATTTATTCTCAACCTGTGGAGCGCCATCAATTTCATCTAACACAAGACAATTCGGGCGGGGGTCTGCAGACATTACTGAACGCATTTGTGTAGCAGCTTCTAATTGTGTTCTAAAAGCATCTGCACTCCTATCATCACTAGCATTCACTTCTACAACATTATAACCTGTAGAAAAATAATAATATCAGTCATTTAATAAAAATTAATAATTATTATAATTAATAATTTTATTTGTCACAAAAACTAAAGATAAAAACAATTTACCTAATAGACCTCTAGATGCTCTAATTATTAAAATAAGTCTTAATTATTAAAATAAAATTGAATAAGAAAATTACCAGCTTGTTTAGCAATTGTGTGAGCCAGTGTTGTTTTCCCCAAGCCTGGAGGACCACAAAGCAGTGCAATTTTATACTTAGGCCTACCGGTATCATCGAGTTCTTCAAGTTTATCATTATTTTTATTAATAAAATCAGTCTTTATTTTCTTATTAAGGAACTTCGGCTCCCTATTGAAAACCACCTTATCCCAAAGTTTTAACCAGCATAAGAGCGTTCGATTGGTAGACTATAAAAAGATATTTTAATAATAAATTTGATACAATCAAATAAAAAATAGAATAAAATAAAATTATGAAAAATTACCTCATCACTAAGAAGTTCTAAATAAGTTCTGGGTTTATATTTTTCAACTAAAAGCGAACTTTCTTCTTTTTTTAATTCATTAATGTTCTCCTTGTTCATTTGCTTCTCAATTGCTTCATTTTTTTTATTCATCTATTCCCATTTATCATAAGAAGCATTAAATAGATCAATTTGCAACAATAAAGATAAATTAATAAAAATTTATATTTTTTGTATTATTTATCTCACATCATAAAAGTGCCATTTAAATATGTCAAAAGAAGTATAAAACATTTAACAAAAATGTAAAAGAAAATCATAGAGCAATTATTATTAGATTACTTCATACCTCTTCAACAGCCTCTTTGTAAAGTACAGCATAAGGTACTTGAAGTAGTCCAGTTCTACTTGATTTCAAAGTCACAGATTTGATCTGGTAAAATAAATAAGATAAGTAAATAAATAAAATCATAACCATGAATAAACCCATGATCAATCTTGATACCTGATCTTCCATTTCCTCTTTTGAATAATAACGAAGATAAATATTGTGTCTTTCAGCACCTCTGACTGCAACGAAAGGCCATTCAGGTACACTTCTTGATATGCAATCTTTTAAGTCCTTCTGACTAAAAAATAAGTATAATAATAAAAGTGACCATTACATAAAATGAATGAAAAATATTTTTAAAAATAAACAGAGCAATGCACCAGGTCTCTTTTTCATAACTTCTCTTGACCCAACTAAAGAATATAAAATCCAATAATTTCTGGAGTAATTTCAGTGGTCATAATTTATTTTGGCTCACTACTTCATGTACATGATTGCATCAATATATCATATCCGTTTAAGTAGAATATATGTCTATAAATATAACAGAAAACTAGATAGCTTATGAATAAGGTTATAGATTTATGAGTTGTTTTTTTATTTACTACATTCCATATCGGCCCAAGTGGATAATAAACAGCAGATTTCTGAGTCATTTTCATATCCACTAGAAGGAAATCAAGAAGAACAAGTGATGTAATATTTTAAACAGAGTTCCATATAGGCCTGTTATCCAATTTATTATTAAGACGCTTCACAAGCTTCTTCAGATTTACAATATTTTCTTGCTCTATTGATATACAATTGGAAACAAAACATTATTTTTAAAACAACAAATAAAAATCTGTATACTAGTAGCCGTTATATTAGATTGTTTTTTAATTGATTTTGACAAGTTATGACAGGAGGCTATAATGTGGTGTTGACCATCCAAAAAAATCAAAGCCACACAACAATAAATGGTCTCAATGTAAATTTATTTTCCTTAAAGGAACTTCGTTTCTTAAAGAGTTCTCACAATGCATTGTGGATCTACTTAGTACTAAAATGAGTATCTGCCACTAGTCAGGGAATAAAACAGACTGTCAGAATAGAGTTACGAAAGCTTATAAGGTCACGTTTGTATTTGTTTTTAAGTGAATATCACATTTTTCCAACATCAACAATATCCTGTGATTATTTTACTATTGAATCCAATGTCTCCATGTTTATGCTTATAATTTTGTTTTTTTATTAATAATCAAACAGTTTTGTGATGAAAACAATAACAATTATTTTATATTTGAAAAAGATTTAATAGAATATAAAAATTATCATCACTAAATTTTGTGATAATCTAATTACAATAAATTATTATATGCTTATTTTGTTTAAAAAAATGAGAAATTTTCTGAATATGATGCATACTCATCATTTTCCTTTTATTCTTTTTTTTTTCAATTTGATTTCACTCTCTAACACAACTTTTTAATGGTTACCATAACCATCAATACCATAATATTTCAGTGAATACCAAAGAATACCTACAAAATATTTCTCGATAAGGTGCTCGAAAAATTTCTTCTTTGTTCTAATAATTCTTTTCTTTGGAGAATTATGTTGGTAATTGTACGCTCCTGTTTTTCATCCAAACTTAAGATCTTCTGCTTTTTAGGTAACCCTAAAATACATTAACATTTATAATAGACTATTACATAATATTCTCAAAGATTAAAAATGAATAGCATTGGAATCATTTAAGTATTAATTACAGCTTTGTATTAATATATTGTAATGATTTTATATATTTTTTCTGAAAATTATTTATTTATATCGGGTTTAGTAATATAATGATTATAAGTACATCAAAAATTTATATAAATAGGCAGAAGGCCCTAGATAGTTTGAAAGTCAGTCGCTAGTTTCGGATCAATGAGATTCGAGGGAATGGTTTTTTTCCCTTGAAACATAGTCCATTATTGCGGCAAAATAATATGTCGAAAAATTTCTTATATCATTGTTTTTAGATATTCTTGGGGCTGCGGTGGTCAAGTGAGTTAAGGCGCCAGCAAAAAAAAAATTTACACAAGTTTAAATATTCGCAGGATTAAATAACAAAAAAAAAAAAGATAAAAATATAAATCATTAATAATAAATAAGTGCAGTCCCTACTCGATTGCTTAGACTACTACGGGACCGTAATGTCCCCACCCTGATATTCACAGGAAGGTAAGAGCGACCCCAGTGTCATAACATAGCCCCTTTGGTCCTCCAGATTTGAGAGGTTGGGGCTATCCCGTAAAAAACAACAGGATAGAGACGTATGCAAAAGGTCGCCAACCATCCTGATGAAGAGGGAGTGATTGTGATCGGGTTATTATAAACCACGTGTTCCCTTGATATCATCTACATAAGAAGAGAACCAAACGATTACAGCTTATAGCCTAGAACAGCCCCAATGCTGCGAGAAGACTAATGGGGGAAGTCAAAAGAGTCAAGAGACGTTAAAAACATATATAGATTAGATTATTCTTTAATATATCAAAATCCGACGGTTTCACTCTCACGAGCAGTGAAAAAACATTAAAAAAAGTAAACCCAAATAAAAAGAAACTGCTGTAACATAGACCATTGTTCAAATTATAGAGCTCATAATTCTAGCTAATTAAAGTAGTATTGCAATGTCATTTGATGGTTTCTGGAGTACCTTACATTAAGAACATATACGGGATATTATAAAGCACTAACAAGGGACAAGCTACAGGTTTGGATTTCAATCAAACTTTTTTGGGGGATACTAGATCAGCAAATATTAGACTCATGTCCAAGTGTTCTTACCAATGCAACCTAGGAATCAAGAAAACTTTTGTTTATAAACTAATACAATTGTTTTACATTATTGCTTTCTGCCTTTGCTCTGGATGGATTTCTGGGTTATTAAGTATCAATTCATATCATATACAGATAATACATATAGTTTTTTTTGTGAAGTAAAAAACAATTTTGCTGATTGTATTAAGTGAATTCAAATTACATTACTTTACAAAAACCAAAAGAAACTTCCCCTAAAGTAGGTCAAATAAATTTTTGTCACGCAAAAACAATTTAATAACAAGTCAACTATGATAATAATTATTATTATTTGGCTGAAACCTTTGATAGTTGAAAATATCTTTCATAGATAGAGGCAATGTCTAGCTTATCGCTAGTAATAAAATTAAGATTAGGTACATCTAAGTAATAAAAAAGTTTAAGAAATAATGCATCAAAATTATAATTGGTACTAGTTCACAAGAGTTACGCACGGATTACGCATGGTTCACAATCACTTCGGTCACACTTGTTCCTGGAATCCCGAATGCGTTCGGGTTTATCCGAGAGAGAATGAAGGCAACCGATCTCTTGTTGAAAGTTACTATTAACTTTCCCCCATTTAAGTACTTCTATAACCTTAACCATGTTCAGTTATATAGCAGGAGCCGATTTACATTCGAAATTTAGGCTACACATCATGAAACCTGAATTGAACTTGTACATATATTATAGATCTGTAAAAAAGAAATAGTAATAGATAAAAATCTTTAATTATTACATCTCTGAATGCTATTTCACGATATTATTTTTCTTATTGATGATTTTCATTATTCATTATCTTGGAATTATCAGTATATTTATAAATCTTTAATCTGACATTATTTTCATAAAAAGCGTCCTTGACAACTTAATAGTGGACTCTTATATCTAAGAAATCCAAAAATCTACAAAAAATCGACGAACAATTTTAAATCTGACAGTATATTCATAAAAAGCTCCGACGGCTAGAAAATAGAGGATTATATTGCTAAAATAAATTATAAATGCAACTATTCCAACTTCTATTGAAATACTCGAATAACAAATAAAAAAATAATAGATTACTTCAAATTATTTATTATCCAAATGATAAATAAATCTTTTATACAAGTTATAAAAGATAATATACAATATATGCGTATTTACAACCACTACATGTAAGCACGTGTCAATCAAAATGTTATTTCTAGCATTTTTTTTAACAGGTCTTGAAGAAACGACTCAAACATTATTTTATGTATTTTTTTCTTTTTCTTTCATAGTGATAACCATTATAATAAAAATTAATAATTAACTAATTAGCAAATACACAATTCGTGAATAAATTGTTAACAAGGAAGTTCCATGAAGGGAATACGTTTTTTTTTTTTTTTTTTTCAAAAATGCATGAAAAAGGGTTGTGTCATAAAAGATGACAACATTCGGCTGTTTTTGTGATTCCATGAACAAGTGTGATCGAAGTGATTGTGAACCACGCATAATCCATGCGGAACTCTTGTGAAGTAGTACCAAAAAATATATTCATAATTTGTAAAATTAGCATGTAAATATAATTGAAATTTCATCAAAACAGCCCTATACATAAAAAGGATTTTAACAACAAATAAGTAAATATTCTTACTTTCTTCCATTTCAATGTCTTCTATATCACCAAATAGATCATCGACTGTTCTTTTATTGCAGGTTTCATCCAATGGAATGCACCCATCAGGAGTATTATAAAGATTCTTGTTTTCTTTAAGGGGTGGAGAACCAATCAATGCTTCTGAGAGATTAGATGTGCCAGCAACAGGCTACAAAAACCATATTTTAAGGCAACCCAATAAAACATGAATGAAACTAGATTTTCATTCCTTAGTATAGAAATTTTAGGCAAGATAACTAATGAATTTACAAAAGGTAAGAAGTGCTTGTGGAGTTGTTAAAGGCTGCATTACACCCTTAGGATTCCACGTTCTAGCTTATGATTCAGTTAGATTTCAAAATAAAATTCATATAGTTACAACATTTATTCAATACAAAAATTTAAAAAACAATTAGTCCCCTACAAGCACCACTGTTTTCAGAAATGTGTGATAACTTTAGTTGTCAATTATAAAGTATTTATTTTTTGAAAAAGTAGCATTTTTTAAATAAATAAAAAGTGTATTTTAGTAATTAATTTAATATAAAACATCTCGGGTCACAGAACAAACAAATAAATAAGAGGATTCTAGTAATTTATTGTAATTTTTGCAGAAAATAAAGGTATTTTGAGCAGACAGAATTTCACATCAATAAACTTGAACATAATTTGTAACAAATCCCACACTATGGAATACAGCAACTATTAAAATCTATGCCCGTCATGTTTGAATAATAACGTAGCAGCAATCTAAGTAATATATAAGAGTAACACTCCAAGTATGTAATGCATGTCAGATCATATCACTAGCTGAGTAGAAAACTTAGGCAACTCAGACTAACACATGAGATTGGTATATTAGAGAGAGAATATTGTCATTTCAGTACATAGCAAAAAATCACTATGTAAATTTTCGATTGAGTTAAGTTTTAAATATATATTAATGAATTTTGACCAGAATAATTGCTGTAAAAACACGGTAAGTACTTAAAAATGAAATCAAACCCTACTCGAAATGAAAAATAGTAACACTAAGAATGTTCTGACTTCACAAAAGGCAGATTTATCAATAAATATCAAACGAAAATTGAATTGAATGATTCAATTTTATTGTCTTGTTACATAACAAATATATAATTATATATCGCTGCATAAGACCAGTAAAACTCAAAATTAAGGATCTACCACTTTTGCATAATAATAAACTAAACGAAGAAGAATACATACAAATTGTATTCTTTTTTAACTTCTGAGTCATGCTGGTTTTCTATCCAACCAGTGACGTGCCCTGAGGTGCATATTTTACTTTCAGTAGCATCTACATCTATACTTCAGACTAATGCAGAAATATACTTTGAGTATACTTAAGAAAAAATCCTGGAAACTTACAGAAGAAATAGATTTAGGAGTAGTGCACTGATTAAAGTCAAGACTTCTTTTGGATTTTTTCAAAGTTAAACTAGATGATGGAGGTTCAAAATCTAAAAACAAAATTAGGAATATTTTATTTGAAATAAATTAATACAGAAGACAATTGAGTGAATGTCTTAAATATACATTAAAAGAGCCAATACAAAATATATCTGATGAAATTTACCATCCATTTCATTCATCATTTCAATTTCAGCTGCATGAGCTAATTCAAATTCCTCATCGGGGTCCGGATAATCCATCATCGACTTATAATTGGTCTACTTTTTAAAATTAAATTATCAAAATAATTGTCAATCTTGGCTTAGCAATAACCTGGAATTGAGTATGTTCGTTTTCCCGCCTCCACGACCATTACACGCTGCCCATATATGTATATATATTTAAATATTTAAGTATTTTTAAATGTAAATTTTAAAAAATGAATACCAAGATGAAAAATATAAAAATAAATTATATATTATTCAATTTAATAATAAATTAATACATGAAAATATTATCTCAATTAATATATAACATACAACTTTTGTTTTAGAGATGTCCATCTAAACAATTTACTATCGTTAAAAAGGTATTAACAAAATCTGTGTAGCTTGTTGAATGATTTAGCTTCAAATCAAATAATAGTTATTAAAAGTTAGATGGTGTGTATGTGTATAATTAGTAAATGTTGTGAAATTTCTTAGAAGAAAGTGCATGTAAACTTTTTTATGGTAGTTATTTAAATAATTTTTTATAACAAAATTACATCAGTTTTGAAGGGAATTCGTCAAGAAATATAGGTAATACCAAGTAACTATTTTGTTACAATTTGGCGCGGATGAATAAATGCCATGCGCGCTACGGCTATGACCCAGTTTCAAGCCCTCTTCCATAAGAAGTGTAGGTCTTTTATTGTGAGGTTGTGTCTCCTACCAACAGGGTCACACAACCCACTTTTTCGTGATTAAAAGTAGTTAAAACGCCAAAAAAATTATAAAACTTTAAAAATACAAAAAAATAGTAAAATATTATAAAAAAAATTAAACAAATTGTTCGTTTATCGTTCGTTTGTGAAGAAGTGCAACGTGGTCTGGGATAGGACTCTGACGTACTGTGAGCATTCGTTCGAAGCAATTTGTGAGCCCCGTTCTTTTTATTCGGTTTGTGTTCTTGTCGAAGCTTTAGCAAACAGCAAAAATGAATACAGGACCAGGAGGACCTAATTACCCCATGGCATCTTTATATGTGGGTGATCTGCATTCAGATGTTACCGAAGCAATGCTGTTCGAAAAATTTTCATCGGCTGGACCCGTACTTTCTATTAGAGTATGCAGAGACATGATCACTCGAAGATCATTAGGTTATGCATATGTCAATTTCCAACAACCTGCAGATGGTAAGAAAAAAATTGTACTTGTAATTATTTAGAATTATTATTATTAAGATTTTTTTTTAAAGAGTATTGTTATTTTCTGGTGTGTCATTCTATTATTTTATGACCAACTTTAAACATTTTTAAGAGGTTATGTGAATTTTTAGATGTGTAAAAGGATATTCAACATTAATTTTATTACATAAATTTTTTAAGTTACCAGAATTTCACAAATTTTAAAAGTTTCACTTTAGCATGGTACCAAGTCTTTGTTTCCATATTTATGACCTTGGGTCATCAACCATGTTTCATTGTGATGTAATTTCTTAGTATTATAGGAATTTTATTTTGTTGTATTATTACCTTAAGTGGTTAATAATGCAACATTTATTATATTCCTGGATATTACAATATTAGGAACTCCAATAGTATTATGGCTTGTATCAATTTCAACCCTGAAAGCATGGTGTTCCATCCTTTCTTAAAGGCTGAGTTAATTTTAACTCCATGTTTCTTTTTCATATCTTTTGATTTTATAATATTATAATTAAGTTTATATTATTTTTTAAAGAATAAGTCATTAATCATTGTTAAATTTATTTAACTATTATTACGGCAAAGTTAATTTTAACTCTTAAGAAGCTTACCCTTTTGATTCCACATTGTTATTAAGTTTAACTTGTCTAAATTGAGGTTATTATATAGAATATTTCCGTGGAGTTTGTGATGGAATTAATTTTTGTATATTTTTCCTTAAATTCGTTTTATGTTAATGGATTCATTATTTTTTAAAATTAAAATTCCACTGATGGTGAGAAGTTTGTGAATAGTATGAGCTATGCTAGTTATATCCGGTCTATAAATTTTTTTACTATTTTGAAGACTTCCAAAATAGAATCTAATAAAAAAAAATATATTAATATTATATAAAATGTGTGGCTCTTAATGCTATATATTTGTGTATTGTCATTTAAATATTGTTAATAAATAGAAAATCTGCATTACTGTTATATTGTTTCTTAACATTATCTGTTCCCAGTGATTTTTTATTTTTTAGAAAATGTTTTTGTAATCCAATTTGGTATTGACTATCATATTTATTTATTTTGTACCTTTTTTTTTTTTTTTGGCAGCTGAACGCGCTTTGGATACTATGAATTTTGACAACCTTAAGGGTCGTCCAATTCGTATAATGTGGTCACAACGTGATCCTTCTCTCAGAAAATCTGGCGTGGGCAATGTCTTTATTAAGAATTTAGACAAAAGTATTGACAATAAGGCTATGTATGACACTTTCTCAGCTTTTGGCAATATTCTCAGTTGCAAAGTAAGTTGGTTTTAATATAATATTCAGTACTTTATTGGAAGCAACATTAAAGTATATTAACCTAAAAGTTCCAGTTTCTATTAATTTTTTATTTTTTTTTTTAGGTGGCACAAGATGAAAATGGCGTTTCCAAAGGATATGGTTTTGTCCATTTTGAAACCGAGGAAGCTGCCACTAAGTCGATAGATAAAGTGAACGGCATGTTGCTCAATGGTAAAAAGGTTAGTTTAATTTTATGTTTTCCCTTCTTATTTTTATTGGCTTTTTGTTATGAGAATTAAATTATATCTTCTGTTAGGTTTTTGTTGGTAAGTTCATTCCACGAAAAGAACGTGAAAAGGAATTAGGTGAAAAAGCCAAACTGTTTACCAATGTATATGTTAAAAATTTTGGGGAAGACTTTACTGATGACATGCTGAAAGAGATGTTTGAGAAATATGGACCAATTACCAGTCACACTGTTGTAAGTCATTTTAGTTATATAATTTAATATTTTCTGATCAGGATTCCTGAATTCAGATTAGTTACCTAACTAGTGAATTTTGATTAAGTGAAAGCTATTCTGCTACTTTTTTTTTGTTCAAGGTTATACCTAACTTGTATTATATTTAATCTGATATTATATGTTACATTTAAGTAATATATGATATACTCCTCTGTCAATTCAGGCTTAAATATTAATTTATATAATGTTGGTTATGTAATATTTTTTTATGTATGTAGGTTGTAAACAAAGATGGCAAGTCTCGTGGCTTTGGTTTTGTTGCTTTCGAAGACCCAGAAGCTGCTGAAAGAGCAGTTGAAGATCTGAATGGAAAAGAGCTTATTGAAGGAAAAGTAATATATATTTTTAATAATATATGAGTTGTAGTTTTTTTTTTGTTTTTTTTTCTCTTTTAACCTCTTTTTTTTTTTTTTTCGATATAGCCACTATATGTAGGAAGAGCGCAGAAAAAAGCTGAGCGTCAGCAAGAATTAAAACGGAAATTTGAACAACTCAAAATGGAGCGTATGAACCGTTATCAAGGCGTCAACTTATATGTTAAAAATCTAGATGATACTATAGATGATGAAAGATTGAGGAAAGAATTCTCTCCTTTCGGAACCATCACTAGTGCAAAGGTAGATATTTCAAAATTAGTTTTATTTAATAGTAAATTTTAATGTCTATACATTGTTAGTAATCATTAAATATTATTTTAGGTCATGTTAGAGGAAGGGCGTAGTAAAGGATTTGGCTTTGTATGTTTTTCATCTCCCGAAGAGGCTACCAAAGCAGTAACTGAAATGAACGGTCGTATTGTTGGTACGAAACCTTTATATGTTGCTCTTGCTCAACGTAAAGAAGATCGTAAAGCTCATTTAGCATCTCAATACATGCAAAGAATGGCCAATATGCGTATGCAACAGATGGGACAGGTATAATTGTTTTTCGAACATTTTTTTTTTTTTTCTGTTATTAGTATGGAGGTAACATTCTTTTTGTTTGTAGATCTTTCCTACTGGTGGTACAGGGGGCTATTTTGTTCCTACTTTACCTCAGCCCCAAAGATTTTTTGGACCTGCTCAAATGGCACAAATGCGCCCTCAGCCCCGTTGGCCAGCTCAGCCTCAAGTCAGACCCAGCACACAAGCAGCTGCATCAGGTATCAATTGAAGTTTTACTTTTTCTCAATTTAAAAAAATAATTCTATTCATATTATTTTTCATGATTCATAATTGTGAGTAAATAGTTGACTGTCGTGAATAATGAAGAGAAGAATAGTTGGGGTGATCAGTCAAAGAGAACAGAATGCACTTCTTTGTTCACTTCTCTGTTAATACTTTTTGGAGACAGCTCTGATGAAGGCCTGAACTTCAGGTCGAAACGTCGGCAAATGTAAAAATAAATATTATCATTTATTTTTGCCTTCTTATTTGACTGATCCCCCCAAATATTCTTCTCTTCATTATTTTTCATGATATTTTCAATCAAACAAACTGTCTCTGTGACCTAGTTAAAAGTTAAATTTTTAAAACCTGTTAATAACTATTTCATCTCTTTTATTCTGAATGAGTTTTCTTCAAAGACACATTATTGGTAGCCTCTATTATGTCCACTTAGCACACAACTGAAGCTAACCTAACACAACTTACGTTGTGTGTAGTGTCATGAAATATTGCCACACTACAGAGATATTCATATAAATAAAAATACTTTTATTTAATAAAACATTGAATTCGTCTTTTAGTGTTTTACATTTTTTTGTTCAGGATTTCCCAATATGCAAGGCCCATTCAGAAGTGGACCACGAGGTCCAGGTGCTGCTGGCGGTGGTGGCGGCCCAGGAAGTGCCGCCGCTGCTGCTGCAGCCATGCGCTCATCTATCAGTGCTGCTGCTGCAGCTGTGGCAGCGGCTGGGCGACCAACAGCCAATGCTGCTGCTGCTGCCGCTGCCGCTGCTGCAAACCCAGCTGTCGCCCGGCAATTGGCCCAAGGAGGTTCTCAGGTTAGCATAATTCTAGTTTAACTTTGTTGTCCATTACTTATCGCTAATTTAAATGTAGCTATTGGCCTTTTCTTGCTCATTGCTAATTTTAAAACTTAGTTCAATTTTTAAAAATTGCAATGGTTAAAGTAAATAACATTTTATTTAATGAATGAATAAATGTTAATACATCAAATTTGTTATTATTCTTTTATTAGTATAAGTGTGTTCCAAAATACAGGTAGTTCTTAAGAACCATAATTTCTAAGTTACTTTCAGAACTTAAAAACATTGTTCTATGGGGTGGTTAATATTGATATTTTAAAAGATTAAATTAGATATCTTCATAGATTTGGTTTCACTGTATTTTTCTCCTATTTGACACAGTATGCAATATCCTTTAGATTTAGAATACATTTTTTAAATTAAATTATATCAAATTTAATTGAAGTTAAATTATAGGATCCTATGATCCTACAAAATTTGTATTTATCATGCATGGTTAAGCAGCTCTCAGTCAATAGCTATATATGATGTCATTCCAGTAATAGTTATTATGTACCAGACTTATTCTTGTTTTATTTAGTCTTAGTCAGTTTTATTCTTGTTTGATATATAATCACATTTGTATCTTTTATTGTCAAAAACTGCATTGATATCTTTGCTTTTACCAAAACACAGTTAATACTAGGTGTCGCTTGAGTCTGTATGTAATTATTGTAGAGATTAATAATAGTACTTTATTTATTCTGGAACAAGTCTCTTTAGAGTATTATTAGAAGATAGTGTTATTTGCATTCATGTTTTAGAAATTTAACTTTTTTTTTTTTTAATCCTTCGTTTACATTTTCACATATAGTTTACTTTTTCAATAAATATTTCTTTTATTCCATCTATTATTATTCACTGTGGTCAAAGGAATATGGTGTTAAAAACTGACCATGTTTTGTATTTTTGAAGGGTGCCCCTGTATCTGTGTCTGCTCAAGGCCGTCCTGCAAATTACAAGTACACCGCGAACATGCGCAACCCACCCCCAATGGGAGGTGGAGCAGGAGCAGGTGCAGGTGGACCTCCACAGCAAGCCCTACACATTCAAGGACAGGAACCACTCACCGCAAGCATGTTGTCATCAGCAAACCCTCAGGAACAGAAACAAATGCTTGGAGAAAGGCTCTTCCCCCTTATCAGAGTAAGTTTCCTAAATTTTCATTAAAGTAATTCTGTGTAACTAAGATGGCTGATAAATTTATTTATTTCCTAGAGATTAAGGAACTTAATAACAGTTTACAATTTTAGTATTACTTTGAAATAACTCTTATTTTAATAAAAAATTCATCACGGCGGTATATTGAAATTTGATTCTCAAGTTTCGGGAAGTAAAAAAAATATGTTTAATTTCCTTAAAAATTAGATTTTTTTATATACATAGTAATAATATTTTTTTATGTATACTGTTTTATTAATTTCAAATCATCTAAGGTTAAAAATATTACGCCTAATCTTTGTTATTTTAAATAAAAAATTTTTTTTTTTCAGAGTATGTACCCCGATCTGGCTGGTAAGATTACAGGAATGTTATTAGAAATTGATAACTCAGAATTGCTACACATGCTGGAGCATCATGAGTCCCTCAAGGCCAAGGTTAGTATATTTCTCTTGATTTAAAAAAATTAAATCTCATATATAATTGAAGAAATACTTTATGCAATTTTAAAGCCAAGTAATGTTTTGTGAAAATTTGGATAAAAATTGTATTGCAAACTAAAAGATAAACTCTCACATATTGAGTTACTTAATATATTTTTACATTAAATTAGCCATATTAGGGATAGTAGAGATAATTCAAACACTCAGCTAAAAAAAAAAAAAAAAAAAAAGACAGACAAAACAATACATTTCTCATCAACAGTTAAATGTACATTAGCTAGAGCCAGTAAATCATTCCATAATATCCAGACACTTATTGAAGACAAGGAAAGGGAAATACACAAGAACCGGTCTGGAAGGTTAGAATCGAACAGATGTAAACAAAAATACATCATGAAGTCGCAATACTAATACTAATAAAAAAAAAATAAAAAATGATGAATGCATCAGAAGAAAAAAAACAAAACAAATTCATAGCAGCTAAATGTAATTTAAAAAAAAACAGGTGTTAGCACATATAAATATTAATGACAAATTATTTAGATTTCTTAAACATCCAGAACTCTCCACGCTTCAGAATATAACGCGTTTTACCTTTATTTTAGAGACTCTTAGATTTTTTGTATTTTTCAAATTATAACATAATAGTGATATTTAATTGACTCTTGCAAGAAGAATTTGCGTTTGCATCACTTTTCTTCAAAGGTGTTAAATGTGTAAGGCTAAGGTAAACATTGCTAGTAACCTTAATTTGTAAAATAATATTCTACAATAGGTCATTCAGTAGTTAGTGGTTACTGATTTTGTGTATAAAAGTCTTCATTAGACTTCAGTTCATTGTGAATTAATTCTTGCTCCCTTACTACTAGAAGTAGAACAAAACATGTTTTATTTGCCCATTGCTTGTGTATAATGAAAAGTTGACTAATTCTGACTTCTCTTTGCTTTTTCATTCTCAAGAGTGAATGTGTTTGTTAGGTTTCTGTTACTATTAATATTTGTTAAAACTGTGATTTTAGTCTTTTACTTTCCTAGTCTGTGTATAATAATATAAGCTTCCTTTTTTTTTTTCTTTTATTTATTTATGAATTTCAATACTAATATTAATCTTGCTCTTTAGGTCGAAGAGGCTGTCGCTGTACTACAGGCCCACCAGGCTAAGCAAGCTGCTGCATCTGTCAAAAAAGAATAAGAGAAGTAAATTATTATGGGTTAGGCTAGGCCCATGGCCAGGCATAACTTTAGGAATGGGGGAAACCCGACCACGCTCTCTTCATTCGCCCCTTTCACCTATCGAAAAGAATAAAGGAACAGAAATAATGCCTTAAACTTAAAAAAAACAAAAAATTTGCTAAAAACATAAAAAAGAAACAAGTAACAGTCTTGAAACAATTTTTATAAATATTAACAGATCATTTTCAGTAATCCCCTTTTGCCCATGATGTCTTCAGGCGAGGATATTTTTTTTATTCTCAAATTATGTTCTCCCATTCCTGTTCGAAATTTATTTTTGTAATTTTCCTTTTTCTTTCTTTTCTTTTTTTTACAACTATTATTTCTATCTTTCTTGTGACATTGCAGCGTATTGACATTATTTTTAATCTTAATTGTAATCTTGATTTGTTTTGTATTATTTTCTTGGTTCTTAATTATTATTATTGTATTCATACTATTAATTATATTATAATGGTGTCTTTGTTCAATAAATCTTTGCATTTATTTGCAACATTAAAATGTTTTGGTAAATTTTATGTATTTCTTTTAATTGGAAGTTATTCTGGATATTGTTTTATGACCATTGTGGTGCTGTGGTGGAAAAAAAAATTAAAAAATCATCTTTTCCTTTTATTATATTTTTTACATTTTAAAGTAAAACATTCCGTAGTTTTTCCTGAATATGAATTGATATTTTGACTTCATCACAGCAACCAGTTATTAAATTAAAATTGATTTTTTTACATCAAGTTATATCAATTTTCTTGATTTAACTTAAATATTCCACTCCTGTTTTCCATTATATTAAAATACCCTTAAGTCCTTATTTCATTTACACGAGCTTAGAAACATTTACAAAAACTGAAAATGTGGATTATCAGTTGTTATTGTTTTCATTATTATCCTGTGTTTATTGCTTAAAATTTTATGTAAGATGCTTGTCAGTCACTGGACTTAAAGTATTTTTTTTATAAAAACTGATGAAAAAAAAAATTCCTTTTAAAAAAATAGTAAAAACATCCACATTACGTTGAAGTGTTTCGGTATTAAACATATTAATAAAGTGAGTTAACATTTCCTTTTTATTGTGTTTAGTACCCAGTTAATATTGCTGGTTTAAAAGTTGTATATGTTTTCTATTTATGTGGAATGAAAAACATGTAAAAAAATGAAACTATGTTAACACATACAATTAAAAAAATGATTGAATAAAAATGTTTTTTTTTATTTTATCCTCTATCACCATTGTACTTAAAAAACATTGGTAGAAATTTTTTCATTTGAATCTGTAGTATTCGAGCGTTTCTTAAATATTGTCAAAGTAAAATTGTTTTATTTGACGATGTCAGTTTTTTAGGATCATTGAAGTAATTAATAAATTGGTGATCACAGCAGAGCTTTCAGCATATAGGTACTTAATATGCTATGCCTAGTCTCAAAAACTGCATGTTTGGTTTGCTTCTAAGTTTGGGGAAAGTAAGGGACTTGCTTATATATAAATTGTCAATCAGGTTTAAATTTTATCTGACTCCATCAACCATTTTCAATAAATGATTTTACTAACAGATGCACAAAATTATTTTCTTTGATATATCTGTATTTCAAAAAGGTTTGTTCAATTTGGAGACAAAATGTATTAATTTTGCAAGATTTTTTTTAAATTGCTCAAATTATTGAAGGGTAAAGAATATTTTGACTCTACACTAAATTACTACTTATTATTTTTTTTAAGACTCCATCTGTTCCCAGCAATTTAAAAATGAAATATGTTTATTATATGGCTCATCTGCTGCAAAATCAGAACTCAAAATACTCCATTTTCCAGGCAATGCATTATTTAGTACTATATTAGAATAAAAATTGTACAATTGGCCTTGTGGTTTCATAAATGACATTCAACTATTTAAAAAGCTCACCTCACTGCATTTGTCCATGTGCTATTAACCACAAAATCATGATGTTTAAGCTGTGACAGTGAAGAGGTGATATATTGTTAGTCATTAACCAAGAGAAGAATAGTGAGAGCAGTATTCAAATCTTTACTGCCTTCCTCTCTATTATGATAAAACAAAATTATTAAGTCATTAACCAAGAGAAGAATAGTGAGAGCAGTATTCAAATCTTTACTGCCTTCCTCTCTATTATGATAAAATAAAATTATTAAGTCATTAACCAAGAGAAGAACAGTGAGAGCAGTATTCAAATCTTTACTGCCTTCCTCTCTATTATGATAAAATAAAATTATTAAGTCATTAACCAAGAGAAGAACAGTGAGAGCAGTATTCAAATCTTTACTGCCTTCCTCTCTATTATGATAAAATAAAATTATTAAGTCATTAACCAAGAGAAGAATAGTGAGAGCAGTATTCAAATCTTTACTGCCTTCCTCTCTATTATGATAAAATAAAATTATTAAGTCATTAACCAAGAGAAGAACAGTGAGAGCAGTATTCAAATCTTTACTGCCTTCCTCTCTATTGTGATAAAATAAAATTACTAACTATCCATATTGTGAATAGTGTATTTTTCATGTAGCTTTTGTTAAACTTGATTTTGTAGTTAACGAAATAATGGTAAATGTGATGCTAAAATAATTGTTAATATGATACATAATAAGGGATTTCAACCCAGTTGTAACATCCTCACTAACCTTATGGTTAGAATGAGAGATCCTGATAGTTCCTCCTTTGTAAAATATTTACTTAATGTTCATTAAGAAAAATAATACAATTTAGTGTTTTAGACAACCGCTTAAAATAAATTTTTTTTTTTTTAAGAATTTCAAAAAATGATCCAGTAGATCATTAGTAGTAGAATCTATTGAACCTCAATAGATATCCACTTTTTCTGTTGTTATTTATTATTATTTTTAGACTAGATTACCAAGATGCTATTTTAGCAGTATAATATCTAAAATCAAGTAATATACCTAAACCAGTCAGGACAAGAATGTGAAACGGATAAACATGAGTGCAATGACTTCAAAAGTGTTGGTTATTGCAGTATCTTGGATAAATGTTTATCAGTCAATATTGTGATTAGCAGGTTATTGAACTAACTGTATAAAGATAACATAAGTCTCAGGTGTCAGAATTAGTAGATGAATTAATTTAGGATTTAACAATGAACTATAAATAGAATTGTTGTTAATAATTAAAATGACTCTTCTCAACATTTTAATTAAAAATAATGCTCCTACAAATAAATTATTTTTTTGACCGCACCCTCGACTAATTCCTTCTCATATCATATCAACGGTCAACCAACTCTACATCATTATTTAAAATATACTTTTTTTTAAACTTCTGTGGCTCGACAGCCCTTGTAGGGCCTTGCCACAACAATGCCTCTCCAATCCTCCCTATCAGCAATATAATATCCATATCCAGGTAGGCTTCTCCATTGTCCAATTCCCATCTTCTGCAAATCGTCCTCCACATCATCAATCCATCTCCTTCTTTTGCCTCCTGATTTACCATATAATAGTCCTTTTGGGTGTCTCATCGCCCATCATTATATATATTGAGTTTTTTCCTTATTTATTTTAAGACCCATGGTCTTAAAATCATAATGAACTTTTAAAGCGAACTGGATTATTGCAACTCTGAGGAAGGATGATTGGGGAGTCCAGAGTGGGAATTAGAAGTCAGAATAAGAGGTGGGTGATCTTGAGGAATATTTCTCTCTCCAAGGAATATTTCCTCACATTTTTGAGGTCAGAATATAAGGGTAAGAACTCAAGCTTTCCAAAGACAGTAATATTGCTTTACAGAAAAATATTCCATGAAGGGGGAGGGGGAGAAGTAATGTTCTTCAAGAGCACATGTCTCTTATTCTGTCTATTACTGTAATAAATATTTACTGTTGATGAACTTTTTGAATATTTCTATATATTTTTCTTTTATATGAAATTTGCAATGATCATACTAACATTTTCATAATTTTGCCTTATTTCCCAAATTAAAAAAGAACACCACATATTAAATTATTTGTTCTTTTCTTTTGAATAAATCAGAGTTCTTGCAAAACTAAATCACTAATCAGCCACGAATAAATAATGACCACTAAGATCATAAGAACAATCAGAAAAAATTAATTTTATCTCCAAACGATTATAAAAGTTTTCTTTCACCATTGACCATGCTCTATTAACCCATCGAAAGTATCTCTATTGTAACCTACATTAGAAGTATTGCTTTGTCGAAGTAGTTCCTTCTTAGAGATTCCTTGGTTCTTTTTTCTCTGTTGTGATCTAAAACTCTTATAGAACTGTTTATTAACCATTTTATGATATATTTAGCTAAACTAATTGAAGCAATGATAAAAATAACCGTAGCAACATAATTAATAAAAGTATAGAATTCAGTTTGCTCAAATTTATTCAAAAAAGAAATTTTAATAAGGAGGCATTGGAACAAAATTTTGTTTAATGTTAATAAACGAATTATTTATTTTATACAATATTAAAAACAAAATAAATATATGAAATAAAATGAATCTCAGAGAAAAACTGTTTGAAATAATCAATTGGCTCAAACACATCTTTATATTTTTGTGTAGAACTGTAAATAATATTGATACTTGGAACTTTTCCTGCACATGGTGAGTGAGGTACTCCACTCAAAATAATTTTTACCTTTTATAATATCATTCGGGTAAGGAAATTAAAGGCAAACGTAAGATACAGGTTCATCATAGATTTTTCCAATCTTTTTTTATTCGACGGCGCTCGCACAACAATGAGCAAGCAAAAAAAGCTACAGTATCTGTAAGCAAAATAAATGAATTACTTTAAACAGTAGAGTACGCTAATACAAAGAATTGATACAAAATGGTATCACTATGTCATTTAGGCAATGTTGCCTCAACTAAATAACAAAAATAATCTGACTTGCCTGTTATGAGAGGTTTCCACAGTCGAGGGCCATTTGTGAAATAGTTGGAGATAGCACTGCTGAGAGGAGAGAGTGCCAAAAAAGAAGGGAATACTGGGAAACTAATTGGATTGATCAAGCAGAAACTTCATCATTTTGACAAACGCTATCTTTCCCAGGTTAATATATGTTTATAATATATAATTTAGGTTTATATCATACACAATGAATTACAGTAATTTATGTTTAATGATATATAAAAATACACAATTGTAATTAAATATAATAAATTGTAATATACAATTTGATCACAGACAGAATGATTAAAACTGAAATCATATACTTATAATTATGTATACTTAAGGGAATAGTAATATCTAGGAACTTGTGACAAACTACATAATACTCAATTAATAAATATTATAAAAAAATTATTATTTTGTCCAAAATAATAAATCTCAATTCTGGCTCATGAATTTTAAAACAGATTAATTTTATTTATAGTAACAAACACTTGTTATTAAAAATAGGTGATAAAATATTTAATTATTTACAATATTGTAAAGAGGCAAGATAGAATTTAAAACAATCTACAAGACAATGTTTACTGAATTATGTACACACTGTGATAATAAAATATTAATATTTTTTAAAAATAAAATACACGTTTTAAATATACACAATATAAAATACAGATGTGAAAGAAAAAATATCAGCCCGCTGCTTTTATTCTTCTACTGCAAGCTTCTTGAAAAATATTCTTGACCTCCGTCCAAATTTCATCAAAGGAAGTATCAAATAGTTCATTTAAGAAGTCCCTGGATGCTATCCGTACCTGACATGTTGATAACACATAACAAACATCACTAAACACGCACACATCTTGAAACAGATCACCATGAGCTTGCTTGATTCTAGAAAAAAAAATAATATAATAATAAAAAGCACATTTATACCAAGAAGCATTTATATTTTAAATTGTAAGTATCTTTGCAATTTTTGCAGCATTTTTAAAGTTAAATAATTTTGTTTTTCATTTTATATACACAAATTTAAGTAAATAGAATGGACTAGGATAATTATATTCCGAAAATAAATCTGAGAAGAATGGAAAATCAAGTTTCTCATGAAAAAGTATTGTAAAAGTTAAAGTTTTTATAAATATTTAAAAAATTAATTTAAATGGATACCAAATGTCCCAAATTAATATAAGCAGCATTTAAAAAATATATAAGAAGGTGTATTATTTATTTACTTTAAAGGTGTTATGTGACTTTAAAAGAGAAAGGAGTTTTTAGTATAGTCACATCGCATAGTCGAGTAATGGCCTGGGTTAAGTACAAGCAATCATTGCATTGTTTGGAACAAATTCAGTAAAGTTATAGACCCATTGAAGTCAGACTAAAATCAGCCCTATTGAAGTGGTATAAATGTAAAGAAAGTGGTAATGTCAAAATTGGTTGGAACTTCATTAGATTGGCAGATGTATGATTAGGAATTGACTGGTAGGGCAGAAAATAAAATTATATACACAGATAATTTAATTTTTAAATAACTATCAAGAAATATTTTCTTAAAACATTTTCATTCGTTAATGTAATACACCTCCTCTACATTTTTTTCATTAGAATTTCACTCAATAAATGAACTTTTAAAATCAATTCTTATTAAGTATATTGATTGACTGAAAATAACCACAAATAATGATTTTTTTATAAAGACTAATTCCTTTTCTCTATACAAAGTTTTAAATTTCAGATTGATCCTAACTTTCATGTGTTTACATGAGAAGTACTATGCTATGTAAAAAAAATAAATAAATAAATTGGAAATTGTTTTGAATAATCAAAAACTCTGACGAACAGGAAAGGAATAAAAAAAAATAAAAGATAAGCAACTTGTCAAAGTAATAAGTGACTAAGGACTTGGGTTCACAACTGAGAAGGCTTGAAAGTAGAATCAAGAGCAGTTAATTTTGTGCACTGTATTTTCTGATTTTTTCTTTTTTTTTAATAACAAAAAACTAAAAAATCAGAATCAGAGATACTTGAAGAAGCAGTTTAATTTTGGCTCTTCCGTAAATATACAAGATCCACAAAAATGTAGGCTCTGATTATTTTACTATGAACGTTTTCATTAGATTGATCCCATACACATACCCCATGTCATAACAGGATTCAACTCTGTGAGTATTGTTCATAAAAAGTAAATTTTTTTATTTATTTTGTATGACTTTGAGTAATTATATTTTTTCTAATTTATTTTTTACTTACTGAAGTAGAGATTGTTTACAAGTCTTATGCAAAATTGGATTTGACAACTGCTCAACCATTCTTGTCAGTTCACTTCTGATAACTGCTCTACTTTTAAAAATGATTGGCATTGGTTTCTCAACAAGACCTACAAATAAATATTCAGTGTCAGCATTGAAACATTTTATCATAATCAAATAAGTTCTAAAATACAAAAGCAATGGAATACGAACTTTCTACGTCTGATATAGAACTTTCATCGCCACTATTATCATCCAGAGGTTCCTTCTCAAGATCCAACTCTCCGTCCACCATATACTGGCCTTCCGATTCTAAAAAAAATTAAATAAATTAAAATATTACATATAAAAATTTAAATACACTTAAAAAATAAGAACTTATATATCTAAGATGATGGTGGAAACAATTTAATAACTTAATTATTAATAATGATGTAGAGATGGTTGACCGTGATATAATATAAGGAGTTGATCAGGGGGGAGGGGGGTGAGGATGCGGTCAAATAAATACTAAATTATAGAAATAGTATTATTTAATTATTATGCCTTCAAATTAATTAAATAATACAATTTCTATAATTTAGTATTTACTTGACCGCAGTAGCAGTACTTAGGATAGGATATGAGGGAATGGAGTTTCTATTGATAGGATAGACTAAGGTTTTTTTTCCAAGAAAGACCGTAACTTCATAAAACATTAATCAAACAAATAGAATAATCAAAGTATTATACAATAGATTTTTATTTATTTTAAAATAAGACCAAAACATATATATATATATATATATATATATATATATATATATATATTACTCTAAAGCATTTAGGAATCCATTTTGTTGAGCATCAAATTTTTTAAAAAATAAAATTTTTGGCCAACTACTTTTAGGTCCACTTCTACACAGAAATCATTTTTTTTCTGGGACAAATTCCCTTAAGAATAACAATATTATTCATACTTCCATAAATAAATAGAGACAAAAGAGAAAAAACAAACCTGACGTGTTGACCATTGTATTATGAACACACTTTGGACCGAGAAAACATATTTCACGGTGAAAAGAAGGATTTTTCAAGTCGTTCAGACCTGAAAATAGTCATATATTCACATAAATTAATCCAATAAGTTAATTAAATGTAGAATAAATTAAAAAAGGTAATAAATTTATGAAATAAAGGTTAATAATCAAAAGATTATCCTTAATTAATTCAGCTCAAATTTCAACATAATTGCATCTCAAATACACTCTTTTGCATTATAACATACATAAATACAACCTAATGCCTAAACCTCCATATGTTCATAAAATAAATTATTATACTTACAGGTACAATTATCCATGTTATACCAAAATATCTATTATGCTAGCAGAATTACAGCTTTCCACAATAAAAAAATATATTTATTTTAAAACACAGAGATTTTTTGAGCTAACACCAATGTCTGAAAACCCTATGATCCGAACAATAGGAAACTATGACAAAACATCTTTGAAACGGTATACACACAGACGGACTAAATACATACTACTAAACGTCTAAATCAATCAGTTTATTTGTGAAAATTTTCTTTTATTTATTTTAGTTCTTTCTAAATGATAAGGAAACTAATCATTAACAAGTTATGGTAAGTTTCCTTCAAACAGTTTAAAAAAAACTGTGTTCATAAAAAAAAAAAAAACTATAAGTGTAAAGGCATTAAATGGATGATGTTGGGTTATTTAATTTTTCTACATAAATTTTAGATGGTGTTCAGTTTATCAGAGGCATTTGGTCATCACTCATTTTGTGTGTGAAACAGGCTAGTATAGTCTAACTTTAATGCTGTTATGAGACAAAGCTAGCTGAATAATAAAATCATAGCAAAGCAATACAAATAAAATTTATAGTAATTTACATTCAGGCAAATTCACAAAGTTAACCAATCATTAATAAAAAAAAAATCATCCATTTAATAAAAAATAAAATCAGGAGTTAAAACTTTTATAGAATTTTTTTTTTTAAACTTCTATTTTAACATTTTCTGTGAAAATTTTTAGTAAATAGTTCTTAAAATAGAAGTTTTAAAGAAATTTTTTAAATGAAATTCCAGGTTTATGGTAAAAGTTAAGCTTTTATTTATTCAATTTTTTAAAAAAAGTTCTGTTAAATGAAAAATAAACTATAATTGGGCTTAAATCAGAGTAATAATTCGTCTTTAATGAATTACACATGATTCTAATGTGTGGTTTGTTTGAGTAGCTGTGAATAAAAGTCATGTTTTAGATAGACTTTTTAGTGATATCAACTGAAATTCAAATAAAAGTTTTTTTTTAAATAAAGGTCTGCAATTCCTTTAATTGAAACATTGTAAGGGAAACAGTTCTAGTTACAAAAGAACAGAAAAACCATCAACAATAAAAATTTCGATGATACCAATACTTTTTAAAAATAAAAGTTTTTTGTCCGTTTTTCCCTTTCAAGCCTTGAATAAAATAACACTAAAACTCAAACAGCACAGAAAATTTTAGTTCATTCATGATGACTATTAAATGATTGTTGATAAAGTTCTCATCAGCCATCTCTTTGTAAAAATTGTTGAATGTATAGTTTTAATTATAAGGGGTGGGAGTAGCTTAGTGAGTAAGGTACTGTGCTCCTATCCTTCAGATCCCAGGAGCATTCTATTTCATCAGCCTTGGATGGAAGTTAGTAAATCCTCTTAGGGCACACCCATCCTCTATAAATAGGCCATTCTTAATTAAATAATTAATTAAGAGGAAACCACTTATTTTGGTGTTTGAGCCTGATCTCAGACAAAACACATCCATGCATAACTGTTAACTAAGAAACAGTGCTTCTTTAAATAGTACCAAATCTCAGGATCCTCCATGGATTGTAGTGGTACAGGTTATTTTTAAAAATTAATTTTGAAATAAATGGAGCTAATAAATACTCAAATTTTATCTTTACCAATCTTTGGCGGTAAATGATTATTTTTTAAATTTTATAATTTATGGACCTAATAAATATTAAATGTTAATCTTTAAACAGTAAGGTTGTTTATTCAAGTACAAATTTACCATGATAAGATTAAATTTTATTCAGAGATAAGTTAATGAACTGTTATCTCTATATTATGGATGGTTCTATTTCTTCTATTCTATCTTCTATCTCATTTGATAAGAAATCTAAACAGATAAATGCCTTACAATTTTTTCTCCTTTTTTTATAGATATAATTTGTTATTAATAATTATAAATTATATTTAAGTAAACTTGCTAATTATAATTCTTAAGAATCAGTAAATGGGCATAATAATTAGATGAGTTAGATAGAAGCAGGGGAAAAGAAAAAGCAGTACCCAGTGAAACCCTAAAATATTATTTGTAATTTATATTAGTACATTAGTTTTACATCGAAATCCACCCTTATCGTATCTCTGATGAAGATGTGCATAGTTGGATTGAAATGTCAGTTCAAAAAAATATTTTATTATTTAAAATTTTTTTTTTACCACCAATCCAGACCATCTCTTTCCTCAACATACTACGGTCAACTATTGAGTATTCAATAAATAAATGTTAATGAGTAGCCAAACAATGTATATTTATTCTAAAATCTAAGACTAATACTTAATAAAGTTGATTAATAAAAAATATATAACTGAGGATACTAAAACATTTTAAAGCATTCTCTCTCTCACACACACACATATATATGTGTGTGCGTGTGTTCGTCTATATAAAGGATTTGGTTAAATATAATTCTATTTGTTGTAATAAATGGGTCACTGAAGCATCACAATAGTAATAATAAAATTAAACAAAGATTCAAAAGTATTAGTTTAGCATAACAGGCTTTTTGAATTTTCAACACAAATAAAGATGACATCAGAACAAAATTCGATATGACAGGTAAAAACAAACAAAGCAATTTGAGTATATTAAAAACAAAATACCAATAAGAAAGTTTAGTTATATCTAATCCGCCAAATAAAAATCTAAAATACAATTTTATAACTTGTAACCTGGGTAACGAGAGAGCCGATGCTGCTGCCAACTCTGCCCGACGTCAAGGAACTGCACAAACCACAATAATTGATGCTATTCCTCGAGAAGATTGAACACACCAACTTGCCTGCTTCTTTCAAAATAAATGGAAAGTTGAATGGAAAATGAGTTCGGCAAAACTGCAGGAAATAAAAACAAAATGTATCAAATGGAACACATCAAACAGAAAGTCTAGACGAGAAGAAGTGATTCTATGTCGGCTATGAATTGGGCACTGTGAGTTTTCCCATGGATAACTCCTGCGAGGATTAGAAGCTCCAACTTGCACACATTGCCTAGTACCCAGAACTGTAAAACATATATTAGTAGAATGTAGAAGGTACACTAATATAAGGAAAAAATTTCAAATGGGAACGGAAATGAAAGAAATTCTGCAAGATGGAGAGAATGAAATAGAAAAACTGTTCAAATATTTAAAGAATATTCACTTTTATCAACGAATATAAAATTGAAACATTAAGCCAATGACCCTTAGGAGTAGAGGCTAAATCAACAAATTAAAAAAAAAAAAAAATTATAACTTATAAAACGATCATCAGGCTAAAAAAAAATTAAATATAATAAAATAATTGACATAAGTTCAAACATTGATTGTACATTAAATGAAAAAATTTCCTTCTACACTTCAATACGTTTTAAACTTCTTGAACATAAAAAAACATACACCACAATGTTACAGTTTACAGGTACACATATACACTCTTACTCTTAATAAACAGGTCTAAAATCAATATTTTTTACAATAAATAAAAAATAAAATAATATATTATGCAAAATATATAGTTACGCAAAATTATAATTATTTATCTACATATTTAAGATAATTACTTTTAAATTGGAATGGTTATGGTTGTGACCTTTTCATTGTGGATAAAAAATATACTAAAAATAAATTAATGAAAGCAATTACTGTTAAAAATAAATACCTTGAACTCGAAGATTTTTCGATACAAAAGACACATGATTGTTTACAAGATTTTTTTCTTCTTTTAAGAAAAGAGATTCAATAGAAACTGGAAGGGTTATTCCCATATGAACAGGGATGGGCAAATCTAAGAAAAAGTCAAATTTTAATCAAAAATAATTTATAACAATAATTTTGTATCAATTGATTATTAAAAACTTACCCGGCCCAGAAGATTGAACTGAAACGACATCTGGTGCAGTTTCGTCTAGAGTAGAAAAATCTACTTCTTCTTTCACTTCTGGCTCATTCCAAGCTCCGTTGTTTAACCTAGAAATTGTCCTTATCAACATTAGACATATATAAAATGTATATGTATATAAAAGTTTTTAAATCAAGACTTACACAGGTTTCTGTCTCATAACAGGTGAAAGCTGCTGCAGTTCACCGTATGTTATTAATCCAATGGGTAATGCAGGAGATTGGCCCAAAGATTTCAAAATGCTCTGCCTACTCCCTCTTATGCTGCCTATGGAAAATAAAACAAAACACACAGTAGTAAAGTATTATTAAATCTAAACCTATATTTCAGCACACTTCGGAGACACAACACAAGCTGCAGACCAATGCCTACTTACAACCAGTAACTATGCTGTTTCTATTTTCATAATATGTGAGATAAATATTCAGGACGCAGTCATTATAAAGATTTTATTGGTGCTGACGTTCTAACCCAAACATGTGGGTCATCATCAGTGTGTGTTTCGAGCACTGTACTCATCTTGAATACTTTCAGTGCTCGAATCACGCAATGATCCACATGTTTGGGTTGAAACGTTGGCACCAATAAAATCTTTATGATGACTGCGTCCTGAATATTTATCACCCATGATATGTAGAACAGTCGACTATGTTCCTTCAATATTTTCAAAATACTTTGGAATGCAAATGTTCAAAGTTTAAATATTCAAAAAATTATTTAATATTTAAAAAATGCAAGCTAAAAGTCAAAATCATAACTACTACTTTTACACAAATTAATTAATATTTATTTTTTCCATTATTTGATCAGTACTGTTATTAATACATTATTTTGAAAATAAAAGCTCTTATAAAAATGTTACTTAAAATATGAAGATTCAGATAACAAATAAATAGACATTTACCAATGAAAAGAGAAAATTTTTTTAAATTGTTTAAAAAAAAAATTATGTTTGATTTTCTTTGAGTGGTTAATTATCTTTCAAAAATCAAAGATAAAACTAATAAAAACTTGGATAAATGTGGATTATTACAAAACAAATAAATAAAAATTGAAAAAATAAACAGAAACGATTATTTATTCTCATAAGACATTAATCTATGGCACAGAATACCTTATACGGAAAACAATGAAATGAATATGTTGCATTGTTTATGGCATGTTTTATCAAAACGTTTAGAACTATTGATATTATATCCATGTTCTATTAAAAGATTCAATAATCATTATAAGTAGTTAAAGGATCACCATAATACTTGAACATCATCTTGGTATCCGATTTACCAATCCGATTAACCTAGAAACTGATTAATAATGTTTAAAATTCTATTAATACAAACTAGAAATAAGAAGAGTTGCTTATTGAAAGAGAATTTTATTGACATGAAATGATAAAAAATTAAAATATATTTAACAATTTTAATAGATATACTTCTTGAAAAACTGGACATAATGCTGGCTCTTCTAGTGTGAGGATGGTGATAAGTAACCAAGGAACCGGTGCTTGGTATCGGGCTCAGAGTTTGTACCCTTTCACTGAAAAATAAATTTATAAAAATAAAAAAAGTAATAAAAAACTGATTTTTCTTTTAAGACAGTCAAAGTAGTATTTTATAAAATAGACAAACTAATCATGAAAACAGTTTGTAATGAGAGACTTATCAAAATATGTTGTTTTTTTTTAAACATTTTTTTGTCGCAGCCACTAAGATCCATAATTGACAAGAAAATTTGGCTGTCAAAAACATGAATTAATTACCTAATGCTGTGATGCCTTATATATGTAGTGGAATCGCCACTTGTGCTGCTATCGGTGTAACTATTAGATCTGCTCTTCCTTCCCCCTTCGTATCTAAACATTTTCAAGAAAAAAAAAAAAAGTTGTATCATCGGTAATGATATATAATTGTTGTACATAATTGTAGTCTATTCTTGCTAAAATTTGAATTATAAATTTCTTCAAAACAATTTATCTTGATATTAATAATTCAACTTTAAGCACGGCTTCAGGTCTGATCTATTCTTCCTCATCTTATCAAATTTACTTTCTTATTAATGCTTACGTCCTTTACTAATACTTTTATCTCACAAGAAAATAATAGTAGGTCAAAGTCCCTTTAACTATTTCAGCTATGAATCATTGAATACAATAATATTCAAGCAAACAATAATTTAGTATTCTTACTTAGCATAATCTGAACTATCACTTTGTTCGGCTTTGCTTTCACTATAACTCCGATTATGATAAATAGCTGGGGTACAGGTGTTGTGAGGAAGAGTGGCAGACCTTCTTTCGTGGACACGCTGTGTTCTCCCACCTGGAAATATCAACAAATACAAATTACAAAAAAATTAAATTAACAATTTCATATTTGAAATGAAGGTGATAACTGTATGAACTGAAATACACATGAGAATGATTATATGAAATAATTGAAGCCAAGCGTAATTAAAATGGTGTAATATGTCAATTCTAGGAATGTTCAATGTTACCTGACAAATTTAAATGTTCAACAAACAACAATGAAGAAGCATTACTAATCACACAATACAAAAATAAAAACTTCATACCAGCAAAACTCCAAAATGATTCTTCTCCATAACCATCAACAGACAGAGATTCTTCGGGGAGATCAAAAAGTGGACTTTTTTCACTCTATAGGAAACAAAATAAATATTTAAATAAATTTCAAAAATAATAACCATAGTATTAATAAATTATCACCAACATTATTAACCATTAAATTTTAGGGACATTGAAGCCTATGGGTACTGGTAATGGTGGAAGGAACAAGCTTGGTAAGAGGATTTACAGGTCCTTTATGTAAACCCCAAAATAACTAATGGAAATCTATTGTTCCTCCATATTGAATCTAGATTTTATCAGAATCCTGTTGTTTACATCTTAGTGCGACATACTGGTCACGATCTGCTATATAGCTTAGTGTACTCTCCCATGCATGTCTGCTTAAGCATTAAGTTTCATCGTCTACCTCTCCACAAATGTTAAGATGTTTTTTTTTATTCAGAAAATATCTATTCTCCACAAATGTTAAGGTGCTTTTTTATTCAGAAGAGACCTGTAAGTTCTTTGATGATCATTATATGTCCATATCGGTTGTCAGGCTTGGGGAACCACCAGTTGACAGGATGCCAAGACAAATTTTCTCCTTTTGTTTTTCACATACCTGTTTGTTTTTCAATCCAATTAATTATGTTACTAATTTTAATTTCCATATTGTTTGCCTTTTTTCATCCTTTTTTAAAAATAAAATTTATGTTTAATATTTTTTTTTTAATTAAGTCGACTCCTGATAATTCTAAATTTATGAGACTAGTGTCTAGTGAACTTTTAATATAAATTAGATCCCCTTCTGGTCACAAATCAGTCCTGCTAGTCGGTCGTTCAGCTAGTCACAAGTGTAAATTTAATAGAGATTGGCAACCTTTCAATGGAATGATGAATTAGTGACCAGTATATAGAACTAGTAAATTTTCCTTTATTTTAGGAATTAAAAATAAATACTTAAAATTAGGTTTAAATAAATAAATGTTTTTAATGGATGAAACGATTGTGATAGTTGAAAGACAAAAAAAGAGTAGTGATTAGACAGTGATGAATGTGGTGTACAGTCAACTTTCTAAAGAGGTACATGACCATACAGATGACATCAAACCTTCCCTCTCAAACCTACCAGCAGAGTCATCTCCACAAGATAGGCATGACTGAGAAAAGAGAAAATACAAAAATTCTGAATCATCAATATAACAAAAATTCCATTGTTTATGAAAAATAAATAAATACCAATTCAGAAGTATCATTTCCCAGTTAATAAAAGCTAAGTATTAAATTTTATATAAATGATTAATAAGAATTAAATTTTCTTGAATTCCAAGCTATTATGAGGATTTGAAACATTGGTAGTTCACCACTATAAGTTAATCGATTCAAGGATAAGAAAAATTATATACAACTGTAAAAAATGTATAGAATAAATATGAGAAGATGCAAGGATGATATTTATTCTTCATTTCTGTTATGGTTGAACCTAGTTTACTTTTTTCTTCATGAAGATCTATGACTAAGGATGAAACAAAGAAAAGTATTCCAATTCATCTAATTTCTTTCTCAACCACTCCCCCAAACAACTTTTTCTTGATAACACAATTCGCAAATCTTAAATAAATAAATGAAAAATGAATAAATAGTACCTCACTAGTTATAACTTCGTTCTCGAAAGCAGGGTGCACTACACGAGAAGGAATCAGGGGCCACCTTTCATGTCGATTATGGCAGACACTATACCATCCTGTTCAAAAAATAAAAAGCCAAATATAAATTATCTAACTATCACTTCAGAAGAGGTAAATTATTTTAAAAGATGAGGATGAATAAATAAAAGCAGTAAATTGAACTGATATAAAAGTTCATTGAAAAATTTAGAGCCAGTAGCTGAAAAAACAGCTAATATATCCTTGCATTTAATCTAACTTATTTGGTGTATAAAAGAATGCATAGTTGAATCCTGTTTAATTTTGGAGTGAACTAGTTTGTGGTTCATTTGGTATGCATCTTAAACCGAAATCAGTTTAAATTAAGTTTGGTGGGAAGGTTAGGACAGGGTTTAAACTAGAATTAAACCTAATTCTTGCCTCAAAAATAATCTTACAAATAGACTTACCCAAAGCTTGGAGTTTAGAAACACCATGGGGCGATGTTGCAACATTACTGACTGCAATGATTGCAACCGCTCTCAAGCTGTATATATTGCTGGTTGTAGCTATGCGAACCATATGGTAGGTGATTGAATCATCCAACACACTCGCTATTCCTGAGAGAGAGTATAGAGCTGTTTTTACTTCCATCAGTTCTTCGTCTGTCTCAGGATCTTTAGACCTCTCTAGTACCTTTGAAAAGTTAAATAATAGAATACTTCAATATAACAAAAGAAGTAATAGTAATATTATAAAAATAAACAATAAAATACCTTTAAATGAAAACAAAAAAAAGGGACAGATAATATTTTTTAAATTTGGCAGTTGAATGCATACATTCTACGTTCCTTTATGTACTATATACACCAGAGAACAAATACAATACCTGATGAAATGGATAAAATAATTCCTGATATTTTCCAATGGAATTTCAAATCTTCACTTGATAAGGGCTAGACAGAATCCTTGTGCTAGGCTGAACTAACAAGATAGAGCTAAACATTGCTATTTATATTAACATGCCTAAAGCCCATAATTTACAATTTTAAAACCAAATCTGGAAAATTATTACCAGACCTAGTAGAATAGTTAATAGAATAGAATAGAAAAGAAAATAATTTTATTCTAGGACAAAGCCCCTTTAGAATAACAAAATTAAAATATTATATCTGGACTAAATAAAAATAAAGAGAAATGAGTAATGAAAATATTAGTTAAACATACTATGTACAAAATAAAAAAAATCTATGTATAAAACACATGAAATCATGCCAAGACACTTAAAACTATGTACAGTGGTAAAACATAAATATACACTTTCATAAAAAAAAAAAAAAAAAAATACATGACATTCTTCTTAGCAATAAACTCTGTGTTTCCGTAGAAAAAAAAAAAAAAAGACGAATCTGATAGTAAGTATTTAAGTGATGAATTATATATAAATATAACATTATGTGAATAATTTTGAATAATATGAAATTTTGCCTAAAAGATTACCAGGGAGTTATCTGATTTTTTTTGGGACAGAAATTGGAATAGGAGGGTTTTAAATGTAGATAGGGAGGGAGAATGCCGAACTGTGATAGGAAGGAAAAAGGAAATTAACAGAGCGAGCAATAAAGGAGTTTGGGAACAAGGCAGATCTGTGAGAAGGAATGTAAAGGTTGGAAGGTCGAGATCTTGTGGAAAGGGAGTGGACTGAGAACTTGAATTGGAGAATGTTGTAAGCGTGGGCGGGGTAGCTGAATGGGCTATCGCGTGTGCACAGCACCGCCGTTGCCCGGCAACCTGATATTTGAATCAAATGATACAAAAATAGTCACGAGTTCGCGTCTCGGTGCCGAGGGAGTCTTTTAAATCCCCGCCCACACCCCCTGGCCTGGGAAAACCCTGTATAGCCTTAACGGCAAGGAAGGGGAGGACAAAAAAAAATGTTGGAGGCGTAAGGACGATGATTGTTAATGATTTGATAGAGGAACGTACCTAGGAAATATTGTCTTCGAATGAAGGGGAAGAGCCACTTTAACTTGGTGTAGTGGTGAGAATATATAATACTATATGAGCTAAGCAGTACATCCAATCATTAAATTCTTCCCATATTTTATCCTCTCAAGCTGAAAACTCTTCATAAGATCCTTAAGTTAGTAAATCAACTTTATTTATTTATTATTTGAAAGCTAATCCAGACTTCTATCTTATTATTCAGTTATAATTATCTTGATTTACTTTTATGTAATAATTAGTTAAAAGATTGATCTAACCACCCTGTTATCATATGAACTAGCTAATTAATATAATTACAAATTTTTAGGTTCAAAAACGATAATTTTTGAGAAACTCACGAGGATGTCAGATAACAATGAGATTTCTTCAACTAAGCATCTTCATCTTCCTTCCATTACTCCAAGTCACCCACCAGGCATTCTTCCAGCTAAGCTATCCTTCCATTGAGTATAAGCTTTTCTTTTTTCCTACCTCCTATGCCATTTTAAATGTCCGTTTCATCCTAATCTCCTATTCTTGGTCACCTCTAAACTATTTCATTCATTGATGGTTTATCAGGTTTATCTTTGAGTCCTTGCAGATTTCTTTAAGAAGTCGTCTTCATCAATAGTAAAATTTTATATTGTAGTCTATTCACGCCTCAGCACCACTTAACTTATTACCAGTTCACTGTGTACTAATAAATAAAAATAATGTCCAATTCTAGTGAAAATATTTCCTTGTTGGGATATAATAGTAGTACGAATAAAGAAGTTGGCAAGAGACAAAAATCTAATTATATAAACAAAGATACTCCATAACCATTTATAGCAAATTGGAAAACAATAGTACAAAGACTATCAGTATCTTGCTGATACTCAATTACTCATTAATCATAAATTGACCAGGTAATGCAATACTAATAAATATTATAGAACATAATCAAAGTTACCTGAATCAACTTAGCAACGTAAGGATCAGCAAGAATCATCGCAAGGCCTTGTTGATGACATGCCAGTTGCTGATAAAGATGTGGAGGTAGGAATACTTCTTTATTCCCATTGGAACACTGAGTAGATAGAAGGCTTTCCACTATTGTTACATACCTGTAAATGGAACAATTTAAATTTTACCTTAATAAATAAAGGATCTATTATGAAAAAATGTATTAATTTCAATTAAATGAAATTATTATTATTTATTATATATTATTATTATCTATAATAACATTATTAAACTGTGGTAATAATGACAGCAATTATAACATATATATGTAATAGGGTTTAGTTCCAAATGTTTAATGAAAATCAGACCTAAAGGAGCTGCTGCTTTCTTTACAATCTTTTTCTTCCTTCATATAAAATACCTAACATATAAATAGGCAGGTTTCAAATTTAAATCATCATAAGTCAGAAACATTTCCCAATGAAAACAAGCTTATTCAAATGTTAAAACACAAAATGTATATGTATAATATATTCAAATTGTACACACTTAAAGTTGGCACATCTCTTTTAAGTGAAATTGTGGTAAAAAAAAATTATATTTGAATCAAGAAAATAATCTGTATATTTGAATAGACAAAAACACATCGAATCAGAAACTAATCTATCTCTACAGACCACAACCGAATAAGTATAAAAAAATAATGCCACAATATTTCAGAAAATAATTGTAGAAATTTTAAAAATTGTATTTGCATTTGTTTTTGATACTTTCTCTTTAAAGGGAGGCCACTTGTTATTATACCTTACGAATTAATTGCTATATTAACACTGGTTTGTACTTACATTAAAATTAAATATCTGGAGGCCAGTATTCTACCACACGTGGAAACTTACTTTTGAACGTCTTAATGCAAAATCTTAAATTACAACATTATTGAATGCGCTGCCCGAAATACAACTTCATCTAGCACCTCTGTGTGCATAAACGTGTATTCGGAAGGATCCCATATTGTAGAAAAGCATAGGCAAGCTCTTCCGTTACAGGCAAATCCCACAATTTCATGCAAAACAACACAAGTACAATGGATAATACATTGAAGTTTAATGAATTCAATGTTGAAATTTGTAATTATAACAACAACAAAAATCTTTTTTTTTTTTTTTGAAATCTATTTATTGAATAATAATACAATCAGCCACTGCTGGAGGGCTATAAGCATTAGGGCTAAAAGTTCTCATTCATACAATATATACAAATAATAAAGAAATAAATATAAATATAAGAAGTAAATAAATAATACTGATGAAGAAGGTAAATAAATAAAAAAAATAAAATAAAATAAAAACTTCTAAACACAATCATAACTATATACAATATATACATTTGCCCAAGAATCTCCGAGCCAGGCTTTTACCTCCACACGCGGAAGGCAAAGCAAGACTCCGGAAGATCCCAGTGCCACTTTTCCAGTCGCATCACTAGTATTAGAAGCCAGTGGAGACTGAAAGAGGGCAATACAGCCACAGGCGCTCAGGACATGAGTGGAGAAGCTGGCCATTGCCAGGACTCCAAAGGCATATTTACAAAAGATCTCGAGGCCACTGCCGTTTCAACCTTCGAGGGGGATGGTATGGATGCTCGGAGCTGGATAGGGATTGCGCTAGAGGATTGGGATGATGAATGAGGTTCTGGTGAAAGTTGGAGAATCTGGATGGGATGATGTCATGGACATATGGGATGTTAAGGTCATGGTGTAGGGTCTTGTTCGTGACATAATATGGAGCATTGACTATTGTTCGAAGGACTTTGGACTGGAAGGATTGGATGCGTTTGATATTCGATGATTTAGTTGTCCCCCACAGTTCAAGTCCGTAGGTCCAGATAGGTTTCAGTATGGTCTTGTAGATTAATAATTTGTTTTCTGTTGAGAGATGAGATCTTCTGTTTAGTAGTCTATATAGCTGACCAAATCGTCGGTTAAGCTCTTGTCTTTTAAGTCTCGTATGTGGGTTCCAAGTCAGTCTTTTGTCCAGAAGGAAGCCAAGGTATCGGACTGTGTCTGAGTAGGGAAGAGGAATTGAATTAAAAAGGATTGGCGGACAGGATCTGCGTCGAAGAGTGAAAGTTACATACTTGCATTTTGATTCATTAATTTTGATGCGCCAGTTGTTGCACCACTGCTCAATGAAGGAAAGGTGTCTTTGCAGGTTCTGGGACGCTATTAGAGGATCCGAGTGGGAGGATAGGATGGCAGTATCATCAGCAAATGTTGCTAGGAAGGTATCAGGACTTGAAGGGATGTCAGCGGTGAAAAGGATATAGAGAACTGGGCCCAAGACACTGCCTTGTGGAACACCAGCCTCAATTGGATAATGTTTGGAGAGTTCAGTGCCGCAGCGGACTTGAAAGGAGCGATTTGAAAGGTAAGATTTGAGGACTAGGTACAAGGGTTGAGGTAAATGGGTTTTGAGCTTGAAAAGCAAGCCATCGTGCCACACCCGGTCGAAAGCTTGAGCTACGTCCAGAAAGGCACCAGTGCAATATTGCTTACAACAAAAATCTGGTGCGCGCAACACACAACTTTCACTTACCACTCTATTTGGAATAGAAATTATTTTCTGGCAATGTTGGGCTATTATAAAATTTTTGAAGTGATTTTTAAACAGAGCTAAAGCTTAAAGCTTACAGATAACAAATCATTAAGACTATTAAAATTATAAAAAGTCTATTTATTATATCGACGGTAGGCAATAAAAATCTAGTTACTCCATCTGCTTTTATAAACCACACAACTTCAATCTCTGAGCCTTTCAGTTGATAGACTGACTAACTCCAATTTGAACATTTTTCAGTAATGTCATTTTAGTGATATTTCTAGTTGAAAAATGACTAACTCCAATTTGAACATTTTTCAGTAATGTCATTTTAGTGATATTTCTAGTTGAAAAATGACTAACTCCAATTTGAACATTTTTCAGTAATGTCATTTTAGTGATATTTCTAGTTGAAAAAGTTATCTATTCAGACAGTGAGTTAATTGATTCCGGAGGAGGTGATTGCAGTGTTGAAATACAGAACTGTGAATTAAGATATAAATTTTGCCACTAGAAACATCACTAAAATGTATAATAAAGAATGTTGAAATTGGAGTTTGTCATTCTGTCAACCGAAAAGCTCATATATGCCTAGAGATATTTGAAAGTGACATTTGAGTATTTTTTATTGAGATTATTATTTTTTTTTATTGAGATATTTGAATATTTAACCTATAAATGATTATGACTATTAGTTATTAACCTGTTATTTTCCATTGTAAAGTTTACTAAAACATAATTACGAGATTTTCATTGCCTTTCCATAGATACGTCAAAAGTTGTAACACTAATTGCAAGTGGACAATGTTGGGATTTCACAAAGGGAAAATTCATCAAATTATTCACTTTTTTTTTTTTTGTGGTGGGATGAGTTAACTTCAGAAAAATTATAATTAAAATCATAATGGTTTTGTGAATCAAAAAAGTTTATAGATTATAAGAATTAATTTATTAGTAAATTATGTCTTCATTTCAGCTGAAAAATTAAAATGTCTGATAAAACAAAAAAAATATACTGCAAATGGTATTAGATTTAATTTAAATTTAACTCAGAAAAATATCTTTATCAAAGAGTGGCTGGGAGTCTCAAGCAGTACCTTCCACGCCAACCTTTTTCCCATTTAGTCATATGTGAAAATTCGTTTCTCCAGTTAGAGCTATTCTTGAAATCAAGAATTTTTAAAATATACTTGACCCTTTCATCTTTCAGACCTTCCATGAATCCTCTCACTAGAATTTGCTTCATGAGATGTTCAATCCTGGATAATTCTGTGCTACCTTTATTAGAGTAAATGCCAGGGATAGAATAGGTTCTGAGCATGTGATGGGTTTTGAAAACAATATAAACTATCCAGTTCATTAAGTCCTTTTCGTCAATAAACTTTGAAAAATCAGATTCCATATTGTAGAATTTGTACATCTTTTTCACAAGGCGTTGATTTTCCTCCACGACTTCAATTTGCCATTGTTTGAGCCTTCTGTAGTCGAAGATCTTTCTTACACAATAGCCTCTCCAATAAGACTGAATAATAGTAGCATAGCGATTATATTCATCACGAATACGGGAAATAAAATATTTATTTATGTAATTCTTTTCAATCTGCCATCCTAAATATCCTCTATAATACCTTTGAATCACTGTTGCAGCTTCGTTAAGTTTTTTCATGTGATTTCTTGTTAAAAAGCCTCTGATCCATTTTTGAATGATGGTTGCAGCCCTATATTTGACTAATAGACAACATTCTTCAATAAATCTTTGTCTATATAAATATTCATTAATTGTATCATCAATAATATCTAGGCCAATTTCCATTATAAAATTGTACTGTTAGATATTAAAATTACAAAATTTCTCTGCTAATTTAATTTATTTAATTAAATATTCTCAGACAGACCATACAATAATATAAATGTAAACTTACACTGATAACCATTTGTTTTTAACAGTGATGTTATTAACATCACATTGTTATTAATGTAAAATAGAGCTAATTATTAAGCTATTATTATATTTAAAAAATAAAAACAGATATTTAAAAAAAAAATTAAATACATAATGTAATTACTTATGCTGAATAAAGTATACATTAAAAGAAAATCTGGAAATAACAATCAGCCAATCTAATTTGATATGAACTACTAATTAAAATATACTTCAAGTGAAATATGCAGTATGATTCCTGACATAAAATAAATAAACATGATAAAATTTTTAAATACATTAATTCATATAATAGCCATTATTTTAAAACAAGTTTTATGATTAGAAGTGGCCGATAAAAAAAAAAAAAGAAGACTCAAGAATTAATTAATGCTCTCTAACTGAAAGCGAATCAATTAAATAAAATATATAACCCAATTATAATATATCATACCTGTAATTATAATGGGTCCCCCATTTGGCAAACTGTCCTTCAACAAAGTTGGCCTGGTGCAGAGCCTGGAAACCCTGTTCGGTTGACAAGCAGCGGATAAGAAGGAGTAAGCCGCTATCTCCGTGCCGAAGAAGGCAAGGTTTCTGATCTACTATTTCTTCAACATATTCCTGTAAGCAAATAAAAAGTTTTCATAATGTAAGTTTAGGGATGTGAATATCCAAAAAAGTATCACTGATATTTTTCAAATACACATTGAAATAGTAATTCAATATATTGAGGAAACATTTTGAAATTTTGATATATTGGGCCCCAGGAAATAAAAAGGGGAGTAAATATTGAACAATAATACCGTCTCCAATACCGAGGAGAGGGGGTACCTGCACTTTAACGACAAGGTTGATTTTGATGAAACTTAGCATAAGCATTTCTCATGGACCTACTAATGGTTAATTATGGGTATATTAGCTGTCTTTCATGCTGAGGTTTTCATCAGCATTAAAGAAGCATTTAGCCAATTTGAATAAAACATGGTATACTCCATTCTTGTAGGCCTTCTAAAATTTGTTTGATTGTACATCATCAATATCTAAAGAGTGGAGTGAGGGCCATCAGTACTGATAAAATTTAATAAACATGCTAATTAAACTTAGGCCTCATTATTCTCCACCTTTTAGTTTTATACCATTAATCACTGAGGAGGGGGCAATAGCATGTAATGATCAGCCAGGAGGTCGGTTGGAACAGCATAAATTTTTTGGTTGGTTGATTGTTGTATAGTAAAAGCGTAAAACCTGTTGGTTATCAATGCCATAATTAAGATTATATATATTTATATCTGCTGATTGTGAATAATAAAAATGAACTAAAATTAAAAGAATACAAAATGCACGTCAAGTTTAAAGTTATTAAAGGTTATTACAGATTATTAACATTAAGTTTAAAAAAACAACGAAAAAATGGGGGTGGAGGAGGTACGTGAGAGATTCAGAGATTTTTAAAGATTCCTTCTTCAGAGAGAAAACATGACTTTTTGAAAACAAGATTTGCTCATAATGTTTTCATTTTATTTTTTTAAATGTTGGGTAGGGTGAGCAGGCCGAGCAGGCTAATGAATGTGCACGGCACTGCTGTTGCCTGGAAACCTGATAATTAAAAAATTATCACGAGTTCACGTGCCGGTGCCATGGGGGTTTTTAACTCAGGCATTAATCCCCTGCCCTCATCCTCTGCCCCGGGAAAACCCCGTATAGCCTGAAAGGTGGGAAAGGGGAGACAAGTAATTTTTAAAAATAAAAAGCCAATTTTTATAACATAGCTTCAATTTTAACTGGTTCTAATGATTTTGTTTCATTATTCAACTTAAACTTTCTTAAATGAAATCGTCAGAAACAGTTTTGAGTAGAACTTATAAAACAAAATTGATTTTTTATCTGCTTTCTGAAAATGAGAGATGTCCGTCATTGATATGAGGCCACGTATATGAAGGTCAATAATATTAATTTTGATCACTTAGATAAAGAAAAGTAAAACATTGCTGTTAAAAAAAAAATTAATCATGTATAGGAAAGAATGGGAACAAAAATTATATTGTTCATCTAAATCTTTTCTTCCTTCAAAAATTAATTACAATAACTAAAAGCAAAATTAACTAGATACTGTATTTAATTCATTCTCATGTTAATTTTAGAAATGTTACTTGGCTTTTTTCCAACCTAGAATTATTTGCTAAAAACTCAATGTTTTTAGTGATTATTAATCGATTCCGAAATATCCTGAATCTTTCATGTTAAATGTCGCAACAGATATATGTAAGGAAAAAAACATAATATAATTTTTTTTATAAATATTGTTAGACAGCCTTGAGCTTAAACAATTAACATTAATCATTAAATGGCAAATATGGTACATGTAAATTACATAATATTTAGTTCATTAAATAAGTAAATAATGTATACAGTCATAAATAAATGCATTTACATTACATACATACCTTGCAATACGCTGCCTCCTGTAATGTTTCCAGAGCAGCCTGGGAAACATTTCTATCCGGATCACCAGCTTGGCAAACAATTAAACCAATAACAAAATTCATAAGCGATTTATTATGACCAATTCCAATCCGTATCAGAGTATGCAAGATCTTTGTGGCATATAACCGACAAGAAACCGACTTGGATTCTAAGCTGTACTTCAATATTCTCCTTAAAAAATATATAAATATATTGTTATAGTTTTTTATTTACAAACAGTAACAATAAAATACAGAGGTAACATAATTAATTTACCGAGCCATTTCATCGTTAGAGTAATCTAATGTAGAGACGATGAGTTTTATATAGCATTCTTGATTAGTTGTTTTGACCAATTCTAATAACCTAAAATAAATCCATAATATACATTTCAAAACAGGTTTATATATTGCAATAAACATATAAAAAAAATATTTATAGCAATTTATAGATTCACTGAGAGCTTATTTAGTAATAAAAAAATATTTACAAGATAAAATCGTGTAGAAGATCCATTTAAAAAAAAAATGGACTAGATATAAGAATGGATAGTATTTTATTAGCTTTGAGTTTAAGATAAAAGAAGCAGTTTGTGTTACCAGAGGTCACTTAAAGGACCGATCAAAAGTACGTCAGAGCAGGACCAAACCCCACAATATGAACACTCTGTTCAAATAAAATAAAGAATGGGCATTAGTGTGATATGTACTCCTGGTATATTGTTTCTATATTCTCTATACTGAGTGTCAACCCAATAGCATTTATCAACTATGCAATCGTGCTCCATCACAAGCTTTAAATACTAGCCATGAAGTTGGAGGATCCTAACACAATAATATTATAAATATCTACAGTATACTAAAAAATACTACTCCAAAAAGATTTATAAACTTTGTGTCGGTTTTGAAAAAAAAACCATGATGTTTTTTTCAGATTGACATCCATAATTAATAAAACTTATTTATAATGACATATACTAGCAAAATTTTATAGCAATATGATAACTTACTGCTGATATATTCTTGCTTTTTCTAAAGCTTTCCTACCAGCTGGAGCTCTTGTAAGGTGACCAATAAAAAGAAAATAATCTTGACATAGCGAGCTAGAGATGTTGACCGGAGAAAGAAGACAATCATGAGCTGATTTCGCAGTAGTGATATCTTCTAACTGAAGACGAATAGCACCCAATAGTTCCAGTAGGTATTTATGGCTATCAGACTAAAACAAACAAATATTTTTCAGTAATCAGAAAAAAAATGTACATGTATATAAACATTAGGTTAGCAAATAAATCCTTTTGGTTTTTCTGTTTACTTTTATGTCACTAATACTTCTTATCTGACAAATTAATCCTTGAGGTGGATTGTTTATCCTATTTGTGATATTGTTGGATGAATTTTAACCATTCATGTTAACTCTTGTTAAAATTGGATAAGTATGGTGTTTGCTATAGCGCTGTGAATATTGAAGAAAATATCATTCATGACATTGGTTGGAAAGCTAGCAGAATGAATAGTCTAAAAGTAAAATGCTATTTTCAAATTTAACTGAAGAATACTTTTTATTCTAAAATCAATTTCATATAGATGATAAACACTATCAAAATAGTAATAATAATAATAGTAACAGCATACTTACTTCTTCAGGAGATGCTAAAAGCATTGACAACAACGACAGAGCAGCAAGAGTTAATCTATAGCTCAATTTTCGGTCAGAGCCTATTTCTGTTCTGCCATACTGTCCAGTAACTGGTAAGAGGAAGTTGACAAGTCTTCTTAAAAATAATTTTCTATTAGAATCAGTACTTTTTCTGATAGTCTCTCCGTGCCTCTGAAACATTTCAAGTCTCGACTAATTTACTACTTAAAATAAAAGTATTCAAGATTTTTTTTATTTAAGGTCAGACTTCATACTAAAGAAAATTGATATCGATGGGATGGTTTGCAACAATACAGATGCACTTCTCAAATTTACATAGAGACATTAAAATTAATCTTCTTTAATATATATCTCAAACTTTTTGGTTAGGACTTCACTAATAGTAATAATAAAAACGTTTCCCAGATCCTAATACTCCTAATCTCCAGCCATCACCCTCTGGTCCAGGAAAACCACATGTAGCCTAAAAGGTGAGGAAGGAGAGAACAAAAAAAAATGTCTGCCAAGTGATACAGTACAGCTTTCGGCACTTTTATATTTTAAACATATCAGTGAATTTTTTAAGTGGTTTTGCATTTGGATTAAAATATTTCAGAAACTAAAAATCGGACCTGCTCTCTGTGAGTGCGGAAAATGTTCAGAATTTCATCTCCTTTGTAATGATCTATTACTCAAAATTGTATCTAAACATGACGACATATTAGATAGGCAAAAGGGGAACGAGTTTGGTTGAACATATGAACTAAAATATCTTAGAAACTAGAAATCCGACTTGGGCACTGTAAGCAAGGTAAATGCTTAGCATTTTTACTTCTTTGAAATGAGCTATTATTCAAAATTATACCTTAATGTAACGCCGTGTTAGAGAGATGAAAAGGAAAAATAATGTCGAAAACCAAATGATTACAAGTCTTATTGAAGATATGAACTAAAATACCTCATAAACTAAATATCGGAGCTGGGGAAATGTTTAGCATTTCATCCTCTTTGTTGTGAGCTATTATTAAAAATTGTATTAAAACGCGACACAGTGTTAGAGAGAGACGAAAAGGGAAAAATAGAGTTGAAAATCAACTGGTAATGAGTTTTATTTAAGATATGAATTAAAATATCTTAGAAACTAAAAATTAGAGCTGCATACTTTAAACAAGAAAAATGTTCACAATTTCATTCTCTTTCTAATGAGCTTCATTCAAAATTGTAACTTAACGTGACGCCACGTTGGCGAGGTGAAAAAGGAAAAAGACAGCACCACTGGTGTGCTTAAAGTAGAAAAGAGCCCAGCTTTCTCACCATTTTCACTGATTTCACACTTACCCATATCTCAAGGTCAATAATTTTTGGTTTGTGAATACATTTTTTGAGAAAGGCATATTTGAAAAGTAATCCTACGACATTCGGGTATTTGATATCCCGTTTTGATAATCAGTGAAAACAAAAATACTCATTCTGTATGTTTTCAATCTACGCCATACTCTTTAACAATAAATGATTAAAAAGCTAACCCCTTACTACTTTAGTGTTTAGGAAGGAAATCAAAACTACAAAAACCAATAAGAAATAGACAACACAATACAATTTAAATTAATTTTTTTAATAAAGACTAAAGTCAGGTGAAACTAACCTCATAAAAATATATAAATTTAACCATTCCATATTTCCAATGCCTTCTACATTTCACAGCCATTATATTTTTAACAATTATTTATATTAATTTTAATTGGTTAATAGATTTTAATGAAATTTATACTACACAATTTGTACATTATTCTCCGAATTTCCTCCAACACTGGATTTAATCGAACGAGCCATTATCAAACTACGGGCAAATTAATGTTTGAAGATCTGAAAGCGGAATTTTTGAAAATATTGGATAGAATTTGATGAAATTTGTTCCTACTAGATCATTTGTTTATCAATCACTTACTTCTCTCCGACTTTGGAGCAAATCAAAAGTGCAGTTTTTGTGCTATAGGGGTATCAAGAGAAATACCCTTTTCGCATATATTATAGGCAGTAGAAGACGGAATTCAATAACAGCACCATTATTTTACTACAAAACTCTTTTTATTCTATTGCAATAAAACATTTACATATATGCTTGGAATACCTTTAATACAGCACGTATGACATCCCAGTTCCATACATAAGGATCCTTAGAGGTCATTACTCCAGTTTCTTTTATGGCTTCATCACAAGTACAATGAGCCTACAAAATTAGAACATAATGTGATCACTCTTAGATTATTTTTTTAGAGAAAAGTTAAGAAATTTCGACTTACAATAGGTGGCGGTTTTTCCTCAGTTTGTTGCGGCTCCTTGAGGCATGAAATAAGGTGACTGAGATACAGGGAAGGAGTAGGAGGTTTTTTGTGAAGGCATGATATTGCAAGTATTGCTGATAAAGCACGCCCCTGTGCTTCACTAGAATGATTTGGATTGCAACCTTGTCCTAACCTTAAATAGAAAATTACATTAACTAAATGATCAAGAAGTATTTTCTAAAATTATTCAAATTTATTAAGGTTGATATTTAACAGTAAAAATACAAAAGTCTCTTAGCCATGAACAACTAAATATTTTCAGTAATCAAAGAATTATTTCAATTTAAGAAGATATGAAGAGCTGGTTCAGTATGTACAGGTTGGTTCTTAGTAGTCATATCTTTTATCTTCAAAGAAGGAATTTTTGAAAATATCTGAAACCTTATCTCTCCTTTTTAATTTTTATTATTTTATTTTTTCTTCACAACTAGCAGATATAACTATAAATAAAAGATATATAAACTTAATTAATGGCATTGATAACCTACAGGTTTTACACCTTAACTCATAACAACCAACTAATCAGTATTTACACTTTAAAAGAGAATAAATATTATCAGTTATTTTTACCTTCCTTTTTGACTGAACACCCCAACTATTCTTCTCTTCATTATCCACGACAGTCAACCAATTACCAATTATTTTAAAAGAGAATATATTAGAATGCTACCAACGGGTAGTTCCTCAACCAGCGTTTTCATGTGATTGTATTATTAAGCGTGTGCACATTTACTGGATGTATTTTTAATTTATACAGTTGTAAATCTCATGAATAAATAAAAATAAAAAAGATAATAATTTTTTATTGTCTGGTCATGATTAATTTTTTTTTTCTTTTCCTGCTCTGTCTCGCCTTTTCAGTAACCAAGGCAACTTTTTCATAAGTACATAAAAAAAAAAAAAGATTTAACAAAAAACTTACTGAGGTGAATTAAATTCAGAATTGATAAATTTTCCTAAAGATGACTTGTAAGCAGACCATAGATCTTCCGTATTTCCAATATTAAAACACTCTTCCACCTTTCCCTTAACTTCATTGTAGCTAGGAAATAAATTGACTGGAGAACCTCGTACTGCATATGATATAAGATTAGGAAGACCAGGTGTAAGGCTTACTAGCTCAGGAGGTAGTATAGTATGTACCAGATGGAGGATTTCACCTTAAAAAAATAAATAAAGCAAAAAAAAAAAATTTAAAAACTATCATTTATTCCAAAAATGTTAATTAACTTTTTTTTTTAATCATCATATAAAGTATAACAACGCCTAAGTTAATTTTTACGATAATGAGGTAGATATTTAACTGAATTAATTTCTTCATACACAATTGAATAGTAACCATAAATATGTTAAGCTTTAAATTTGCTAAGAATTATAACAAGGTCATAGGCAATAGAACTGAACAGATTTTTTTAACATTCTGTATAATTATAAGAATTGAGTTAGGTAATGTTAGAATTTATATGATGAAATATCTACTCACCATACTATATTAAAACGAGCACTGCTTCTGACTCGAAAATGCTAAAATGAGCAACACCTTAACGTGATCAGTTAATAGTAACCTCACTTTTCATGTTTATTAATATATAATTTTGAAATAAAACAAAAAAAGGAAGCTTCATATATAATAGAATAGTATGAATGTGACTTTTAAATTTAAAAAAAAATTAATTAAATTTTAAAAAATGTACATATATGAACTGTTCAAGCAATGAAAACAAATTATTAAATTAAAACAAATAAAATAACGTACCTAACAAAATTGTGGCATGCACAGACAGAAAAGAATCATCTGAAACAATCACATGAACAATAGCATCCAAGAGGTTTGCATCCAAGAACAAATAAAGCACCACAGCACGGTGAACTTCAACTAGATTCACACTAGAATATATTTAAAAAAATAAAGATAGAAATTATATTTTAATCCAAAAACAGACCTTTTAAATTCATAAATGAACTAAGAAAATAATAAATTACCCAGCTTTAGCAAGGTGTGGAACTAAAACTGCAGCTTCTGCAGCGACAAAACCTTCAGCAATTCGATAATTATCTTGCCATCGTGAAGGAGAAACTGCCGAAAGTGCAACACTCATTTCATCAGTCCATTCAGGTTGCACAAGTTGAAAGAGCTCATATAACAATTCAAGGATAGGTTTCTGAAAAATAAAATTTCCAATTTTGAAATTAAAACTATTTTATTGCCAAGTACGGAATGCAATCTACTTTATTGAGTATAATCTAAATTGAATATATTATAAGTATATAGGTACCTGAAGATGAGATATATATAAGCTGTTGACAATTGAATATATGGCTTGCCGTTTTCCCTGGCAAAGATGTAAAAGACCAGTCCATGACCTTAATAGGCAAATCAGTGCCGTAGTGGACCATCGGACGTGTCCATTACCAGAGTTTGCATGTCTGCAAGTTTGGCACATAAATCAATGAGTATTTTGTAAGGTTTCCAATAAATACAATTTATTAATAATCCATTTATCTTTTCTTAAGACTTTTTAAAAGTTATTTAAAATAAAATTCCTGAAATGTAGAGAACTGATCATTGAGCTTGTTCTCATTTTAGTAGGACATTTTCTTGGTTTTTTAAACACACATAATTATAAATTCCTTCATTCCTATAATTATTATAAATTAAATATGATCTGTTAAGTTAGAATCAGTAAAATTATAAATAAACAAATTCTACATTAAGGAAACTGAAATATTGTTATGTGTTAATTTCATTAAATAAACAAAAAAGTAAAGGGAAGTAATGCAAATTAAGCCTCTGTTCACCAAACAACCAAAAATAAAAAAACAAATTGCCTCTTTCAATGTACAGAAATCCAAACAGAAAATCCATCTTTTAACATTTTTTTAAAATAAAAAAACAACAACAAATATTCGTTAAAAATGTATTAAATGCATATAAATATTCTCAATATAAATACAACACATTTATACATAATCCTCCTTAAAAATGAAATATAGAACTTAACAACCTTATATTTACCTTCTGAATACGGTGGAAGAATTCATTGAAGCAACTTTATTTGAAAAATATTTTTTTAATTTTTAAGATAGCTAACATAATGTAAGTAAATCTTCAAACTCATTTAAGGGAAGATAAGCGGAGCCATGACAATAGAAAAAAATTTCTTAATTTCAAATGACAAAAAAATAATGCTAAGAGTTCTTACAATGTCTTAAAATTAAAATAAAGACTACTGGATTTCTCACATGAGATGGAAGATTCTGCATCAAACTCCCTCTTTAGGCTAAACGGGTTTTTCTCAGGCCGTGGGAGAGAGTGAAGGATTAATCCCAGAGTTAAAAGCTCCCTCCACATAGCACCAGGACGCAAACTCATTTTACTAATTAATAATCATTTTATCATATAAATTTGGGTTTATCAGGTTGCCAGGCAACACACATGTTTCGCACAAGTGTCAGCAACCACCACTCCACCCTAATTCTAATTTGAACCCATGTGTAACACAATATTTTATAGAAATTATGAATAAAACAAAAATTTTGTTAACAGACTGTATAAAGTGAAACCCATCAACACAACTTGTCTTGCTAGCTTAAATACCTCAGTTACTGAAGGGGTAATAACTATAAATCAGTCTTCTTGAGATTGAATACATTTTAACAATTTTGTATGATGGAGCACAAAGCGCATTGAAAATTCAAAAAACATTGCTGTGATAGAAATCAACCTATCAAATCACAAAATTAGCATTTCAAACAAATTAGCATGAACCTAACATTTCATAAAATTAAAAATTTAGTAGATAAGTGAACATTAAAATAAAATAAAGTAGGTAGAATTATGACAATAACAAGAACTAAGAAATAAATAATATTAACGGTTACAAAATGCGGATTAATGAAGTAAACATAATCAAAATAAGGTAACATAAGAGCTAAAATGGTAAGCTTGGAATAAAATGTAAAACAGAGAAAAGGAATATGAAGTAATATAAGAAATAAATAGAAATAGAAAACTTGTAAATAGAATAGTTTAAATATGAAATAGAGATATTTTAAAGTCTATCAAAATGTACTGACTACATATAAGAGAATAAAGAGTTAAAATAAAGTAAAAAATAATGATGTAGAGATAGTTGACCGTTGATATAATATGAGAAAGAGTTAATCATGGGGTGCGGTCAAATAAATACTAAATTAAACAGATAGTAATTATTTAATTTTTGCCGATGTTTCGACCCACTTTGCAGGTCGTCTTCAGGGCTACAAAAGACACAAAACATGGTGAAAATAAAATAAATGAATATAAGTAGATATAAAATAAGAAGTTGTCAGATACAGAAATAAAAAGATGATATCAGAGATATAGTGGGTGACAATGTAGTTAAAATATCAAGTTTGTATCTTCTACATATATAATACTTAGTATCTGTTTAATTTAGTATTTATTTGACCGCACCTCCCCCCAATTAACTCCTTCTCAAAGTAAAAAATAAATGAGCAAATGTATCAATATATACAAAGTCGAGATGGAGATATGGAAAATATAGTGACAGGAAATAAAAATAAAAATAAGGTAAGATAGACAACCAACCTGATCGAAGCAATCGTTTGAATAGAATGGAGGTATGGTAGCAAGAGAGGGGGGAGCTGTATTGTTGCGTCATCTCTGACGGTTGACTGAGAAAGTTTTGAACTAAAGTACCGGAAGCGTATATAATGGACGAGAGATATATTATAGATAAATATTATGAATTATTAAATGAAAGTTTAATTAAAAGAGGATGGAAATAATCTGGAGATAGTATAAAACAGAGCTAATAAAAATTAAATAAATGTTAAGTAATAATGGAGAATACTTGAAATTAATATATATATATATATATATATATATATAAAGGAAATTTGGATCAGAAGTTAAGAAGAAAAACCTAAATAATGATGTAATTGATACAATTTCAATGACAAAATATAGAAATTAAATTTATCAAAAAAATATCATGAAAATTTTTTAAATTCACTTTTAAAAAATTAGCCAACAAGAATCAGGAATTTGATTTTATAAGGCATCAAATAATTAACAACTTAACAGTTACAAGCTCAATGTAGAGAACCTACATAATGTTTTATAAAGACAGAGTAATAATCACTTGTTGCTGGTAAAAGAAGGATCCATATACACAGAGGCAGTAAGGCATTGAAGACTAAGGCCAGATTTATGTCTAGTTGATGGTCTGTTTGCTAGGTACAGAAGTGGTCCTAATAGTGCTTCTGTCATCTTTGGAGATCTCAAAGATGGAAGAGGCTGGATCAAAGCACTCACACCTCCACAAGTTATGAAAACGCTGGGATTCAATAAAGCTGAAAAAACAAATATATATTTAACAACAAACTGATAATACTCAAACAATTGATGGTAGTGCTTAAGCAATTACTTGAATTAAAAAACATATATTTTATATGAACACATATATACATATATATATATATATATATATATATATATATATATATATATATATATATATATATATATAAAGAGAGAAATAATGTTTAAAAAATATATGCAACACAACTACACGCAGACTAGTTGAAGTGACAGTTAACAAGGGTTTACTCTTCATAAGATTCTTGAGTTCAGTAAAAGGCACTCATTTACAGATGTAAACTATAGAATAATTTTAACATCACTAGCTTCTTGGAAATATAGTCGAATATTTCAACCATTAGTTGTCACAAACATACAATACCTATAGAACAGGGATAAACAATTGCCTATAGAGAACCACTGATCCATACAAATAATTAAAACATTATCTAAGACCTGAGTTCAGTGCCAATTAGCATTAAAGAACTGTTGATAACTTAATGTCCCTTTGGACTCCCTCACTAGAGTGGAAGTCACTTTATGAGTTGAAGAGTTGATTGACTATTTTAATAGATAGTAATATCGGCCTTATCATATCCAATATCTTCCGAATATGTGGTTGTTAACAATGTGGCAAATACTTCTGCCTGAAATACAGAAGACTTTCTATCTTATACACACACATATATATATATTATTTAGGTCTTCCAGTGAGGTTTGCCTTCTCAGGCCAGGGCTGAGCTACAAAGGTCGTAGTCAAGCCAATCTCCATCCAGAAGACTCCGGCCAACCATCCAAAAGTCCATTTCCACAGCTTGTACCTTTGAATATAGCTGGGATGATATGGTCCAGGTTTCAGCTGCATACTTCAGGTAGGGTTTCTTTTAGAATTCTGTCATTCCACAAGACAGGAGCTTTCAGAGCTTGTTCTACTTCTTTCGGCATGTCAATTTCTGATGATCTCAAGGAGTTGAAATAAGATCCCAGAAACTTAAACATATCCACTGTAGTACTGGTCTGAGCGTCGATACAGAAAATTAATTGTGCCCTCAGCGCAGATAGCCATATATTCCGTCTTTGTGAAATTCTTCCTAAGCCCCTCAGACAATATTATATTTAATTCTATACCTATGTTCTAGACTTTCATCACCACATGGTGGGTCAAATCATACCACAAATCTTTGTTGAAACTGGATAGAAATTCTTTTGGAGTTTCCAATAAGCCATGTGCTTAATCCTGTGATTTGGGATACAGATTGCTAATTTTAGTATCTAAAGTTGGTGGCAGACTGTGGTTTTGTAGAATAAGTATCTCTTCATCAAGCACCATCGTTGCTATCTCAATGTGGCCAGTAGGTTTCCATATTTCTTGCCATTGTTTATGATCCTTCATTCTTAAAAATACCATAATTGAGATGGCAGGTTATGACCCTTTATTGAAAAGTGTAATGGTATAAGAAAAAATAAACTTAAAAGCAATACTGAGTGTTGTGCCAAATGCTCCAGGAATGCCTACACATGCCATTCATTTTATGTAACAGAGAGTTAGGATGAAGTTAGTCCGATTTAGGACTGTCCACCACATAATGCTTCGATACCGGATTCTGGGTCTTATTATCTTTGTATATTCAATGTATAATTCTAGAGTAGTTTTTCTTTAGATATCACAGGAGTAAATATGACAAACTATTTTATATTAAAACTATGGGAATAAGCAAAAATTACAGAGCATTGATTATTGTTGGTACTTTCTGTCGAGCCGGCTGGCAGTGACTGCTATCTGCCAATGTTTATAACCTGAACACTGATAATTTCCATAACGCATTGATAAGCCTTCTCCTACTTCATATCTTCGTATTATTGTATTAAATTTGTATTATTGAAAGTGTAAACAGATACGAAACCAAATGTAATAACAAAAAAATACTTTTATTTTACGACACATATATTCATGAAATAATAAAAAAGCACTGTAAGTAGATATGTACATATAAAACATCAAAATGAAACAATAATAAAACATTTAAAGAAGATATTTACATAGAAAAGAAAAAATATCAACACTATAAACAACATATGTACAATTTATTTTCACTTTGTGTTATTTATTTTGAAAGGCAAAATTGTTTTATGCTATTTAAAATAGCGAGGAACAGGTCCTCTTCTCTGTGAACCCACCGCCACAAAAATTCGCACAAATACGAATCGAGGTGTTGTCTGGCAGTTTCTCTATGTACTTTATTTCTCCACTTCGCTGAGCCACATAATCGTTCTATGTATTGAATATGAACCCCAGTTGATGGATCGACAAAATTATACCGGTGATTCACTTGGAAATGGTCATAGTTTGCTTCGTTCAGTTGTCGGGTGTTGTATCCTTTCCAACAGTCCGAATAAATGGTCGTTCCCTCTTCCATATTGTCTTTAATTGCTTACAATAAGGTTGTTGCTTTTCTGTCATTTATTTTGACGATAAAACATTCATCTGTTTCTCGGCAAACTCCACCAAACATCCATAGCTGAGGTAAAACTCTCCTCACATGCAAATCCCATATTCTAAGAAGATCCAAAATATGATGAAAATAAATGTAAAAAAAATGAAAAATAAACACAAAGGGGCCACAAACTAAAAAAAAAGAAAAATAAACACAAACGGGCCAAAAACTAAAAATAAACACAAACGGGCCAAAAGTAAAGAATTTAATAAGTGAATGTAATAAGGGAATAACAGAAAACTAAACAATGCAATAACTCAAAGGTTTGGCGGGATAAGAAGAGGGAGGTAATGTGACGTGACGTTAGATAAGATAGATAAGAAGTGAGGTTTCATGCCGGCCCGCTAGACAAAAAATACCTCATTGTTTACAGACCATAATTTTTCCTATACACCTTAACAGAGTATAACTTAAGCAATTTTTAGAGTATAACTTAAGCATATAATATAACTTGGGCAAATTTATTATAACACAATACCTGTTTCGGCTAAGAATGCAAGAGCAGCAGATTGTAGGTTATCAGTATGACTCGGATGAGTAAATGCAACCATGGCTCTTACAGGTGCATGAGTTAATTTATGAGGCGCCACAACTAAAATTCTACGGCAAAGCTGTATTCCACCAGCTGTTATTTCTCTGGAAACAGAGTGGGAATAATGTTATAGTATCATTAGACAAAAATAAATAATCCTAAATTTATATACACACGTCTTCTTGAAATATTCACTCATTAATTGCCTTTGAAAAAATAATAACAATTTTAGATATTTCTTTTGGAATACATTAAATAAAATTAATATAATGTTTAAACGTAAAATAATAAAGATTAATCACGAATGAAATCCAAATTATAATAAAGAATTGATTTTACATTAATTTACAAAACATACTTAAGTAAATATGAATATATAACCATCGATAGTAAATACATTGTTGTTCCATGAAAACTACTTCCAGGAAAAGTTGGTTGGAGGATGAAGTATGTACTGTATCAGTAATGATATTGACCATTACACTGTAACAATAAATTATCCAACAACAACATCCCTAACCAACTTTCCGTGTAATTTGTTTAAAGTCAATAGTTGAGAGTTCTTCAATAACTAGAATTTTTCGATAAATTCTAAGGGTGACTGGAAACCTGATATAAAATAAGTTAGTATAAGCAAACAAAAATCACCTGGCAATTAGAAAATCGTATTTCAATTTGATTAAAATATCTACATGTTCCTCAGTTTTGACAAAGTGTCTTACAGCTCGATAAGCAGAATTTTTCAGCTTCGTGGATTCCAAAAAACATATAGGCCTCAGACTAAAACAAAAAGTATGAAAAGTAACTAGTCTGATAAAAACAAACACACGATATATATACACACACATATAAATATATATGTATATATATATATATATATATATATATATATATATATATATATATATATATATATATTGTATAATATGAAATGTAATATAAAAGTGAGAATATAATAAATTATAAATCAGTAATTAGAGCAGAGATAAAACTTAAAAGGGTGTATTCAGGTCAACTAATTAACATTACACAGTTATTCATTACAAAATAAACCATATGAAATCTACTTGGTTAATAAATTCATGTTCTTTACTTGCCACCAGCCCAACAAGTGTTTGATTCCCATTTTACAGAATACAGACTTCAATAAACAGGGAATTTAATTTGTTCATTAGAAAAATGATGGAAACACACAGAATAATGTTGAGTTAATTTAATAGAATAAGATAACACCCATTACATTGTAATCAACTGGTACATCAATATAAACAGAAAAATATTTAATAAATAAAAACCTATTACCAATATAATATAACTTCAGATGTAAAACCAAAGTCTTCATATTTAGTGTCAGGTTTAGAAATTAACTTAACAAATGCATTCAAGTAACCTATTCTTCTACCTTCAGATACAATTTTATGCAGAGCAAGATTTGCCAGAATATCTGTCATAGCTTCTCCTGGATCTGTCAGAAAAATAAATAAATCTAGATATCCATAATTTTTTTAAGAAATAGAAAATCAAAACCTCTATTTTTTCTCACCATGAAACATTTTCTCAGAACCAGAAGATACACCTTTAAAAGACCACGGTTCTGACATGTTTAAATGTTAATTTTTTATTTATAATTACATTCAAAGTGATCAATGGTGATAGCTAAATGATTTGTTATCATAGGAATATAATAATCAAATCAAGCAGTTTATAAACAGAATGTAACCTTTCGTATACACGTTTGTTTTATTTTCAAAGAATGACGTCATAAACGAAAGCACAGAGGTAAGAAACAGTGTAAATCAGTTAATAGACAAATACGTAGCGCTATGGTACATACATCAAGGTCAATAATATTGCTTCTTTAATATTTGCCGTGTAAAAGGCCCTCAATTTTGGTTTATTACATTCAATAATTAATCTTTATAACCAATCAAGAAAAAAGATTAAAATCGGATATCGATTATAAATCATACAAAACCAACTATCCGTTCGTCGTCCACGAGTTTTCCTCTAAACTACTAAGCCAAGTGTTTTTTTAAATAGGCAGTAAAGTCCGACATTAACGTTAACCATTTCGTTTCATGATTGCTTAAAGGGGTTTACCGATTAATTGTTTGTAGGGTTTCGGCTACGTAATGATATATGTAAGGCACAGTATTTTTGTAGGCCCCAATTTTTCTTGATTTTATGATCAACTTTTCTTATTATGCAAGTGGAAAGCAAATCAGTTTTTACTTGTTGATCTCTAAATTAAATAGTTGTAGGTAACGATGAGCTAAAGCTATTCACGAAAAAGGGGTCTGCACCAAGGACTAAAACATGGTAATTATTTTTTTTAAATGAATTATACAGTCGTTTTCACTTTGACTTCCCTGTTTATGAAAATATACAATGAATTCATTATCTGTGTATGGCTAAATTAAACTTGTAGCTAGATATATCATCTCCGACAGGAATAATTGAGCAACTTAAAAATGGTAATTTTCGTAGCACTCAACTGGTTGTAAGTTTTAATTTCTGATAATTTTCCGCTTCATTTGTTTTGGATTGCAAACGAATTGAATCATTGGTGGTCCAATGAAACTAGAATTAAAATTAAAATTTCAATTAATGTTTTACAAAACTAACATTTTTGAGTTCTAAAGCCTTGTCCACACTAGTAGACATGTTGCACGATTTTGGTCTCTAAAACGTGTCTAAGTTTGTCTTCGTAGACAAATCTATAGACCAATCCCCGTCTACAGGCCTGTTGCGAGACCAAAAATCACAGGTCTAAAGTCTCCCGAACGGAATAGGAGACATTATGCAACGTTAAAAATGTTGCCCAACATTTTGAAAGAATGGACGTAACTCGGTGTCTAAAGGCGAGACATGTCCCAGTCTGCCTGCAGCTACCAAGTGGTTGGTTCGACTGTTTAATGTTGTTTTCTGAAGTTTTACAGTTCTTTTGAAAAATTTTGTTCTAACGAGAAATTCTTAATTTATTTAACAATGCGTTATCGAGCCTAGGTCCTTTTACGAGCACTTTGTGCATCTACAAACCTTTACACCCTTCTTCTTCTTTCACTTGTAATTAGCACAAAGCGGGGGCTCATTACACACAAATGAGGACTGGGAAGGAGGAGCGGGAAGATGAGACTGAGAAATTCCACGTGTGGACGTTAGACGAGACAACAAACATATGATCCTAGAAAAGATGCGAAGTGGAACTGTCGAATCCTTGTTAATGGAAGAGCAGTATGGATTCAGACCGAACAGAAGTACACAAGATCTGATATCCATCCTAAGGCAAATGCCGGAAAAGGACATTGAAAAAGACAAAGAGGTGCTTACCTGTTTCGTCGACCAATCTAACTAAGGCCTTCGACAGAATCAGAAATCATGACATGGATGAAGTGTTGCGTGAGAAGGGTATCCTTGGTATTTGTTTTGCACATTAGGCCAACAGGAGTCATCTTTCTGAACAGATGGTATGACTACCGAATCAGGTCTGACGTGTTCCTCCGCTTCCGTGACGATAGGTGTTCCTTAATTGCTATCTATCTTCTCGTCATATAAGGTAGAGTTTCTGTTACTCCCGATAGGAGCTAGATATCTGGTTGATGCCGCTATTTCCCTTTCTTCTGGAAAGCGAATATGAGCATATTCAGCATTACAATCCAAGAGGATCAGATTTAGAATGGCGAATAAACTGTTTTAAGAAAACAGGGACAGAGTTCATTAGCAAACTGAGAAGTGATTCTTCATTCTCCGCACATCTGGGATGATTTAACTTCCTTTCATGCGTTGTCTCATTAATTGCTGCACATAATAGAGAAAGCATAGAAAGTAGAGCCTCAGGTAAAACTGATTCCCATTTAGTTACAGGCAAATGTTTAGATTTGAGCGCAAGTAGTATTGTTTTCCAGATAATTCCTTTCAACTTGGTCATTACCTTGTGGATTTTAAGGAGTTTATCTACTGGATGCGACACGATTAGATCAGAGGAATGTTTTTAATTCCTGTGAAATCAGCGATGTACCTCTATCTGGATGGATGTACGCAGGAGCACCAAACAAGTAGAACAATTGAGTTAGAACAGCGATCACAGATGATGATGTCATGCAAGGAAAAGCGAATTGGAATCGAGAGTATTCATGTACAATCACTAGAAGGTACTTGTTTCTGATAGAATTTGGGAGAGGTCCTTTGAAATAGATGTTTAGGCGTTCGAACGGTGAAGTGGCTTTAATCAATTTCCCTTGATGTTTAAAGAATCGAGGCTTTATCTCAACACATATCTCACACGATGTGTTTACTCTTTTGATCATCTCAAGGGAAAGAGATAAATTTTCAATATCTACTCAATGATACATTCTCGTGATTCCAGGATGACACAAAGAAACATGTAATTGATAAAGTAGGCTATCAGTATCATCCATACTTAAACAAGTTCGAGAGAGTGGATCAGCTACTTCCTTTTTGTTTACCTGGTCTATTCATAATGTCGTAATGAAAGCAAGATAGCTTTAAGCTCCATCTTAAATTTTTTTTATTTTTTGATTTTCTCATTATGCTTGGAATTGAACATGAAAACTACTCAATGCTCTTCCCTGGTTCGTGATAATATGGAAATGTCTTCCTAGTAGATAGCTTAGTCATTTACGGATTGCTTCTACTATCGCATAGTAGTTTTCTACTGATGAGTGCTTTTTTTCAGGACCCAATAAAGATCTAGAAAAAAATGTTACAGGACGGCCGTCTGCGTAAGAGTGACAGCATTATCATCGTTTGAAGCGTCAGCTTCCACGGTGAATGGGGCATCATCCTCAATTGAAGTCAATGAAGCAGTTTCAATTTCCTGTTTGAGGTTACTGGATACGCCTCGTGACAAGGGAAACGTACAGCGTGTTAAAGGCATTATTTTCTTAGAAAATTCTTTTATGTAGGTCAAGTAATAGGTGAACATACCAACAACTCTCCGTAATGAAGTCGTGTCGGTTGGAGGTTGCAGATCTCGAAGATTTAGCTTATCGGGGTCAGGTTGAATGCTCTTGTTACTAAATATCCAAGTAGTTGATAGATCTTAAAGAAAAGGCGCTCTATTCATAGTTCAGCGTTAGATTGCGTTTTTGAGCAGCATCCACAATTTTTTTTTCATATTTTCTTCGTGTTCTCTTTGATCTCTTCCACAGACAGTGACATCGCCAATAAATGCAAAGGTATCCTTCAAGCCCTGCTTGCGAATTATTTGACCCATGATTCCTTGGAATGCGGCAATACCATTGGTTACCCCAAATGGAATTCTTTTGAACTGGAAAAGCCGACCACACTGCTTCAAAAGTAATGTAGGGCTTATCTTAGTCTTTTATAGGAATTTGATGATAAGCGTTACGTAGGTCGATGGTACTAAAAACTTCATAATGGCCGTTCTTATTGACTAAGGACTCTATTCGAAGAAGTGGATATGTGGCCAGTATGGTATAATGGTTTATAGTGCGAGAGTAATCAATCACCATCCGTCTTTTATGACTGGTACTTGCAGTAACGAAACGTCACCTTGTCAGTTAGGAGGTGTTCTATCTCAGCTTTTATAAATTGCGAATCAATTTTAGTTTGTTGACATGATTTTATCGCTATTGGTTTACAATCCTGTGAAAGGTATTCAAAGAGTTACGCGGATGGAACATTTGCTACAGCGAGACCACATACAGTGAGCGTTGCTTTGGGTCCGCCAATGGACAGATTTACACTTCCGTGCTCCTTGTACTTATGAATAAATTAAAATGAAATAAAGAATACCTTTAACGTAAGATTTTATTCAACTCATAGAATACAATAATAATGAATTATAATGTTTTAAAAACATGTGTTAATTTAAATTTACATAAATTCATAACAATCAATTACCTAAAATTACGACCATGCGTTGAAATAAACCATATTTGACGATTCTACAACGATCTGGGAACGGACTGCGTAAGCTCCTTACTTCTGACGATAATTGCTACATTAACTGTCTCCTTAAGAATTCTTAAGATGTGAAGACCTAGCGTACAAATATGTTTTCCTAGAGAATAGTCGAGCGCGGGCTACCCAAACTACTCACTACTGACGTTACATAGACGCTCCATCATAACTCGCCTTTATAAAGGCTGTTACGACCAAGAGAAAAATATCATATCCTTAACGATACCTTAACTACCCATGTGTAGAATTCCTTAACATTAGACAGCTGTCAAGAATACAATTCATTATATTTATAATAGCTTATTTATGTTTTCGGTCAGAGAAATTAAATACATATCATCATTATGGAAAAAAAAGATGGCAAAGAATACTATGATAAATTGAATTTGTAGATATTTTATATTATATTTAAAAAGTCGCTTAATGATGTCATAGTGTAGGTTTGTCTTTCAAAATTTCCAATTTTTGATAGAGGTTGATTATTGGAATTGTAGGAAAATTCCGGCTATCGATAACTGCAGCTGTTTGGGGGGGTTCTCTTAAATATCTAATGTTTTATATACTTAATTTTGTGGATAATAGTCACTTATTGTACATTAATGCTGTACAATATTATTTGTCTAAGTTTTATTGCTGATTTTTATTCTTGCAAGTACCTGAAGTGATTTATTTTTTCTCAATTTTCATTATCAATCTAAAATGAATGACAGGAGGAAAAAGTTTATGGCAAAAAGACACAGAGGTTTGTGTTTATTTACATTTATAATAACATATTTTACATTGTAAGTTAATATTTTATTTAAATTCTGGTCCATCTGATGCTGCCCAATCTGTCAATCTAGTTCTGATTAGCTATTGCATATTAAAATAGATATCATACACTTTTATAATTCTTTTAATTTCTTATACATCTATGAGATAGGCCAATTAAAGTGAAGATAAAGTGGGATTAAAACATATCTACTTATGTGTATCCGCTTCTCCATTTTTGTGCTTAATGTGCTGTGAATTCAGCCATTAGAACTTATATTTGGGACTCTCTGCCGTATAACACGGTGTCTGACATTTTTTTTTTATTTTGAAGGTTTTGGCATTACTGCTGATTTTTTAATGCTGGTTTCATAAGTAGTTGTGTCTGTTAGACATTTGTTCTTTTAAAACTAATGTTTGTATAAAGATATCATAAGCGACTGTTGGTTAAAGCTAAAACATTATAATTAACATACTAAAATTGTTCATTTTGTCAGTTAACATGCTACACGAGTGAGTGCCTCATTTGTTCATATAAAATGCTACAACTTTTTTTATGCTGCTCAAGGACTATCGTTTTCCATTGTAGAGCTGTAATCTATCTTTTTTCACTTTGTTGTTAATGTATTTTTGTTGATAACACTAACAAAGAGGCTACAGTCAGTGGGTCATCTATTTCAACCAAATTTTTAAAATGAAAATTCGTAGATAAGGGTTTTTATATCAATCAAAATATTAAAATTTTCTGCTCTAAATTTTTGCCTAGGCTCGACAACCACAAAAATTGTGATAACTTCAGAACAGCTCCACTGAACTTCACAAAAATTATTAGGGATTTAGGGCTCTATATGCTACACGAATAAAGCGATAAAAGCGATCTACATAAACAAATTTAATTTAAAGGCATAAAATATAAAAAATTGCAATTTTTTTTTTAAATTTATAGTCTAAGGAAGGAATGAAATCTAAAAGTTATTGATATGGGTTGGGAGAGCACTAATTCAGCTTTCCAATGGTTATAATAATGTTAAATTTGGTTGAAAAATTATGAATGCTTTAATTATCGATGAGGAAAAAATTCCTCTAAGAAAATCAAGTATTAAATTTTTCAATTTTTGATTTCTACAAAAATTTGTATTTAAGAGTTTCAAATGACAAGTCTGCGTGTAGGGGAAGGGAGCTCGCACAGCTCAAGCTCCACCTCTCCAAGACCTCTCTCCGGTTCCACTTCTCCTCTTCACCATAGTGACCATCTTCTACTGGGAAAATGTTATTCCATTTTCTTCACATTTCGCAAGAAATTTTAATTTTAAAATAAAATAAAACAATGGCAAGGATGGTTAAATAATCAAATTAAGAACTTTTAGCCTCTGTTTTCGCGAATTTATATACGTTCAAAATTACATATTTTGTCTGAGCGTAAGAGTATCATCACATCATCACTCATAGAATAAATTTGTATCCTGTTTTATCCTGAATGCTCTAGAAGCAGTGAAGTTGTTGGCAGTATGACTATTCTACTTATGTTAGGTATAAAAAAAAGTTTTTGATAATAGCAGTCAAAATGCTATGTTTTATTTAATTTTTTTTTACATCAGCTCAATTATAATTAATTGAAAAATTGTTTAAAATTTAAAAAAAATGATAGCAAACATTTTTGTAGGATCTCCTCCACCAGCCTCTACCAATTGTTCCTATCATGTGCAGCTGCCATCCAGCTCTTCACTGCCAACATGGATCTGGCATCACCAACCACACCATCACTCCACCCTCCGCCTTGTTCTGTGTATTACTTCTGTAATAATTTTCTTCGGAATTTCATTCTCAGCCATTCAGGAGATGTGCCCAGCCCATCTCAATCTATCGATCTTCATGAAATGAATCACGTTTAGTTCCTTAAATAAATCTTTGAGCCCCTGGTTTGTCCGTCGTCTCCATACCTGGCCAACTTTCACAGCTCCAAAGATTTTATGCAGATTCTTCCTCTTAAAGGCAGTTAGATTATGCTCACAAGTTTTGGAGGTAGTCCATGTTTCTGAGCCATAAAGGAGTATCAGCCGGATAATTTTTTTATACAGTAGGATTTTTATCTCTCTTGATAAAGAATGGCTCCTAAGTTATGGACTGAGCCATAATAACAACATTTGGCACATAAGACGCTTCGCCTAATTTCAAAATCCATAATATTATTTTGATTTATGAGGGATCCGAGATAAATAAATTCCGATATTCAATTGAGATTTCTCTGATAGTAATGCTTTCACCAAGTCTGAGATTTTCTTTAGTGACCATATATTTGGTTGTTGCAGCGTTAACATAAATGCCCATTTTTCTTGCTGCTTCCACTAGTTTCAAAAATCTATCAGAGACTGCCTGGAAAGAGCATCTAGCAACATCGATATCATCGACATAAGCAAGAAGTTGCACTGTCTGACTGAATACTGTTCCACCTACTTGAATACCAGAATCTCTAATCTACTTCTCTAAAGCTAAATCAAAGAGGAGACATACCAGCGCATCTCCCTTCCTTAGTCATTTCCCAGAAGTGAATTCTTGCTCCTCCAACCTGCACCATGCATCTCACTTCTTTCATGATGAGTCTTACCATTCTAATAAATTTTTCAGGGATTCCAAGCTCTCTCATTGCCTCACACAGCTGTTCTCTGTGAACACTATCATATACTTCTTTAAAATCAACAGAAAAATGGTGTGTTTTAAGCTTATATTCGCGTCCTTTTTTAAACATGATGTCTAAGCAAAATATTTGGTCAATGTTAGATCGTCCTTTCCAAAAACCACACTGTTATAGGCCTAGGTCTAAGATTTTTTCTGCAAAGAGGAGTAGTTGTTGAAAGAGGATATTGGACAACACTTAGTAAGCACAAGAGAGTAAGGAGATACCTCTACAATTACTGCAGACTAGCCGATCAGCCTTTTTATGGATTGGACAAATTATCGATTTATTCCAAGATTCTGGCATTACTTCATCAGTCCTCATCCAAATCATAATATTCTGAAGGATTTTCAGAAATTCACTTCCTTCACACTTAAATAATTCTGCAGGCAATTTTGTCAATACCTGGCACCTTATTATTTTTAAGTTTCGGTAAAGTACAAAATCTCTTCATCTGGCGGCGGTTCCATTGTCTGAAATAAAGGAAACATAACTGTTGCTCCTACCTTCTTCCAAAAGATCTGTGTTAATAAGCCGAGAGAAATGTCTCTTCCATTTTTCAAGAACATCCATTCTATTGTAAGAAGCTTACCATCTTCATTCAAGTAGTAGATAAATTTGCTTTCATAAGGTTTTCTCTTCTGATTGACTGCTTTGAAGAATTCCCTATCCTGCTTATTTCCCCTAAGTAATTAATCTTTTCTAAATATTCTTTTTTTCATTTTGTTTCTTATACTGGTGGAGACGTTTTCTATTCAGCTGTTCTTACTATATAATACGGCATTACTCCTTGTTTCTTGCTGCACCTTGGCTTTATATGCTTTGTTCTTCAAACGTGTTGCTCTCTCACACTTCTCGTTAAACCTTAGAGATCTCAAGTCACTCTCTTGTGGTCCAAGCAGTTAATTGGCTGTATCTGAAATTGTATGCAGTCCATGTGGTGTCAATATCACCCTTCAGAACATCAACCTGCCAAATACACCTATCCAGTTCCGATTCATATTGTTCGAGTATTATTGGATCCTTAATCTTATTTAGGCTGCTTCGATTAGACCTCTGTGGTGGTAGGCTTGCTTTCTTTAGCGCTATTTGTGCTCTGAAATGGATGATGCTTAAAAAGTGATTGGAATCCACATTCGCCCCTCTGAATACTATTGCTTTGAAGAATGTCTTAAATTTTATATGGTACAAAATTACAAATTTTGCTGTTTTCGGCTTAAATTACACAATTTTGATTTTTGTTACTTTAAATTGCACATTTTCCACTTTTTGTGCTAAATTATATCATTTATAAAAATAAATGTATATGTGTGGGTCAACATTTACCAATTTTATTTTACAATAGTGTTCAAATTATATTCATAATTCAAAATAAAAAAATATGATGAAGGTAAATAATCGAATGACAAAGATCGAATTTAATATAACAAAAGAAAGAAGTAAACATAAGTGAGAAATATTCTCGGAATAGAACTTGCCTAAAGTATTGGATAACAATAAAAAGTTGCATGCCTAAAATAAGCTGTTTTGCTAGAAAGACATGTATAGTTATTATTTTGACTTGAATTCTCATTATTCGTTCAGCCCTTCTGTATTCCTTCTTGCTTAGAACTGATTTGTAGTAATTTCATTATTTAAAAAAAATAAATAAATAATAATGCTGAATGTAAGATATGGTCTCTCGTCAAAAATTAAAATCTGAATATCAAAATACCCCAATTTGAAATTTTATAAAAAAGTTGTCTCCTATATGCCTTGTGAAAAATTAATCGGTGTGATAGGAAATCACAGATAGATGTTCATTTTATATATATTATTAGTTATTATGAAAAACAGCTTCAACTCTAATACTGGAATGCCTGAAAATATTATTTTACTCCCTCTAAAACATTATATAACATTGTTATTTAAAAGACTGAATATTTTTTACTCAAATCATTTTGTAGTCAATTTCAATTCATGTATAATAAATAAATTTAGTTATAATAGTGGATTGATAGGTAGTTGACTGTCATAGATATATTGAAGAAAAGTTAGTTAAAAATTATACATTATTAATATTTGTGTCCCCAGACATATTGTTTATGGAAAACTATCTTTAAATAGGAAAAGGCAGGGAGTTTCACTTTAATTTTCTGGTAGCCATCCTGTTATTGTTTACATTTCTCTTTCTTTAAGATTTAGGTTAGCTGTATTATATTATGTACTGTTATCGTTTGTTGATTGTAGTCTGTAATTTCATTTTCAATGTTGCATTTTATTTTACTTTTCTTGTTACATGTTATTTTAATTCAGAACATTACAAGGTCTGATAAGATTTATTAATTTGATGTATTAATATTATAAATGAAACAACATCGACTCTTTTGCGCATTCTTAGGTTTTAATTACACAATTTAACATATTTTGTGTTTTTACTACATGATTTTGTACATTTTGAGTTTTAGGCTGCACATTTTTCAGATTTGTACTGCACTAAAATCTGGTCTCTAGCCATAATCTTTCTACTATATAGTCTTTATATTTACCATGGGACTAATATTTTCTATTAAAAATTTACAAGAAACCGTCACTTTAATATGTTCGCAGTAATATGTTACTTTATATATCTCCTTTTTAAGAACCTACTCCTTTCCCAACCTGATTGATCTTGAATTGTAGATAAGAGAACTTTTTAAGTTCTCCCAGAAATGATTTTGTCCACTTTTGTTATTTTATTTTCCCATGTTTGTTTTATATATATCTGTAAGTTTTTAGTGTTTTTTTTTCTTCTTCCAATATTTTTATTTTAATAAGATTTGTAAATATTTAATTTAATGAATGGCCACACAGGCATTTTTTCTGTATCTATAATATGTCCTAAAGGGACAACAGTCCCAGGATAATAAAAACAATATTTTCATTTTCATTTCATTTATTCGAAGATAATGGTTAATATTTTATAGTTCAGACATAGCATAATAGCCTTATTATTTAACTTGAAATATTTGTTATTAAATTTAAGCCTAACATTTTCATTTAAAAATGAAAAGATTTTACTTCAACTATATCAATCAATCAACTAAACCACCTTTTTAAAAATATTTTGTAAGTTTTCCTGTTATAGTATCTTCTAAGTTTTGTCATAAAAAATTAAGTCAGTATTTCTTTTATTTAGTAAGGTTTCCCACTCATGGAGGTCCAATACCTACTGACGACTTTATTCGTCAGAGAAATGAAGCTTCTGCTGTTGAAGAAAACACCAATGTTTCTGAAATTATTTCTACTGCACCCAATGATATCCCATCAACCTCTGGGGAAGAAACTGATGATAGCCGCCCTCCCCCAGGATTAAAAGGAAAAGCTCTAGGTATGTGATATTAAGTTACATCAGTAGATATTTCTAGACTAGTGGTATAAAAATTTTGAAATTACTATTGCTAGGAGATCTACACTCTTAATACTCTTCTCAATTATAATGATGTATGAATCCATGCAATCACCTAGTTACAAAATCTTTAATATTTTGATTATTATCTTGTGTGAATTATTTCTGATAAATTATTATTTTGCATTATTAAAATTATGAATAATAAATCAGATGTTACAAGGTACTGTGATTTAGTTCCTTCTTATATATCTCTATTTTATAAAAAAGTTTTTTGTGACTGTGTAATATTTTATTTTACATACAAAAAAAATGTTTAGTACATTATTGCAAGCTCTCACAGAAAAACGTCACAATTAATAATTAAATATGACAAAGACCGGAGGGCAGATGAATGGGGATGTTGGCCCCCTCTGCCACAAATGTTACCGAGTCAGAAATCCCTGCTCATGTATTGGACAAATGTCCAAATAACATGTTTCTCGTCACTCGTCGGCACAATAATATAAAGTATCGAATATCCAAATTCCTGGAGAAGAAAAATTATAGATGCTTCTTCGATGTTTATTGTCTGGATATGGAAGGCTCAGCAAGATTCCTAGACATCTTGGCCTTTAGTGCAAAAGGAAAAGAGGCTCTTATAGTTGATTATACAATTATATATTAGACAAATGATGACCAGCAAGATCTTAAACTACAAATTAAAAAGGAGGAAATATATAAAAAATGCATTCCGTACTTGTAAGAGAAATATAGAGAGGAATTTGGGGAGAGAAATTTTTCGTTAGAAGGACTTCGGTTTGGAAGTAGAGAGGCAATTCCTCTTTCTGCTACTAGCTTTTCGGAAAAGCTAGATGTTGAAAGGAACGAGATACAGGGTATGGCGGAGTCCATTATTTTGGACTCACTGGGAATCCTGCACCAACTCTATTAAATTATGTCATTGCTTCATGGATCCGGATGACAGAATAGAGAACAATGAGAATGAGAAAAAAAAAAATGACATTTTTATATACGAATTGTATCAAGCCGAATTGTTAGATATTGTCAATCAGATGGATTAGTATGCTGTGTCAGTCAGCAACTCAATACAGTTGATTAACAATACAATAAATTGTAATTCTCTCTAATTATCAATAGCCATTTATTCGAATATTCATTTGGAAGTGGTAAATCTGGATGTCACGTCCAATCGTTCCGCAGAACATTGATGTTCCGTCATCCTCTTGTAGGTGTTATATGAAATCATTTTCAAAAAATTAAATGTTTTAGTTATGATAACTACATATAAGCATTGTCAAAAACTCAAGATAGCGCATCAATGATTTCATTTTCATGTTTAATCATAGAAATATTACAAAATATAGATTTTTTCTATGTATAGAATATTTGTCACAGCCTACAGTCTCTACTACAGAAAATTAAGATTTGTTCTGGCAACAGGCACTCATGTAACCGTATCAAAATTCTTATAACAGAATATTTCTTTTTATTAAAAACAAATACAATCAGCTATTTTCCAGGTGTTAGTATTGGAAAATATGGTGCTCAGCAATCTCCAAAACCTCATTAAAATTTATGTTTAAAGAGGTTGGTCTTAAAACTATTTGGGTTACTGTTCTAGAGGAACATCCAGTACTTTCTAAAAAGGGACACTTTTAAATGTTGGACAACATTAAGTAATAAAAGGGAAAAATTATTTATCTAATTTGGTAATGAATTGTGAGTAGCATTGTTCCATATAAGGCCACATGTTACTAGTATATGAAGAATTTATCTAGCTCAAATATCTCATTATAAACTTTTTTGTGATGAGTATAATGGGTATACTATCAACATGAAAATCACTATTTTTAATTTTAAGAACCAAGTTCATTTTATTTTTTCATTTCACTTTCTTTTATTTTATTTTTTTAGATAAATTTGATCTTAAAGATTAATAAATACTTAAGAGACGAATCTATATGTATTTATTTTCCATTATGTTGCTTTTTAATTATGTATGTAAACATTAAACCATTGGTAAAATTGTGCATGATGCATTTAATAGAAAGAGATGGATATTAATTTTATTACTTTATATCATGAATGCTTCTACAATATTTGATGATGGATAATGTTATATCAATCAATTAATATGAATCGTATATGGAATATTTTAACTGTTTGCAGATATTTTTAAAAAGAAGACAGTTTTAACTTCTATTAAAAAAAGAAAAAAACTTCAAACTTTGCTTACCATTTGTACCAATGAACTTTTTAAAGGAGATACAGTAATATACACCTAATAGCTGCAAGTTTGGTGCACAATGAGCTAACTAACTAGGCAGCAATGTAAAAGACAGGATTAAAAAATATATATATGTACACCAAAATTTTACCATTTTCAGATGGAATTTTTTTTTTCATTCCCTGGTCCAAGTAAACCCGTTATATCCTAAAAGGTGATTAAGGAAGAAAAAAAATATATAGATCAACAAAAAGAAGATAATTGACTTAAAATCCTGTATTATAAAACAAATATTAACTGACGGTGATTTTTTGTTTTGTCAAAAGTTTATTGTTTTGTTTTGATAAAATTATTTATTTTTAGCCTTTTGGCATCGGGACAAAAAAAGGAAAGAGAAAAAATTGCGTAAACAAGAAAGGCTACTGAAGAGAACTGAGAAAAAACAGAAGAAAAAGAATGTGGTAAGTGCTTTTACTCAAGGCAGGATTTTAAAAGAATCATTTAACACATTAAATTATTAACCATTATTCCATTCAGTTTTACATTAGTTTTTCATTTCTTTTTTATGTATCACTGCGCACTTTGAAGGAATTTGTTCTGTTTACTTTGTAGGGTACAAGTTTTGTGTTAGATTTAAAACTACTTACTAGTAGTCTCTCAAAAAATGTTGGAATATGGCATTTATTATCTTATTAAAATTAGATGGTTGTGCTTAATTGTGGATATGGTGTTATTATTTTTTTCCTAAAATTAAAACCTCAAATTTGTTATTAAAGTTGACTTTGTTTTATTCATTCTGAAAGTACTAGTTTAAAAATCCTGCAACAAGAGGACCATCCATCATTTCTTTATTTCTTCCCATTTTACTGAGTTTAAAAAAAAATAGGAATTTTAAGATGATAATATTTTATAACTCAATGTATTTTCTTGATAAAGAACTGTAAACTGTAAGCGTAAAGTTAGGGTTAAGATTTTTCTTTAATCGCTTAATCCTATTAAACATTGTCCCTGTGATTGGGTTATTGCCATGGCAAAGTTAACTCTAATCGGAAACTGAAGACACGGAAAGTTAACGCATTATTTGACGGAATGATTGTTATAAATGCCATGTAATTTGATTCTTTCTCTGTTGAAATTGTGGCCTTAAAAGAAACCTGAAGCTATGTCCCATTGTAATTTGCTTTCCTGTTTTTCCTAGAAACGTAACTATAACAGTGACTCAAAATAATCAACAGTCTGCTATTTCATTTTTTGTCTTTGTTATCTAGGTATATTTTTATTTATTCCTGACCTAAAATTTTGAAAATACAACAAATTTTATTTTTATGACAATTTCATTCCTTCAGCTTGAATCATTCCCTTGGGTCAAATTTAATGAAGAAAAACCTGAATATTACATTCATATGGAATTTTGTACCATTTTCTTTTCACAAAATTATATTCAATTTAGATTTAAAACTACTCTGCTTAATTAAAACGAAAATTTGTGGGGCCATATTAATTTCATGAAATTTTATCTTCTACTTTTGCTTATGCACCTATTTTCCTTGATACACCTATAAACACACGGCTTGATTGATTTTGTCCAAAATTGGAGGAAATATTTGGAATAGTTTACACATTCAGGTATAATAAAAGTTGTACTATAATGTGCAACAGTATAGCTTTCATCAAATTTTAATTTAACAATCCAATAATTGTCACTACCATGACAGGTGCGGATGGATATTTGAAGATCAAAAAAAAATTTTAACAATTAAAATTAATGTACTTAATTGTTAAGAACACAAAGACTGTAAAATGGCCTAAGCAGAGAAATGAATGTGTAGAAAGGGAGGTTATGTTTGTATTCTAGTTGTATAGAGTAATAAGTTTTTAAACTGTCTATCTCTAGTCAAATCAATGTGATGAGCATAACACCTATTGCCATTAATTCGATTTAATGAAATTTTTAGGGATTGAGAGGGCTGATGCATAGATGTTCCAATATTGGTTTTATCAAATTTTATCTACTTTTTTTGCTTAGAGGTGCGATATCCTTGACAAGACTATGGTTCTAAAATGGTTTCTCCTGTAAATTGTATTCTCAAACAAAATCATAGACCTTGAAATATAGACAATTGTGGGGATATGACAAAAGAAATGGCGGGGAACCTAAACTGATCCTATTTGGTAAATAATTTTGAAAAATATTTTATCCATCTCTGGAGTTTGTTGAAAGTTGCATATCTATGTCAGCTTTGTTGTTTTGGAGTCGTATTTTAATAGATATACCTTTATTAGTTTTAAAATATGGTACTATTTTCCTGGAAATTTTTTAATATATTTTTGTAAAAGTCATCTCAACATTTAAAATTTTGAAAATAAAGATTATATAAATTAACAAACCGAGTGAATGTTTGTTTAATAACAATTTATCATATTGGTGACCAAGTTTTTGTATTCATTAAAAAGATTTTGTCTGATTTCTTTTTTAGCAACGTTTACCATTGCAACTTGGTGATGAAAGAATAGAAAAGATCAGAAAGATGATTGGGGATGTTGATTTTGACAAAATCAAAAAGCTAAGGTTGTTTTTAAAATAAATATTGTTTGTACCTATTTTGGAACCTATTCCATTTATTTATTTATTTTTTTTCATTACAGCTCAGAACCTGTTGGTGGGTCTGGATTTAACATAAATGAGAAATACATGGATATGCAAGATAGCGAGTTTAAGAGGAGATTCTTGAAATCCATTACTGGCTCTTTAGAAAATAAAATTAAAAAAGGAGGAATACATACTTCATCTGTAACCACAGTTTTTCATTTTATAATTTATGCTTGATTAATTTTTTCTCTTTATTTATTGAATTTCTAATGTTACCTAGTTACCAAAAAGACCTGAGCTTGATTTACGGTATAAAGAAGAGTTGCGTGATAAATATGTTTATAATCAAGATTTTAAGCACTATCTTTCTGTTCGAGAAAATTTACCAGCATTTAAAAAAAAGAAAGAGATCATTGATGTTTTAGAAAAAACAAACAAGCTTTTGATTAGTGGAGAAACAGGTAGGTAGTTTTTTTTTTTTTTTTTTTTAAAGAGATTAAGTGAGCTAATGTTAAAACTATAAGGAATTGTTTTGCATATAATCTATGACAGGTGGAGAACCTGCCTCCGTGAGTTTTGTGCATTATTCATTAATGTCATTTATGGTAGTAATTAATGTTTAATTATATATATTACATTAATAAAATCGAATTTCGTATGTGCTTAAAGAAATAGAAATACCCATAGTGAAAATTATAAATAAATTTACTATCACCGTCTTACCTAAGTGCAGTCTCTAATCGTAAAAAGGTTCCCTACCTTTTAAATGTTGGATTTTAGATCCAATGATATACTGGATTGATATTTATATATAAAAAGATATTTTTGACAGCACTATAGAATCATTTTATCTTTCCTTGACGTCTAATAAAATCTAAATTGATTGTTTGTGTATAATAGTTTATTAGGTTTGCAATATTTGATTCTTACTGAATTGCAAATACCAACTATAAACATCAAATCTTTATTACAGTTAATTACAGTTCAATAAAACTTACATTTACTATTTACTTATAAATGGAAGTAAGTAATTAAATTTTATAAAATTAATATTTCTTATAATGTGGACTGGTTCAACAAAAAAAAAGAAAAGTTAATTTTGATAGCAATGGCTCTAAAATGTTAAACATTGTGTTTTAAAGTATTAAATACATTTTAATACCTATCTTTTATACTTATTTAAGGTTGTGGTAAAACTACTCAGGTAGCTCAGTTTCTATTGGAACATGAAATAGTTTCGAATCGTGGTTCAACATGTTGCATTCTTTGCACCCAACCAAGAAGAATTAGTGCTATTTCAGTTGCTGAAAGAGTTGCTGTGGAGAGGGGAGAGAGGCTTGGAGACAGCATTGGTTATCAAATAAGACTAGAAAAGTTAGTATTGCATATATTCCTGTTTTTAATATATATATTATTTTAAAAAAAATAATTTTCATATTAATCTACATTACTTAAACTGTAAACATTAAAACTTTGCTGTTTATAAATCTTCAGTGTACTCCTTGAAATTGTATTTTGAAGAAATAAGTTACTAATTTGTCGTTTGTCTTATCTAAGTTTTTGTAATACCTTTCTTTAAATGTAATTTATACAAATATCATATCCGTTGCTGTAGCTTTAGAGACTGCAAAATAGTTGCATTAAATATAATAATACTTCCTTTTTAAAATTTATATTAACTATTCTTTATTTTTTCTTTCATCTATTTCTTTATTTTGATAACCTGCAATAGTATTTTTTATCTTAAATATAATAATACTTCCTTTTTAAAATTTATATTAACTATTCTTTATTTTTTCTTTCATCTATTTCTTTATTTTGATAACCTGCAATAGTATTTTTTATCTTCTCCATCCTCCCACTTTTCCTATTTCTTCTATACTTCAGATAACTAACCTTTTCTAGCCAGAGTGGGGATGCCAATGTTTTTAATAATCTGCATTATCTAGCGGCCACACTATTCAAGCCTAATGTGGATTATTGCAAACTTGGGGGAACTCTATTACATGGGACATCGTCCCATTCACACTTTCAAACTATAAGATAAGAAATAATTTATATTGATTATTATTTGAAGAATATTGAATTTTTAATAAGGAAATTTCAACTCGTATTTCTTTCATTAAATTATTAGAACCAAACTATTTGATCCATTGTATCTATCTCCTGTAAATTATTCTAAAAAAACATCAATGCCAGTTCAAATGAATTAATTGTTTTTACATTCTCCTCCACACATAATTTAAGTTAATAAGTATAAGCATGTCAAGTATCTGTATAAACTTATACCAGATATTTGTTATTTATACAACATTTATGGGCAATTTCAGTATGAAAACCACAACAGTAAAACTTAAAACTTCATTGCATATGCCTACACTTAAAATAAAGTTGCAGAAAAAACTTCAAAACTTTCAGTTTTGAGATCATACTCTATTACTGTATTATTGTCACATATATCAATTGTGTCTTATTTAGTCTTAAAAAATGAGATTGGATGTCATATTTTTGTTTTATTACTAGAGTGATTCCTCGTTCTTCTTGTTCTATAATGTTCTGCACAACTGGAGTTTTGTTGAAGTATATGCAAACGGAACCACTTCTTACTTTCGCTTCCCACATTGTCCTTGATGAGGTGCACGAGAGAGATACTTTATCAGACTTTGTCATTACCCTTCTCAGAGATATCTTGCCTGTTGTAAGTAAATCAGTGTTATAATAGAACTGATTTAAACTAAAGAAATAAGTAGTTAAATAATTTTATTAAATTTTTCAGAGACCCGATTTAAAAGTTATACTGATGAGTGCTACGCTTAATGCCGAAAAATTTTCTAAGTATTTTGACAACTGTCCTACAGTACATATTCCAGGTTTTACTTATCCAGTGACAGAATATTACTTAGAAGAAGTACTTGAAATGACAGGGTATTTACAGACAAATAAGATATTTATTTATTTTTATAAATGATAATCATACGTTTTATAGGATGAAATAATCTGGTTACATATATTGAATAATTGATTTTGATTAGTAGTAAGATGATCTGATGGTAGTCAAGGTAATCCAAAAATAGTTAAAAAATTATTTTTTGAATGTCTAAAATATTAAATATTTTTATTAAATGAATTTATTCAAATATTTCAATAAATTGAAAGGGACTCAATTACTTTTTATAATTTATTTATTTAGTTTTCTTTAGCTTAATTTTCTTTGTTATCTAATTTTGTTCATTAATTTACCAACATTGTTAAAAAGTGGTTAATCCTTTTTAGTTTGTTAAAAATTTGTTTAATAATTTTAATATATTCGTACACATACAGTTTTCCATCTAAATTGCTATGACAATGGCCTCTTAATCCAATACGGCAAATTCTAAAAAATAAATATTTTTTTGTTGTAGATTTCAGTTCAGTTTGAATAAACAGTTTCCAAAGGATGCTGCAAAAGAGAGAGAAACTAGTGTTATGCCATATTTGAGGTGTGTTTCTTGATTTTACAAATAACTTTTTTTTTGTATTATTTTTGATTTCTCATGATCTATGTTTTTATAGGATGTTGGAACATGAAAAAAAATATCCAAAAGAAGTCATTACCTCTTTAATGCACCCTGCATCTGAAGAAATCAATTTAGATCTTATTGTTGCCCTGTTGAAGCATATTTGCTCAGACCCAAGAAACGCGAGAGGCGCCGTCCTCATTTTCCTTCCTGGCTGGGATAAAATTTCGAAGCTTCACAAAATGATTTCTGATAACAGTTTCTTCTCATTAAGTATGTCATGTGATCTTTTTAATTTATTAGATTCTAACTAACAAATGGAGGTCAAGGACGTGGGGTCACCAATTTTAATCAAACTTTTTTTGGTGATACTTGTTCCAAAAATATTTGACCCATGTCCAAGGGTTGCTAATGTGCCCTAGTTATAAAATTAGTTAGTTAAAAAAAATATATATATATTATTTTTTATATTATTATTTTCTGACTTAGCTCTGCACGAATAACAACATAATAACATATAAATTATTATATATCAATCGATTTGGTTGTTTGTGTAAAATAAGAAAATATTATTGCTAATTGTATAAAACGAATTCTAATGTATAATAAATTACAAGAACCTAAGGATGCTTCCAGAAAAATAGGCCAATTAACTTTTTGTGATAAAAAAAGATTCAGATTCGAGTAAATATATATATGTACATTGTATATATTTTCTAATTTAATGTGTATTTTGGAGTGCTACCAATGGGTAGTTTCTCCTCATGTTGTACATGTCATATTACTTGTTCATATTTACTTGTTGTATTTATTATTAATTACAGTTGTAAATTTCGTTAATAAAAAAAAAATAATAATAAAAAAATGTGTATTTAAAAACATTTTTTGGTGAATATAGTGCTGAGGACCGAAAGCTCCTAAACATAAATATATTATACTGTTAAAAGAAAGGTGTTTTTTCTTAAGAGTTTGTTTTGCAATAAAAAAATATAAATTTTTGGACCTAAATTTATGGAAAGAATTTTTTTCATGACGGTTACTAAAATATTCATAACTCCTCAGGATTTTCTTTTAAGTCAATGCTGCTATGACCATTTGAAAGCTAAAATATTGCTCTTCAATACCATATCAATAACTCAAAGGAATAAATAAAGAAAAACGGCATCCTGATCTCCAGTTCTAACATGTTTACGGAAGTCCAGTTTGTGGCATTTCATATAGTTTACGTGGCCCTAAATTCTGACTAATTTTTCTGTGAATAAATGGAGTCATACTGAAGTTATCACACATTTTGTGATTTCTGAAATAAAAACGAAGGTAACAGCCTAGTTGAGAACTTGAACAATTTTTTTATTTTTCGATGGCTATAAAAATTTGTGTTCTTGTAAAAATTCTTAAAAAAATATTTGAATCCACTTTGTTTCTTTTGTTGGCACAAATTGTTTCATTTCAACATTGCACATATAAATTGCAATATGCTTAATATAAATTTGTCATAATAGAGCTCTCCTAAAAAATATAAACAGAAAAAATGCAACACTAAAGCCGATCAATATAATAACAATGATATAACATTAAAGCTACTTAACAAAAAAAGAAAATCAATTGAGAAATAAAGAAGAAAAATGGACTGAACTTTTTTGCCTTTGCCTGTTTATATAATGACAATATTTAAATCTGTAATAAAAAAAACTGAATCGTAGTTGTTTGTTTTTAAAACGTTTTATTTTTTCAGGTCGCTATGTAATCTATCCTTTACATTCTTTAATGCCTACAGTTTCTCAGAAATCTATTTTCAGCCACCCCCCACCAGGTAATTTAAACAAAAGTTTAAGCTATTCTTAATTGTTGAAGTAATGTGGTAATAAACTTTGAAATTTTGCTGTTTTTACCATTATTTTTTCTTTTTTTCTTTCTAGGAAAAAGGAAGATAATAATTGCGACAAATATTGCTGAAACCTCTATAACAATAGATGATGTTGTTTTTGTTATTGATTGCGGAAAGTTAAAGATAAAAAATTTTGATATTGATAATAATATCACGACTATGAAAGAAGAATGGGTTAGCTTAGCCAATGCACAGCAAAGGAAAGGACGAGCTGGAAGGCAAGTTTTAGTTATGCTTAGTAATTAGAAGAAAGGTATCATATAATAGAATTTAGTTGTTTCCTTAATATATTTCTCTTAGTTATTTTGTTTTTACAATAGAGGTATGCATGCATTTGTTGTAAATGCTTAATGTGCTAACCTGCTAAAGTGTTATCAGTTATAGTAAGGTTATGTCTGTACTGTGAACAAAGTTTGTGTCTTCCATCAATCAATTCTTAATTGATTTACTAACGATCTATTTTTAAAATGCCAAAGCGAAATGAAGAGTGAATCTTAATGCTGGATTATTTAGTTAAAAATGATTTATTAGACAATAAAAGTTATAGGGGTATTCATGCAACGAGTGCTAAGTATTGCAAACCTCTTAAATGTGTAAAGTCGAGAAAATTATTTACCAAATGTGTGTTAAATATGGCCACTAGTACTCTCAAATTTTAATGCAGCCTAGGGCCACATATAGTCTTGCTAAATTTGTAAAAGCATGGAGAAGGTTATTGTAAGGTTTTGATTTGACTCAAAAAAATTAAGAAAAGTATTGCGAAAATAATAAATTTGTTGAGAAAATGGAAAAAAAAACTGACAAATATATACAACAGTTAAAGATTTTTTTTTCTATTTGTAAACTAAGAAGTTTCCACTTTTTTTTTTTAAATTTATTGCCCACTTAACTATTTAAAAAAAAATAGTTGAAGATGCTCTATAAAAATATAAACAAGGGATATAAAAAACTATTTACTTTTAATGAAAATCAGAAATTTTTAAAATGGTTGTGAGGCTTAGGTAAATTAACCTATCTAGTAGTAAGGTTAGTCTCTCCATCACTTTTACCTCAGTCTCCTCTCCACTTCTATGATTGAATGTTTGATTTCCGGATTTTCGGAAATCCGCCAAACCGGCCCTTCAGTACCTTACAAGATCAATCAGAACGTCATTACTGCCTCAGAATGCAATTCCGAATGATCGTGTGACTGCACCTACTATTATTTGTTCTTTGTTTGTGTACAATATCCACAGAAATGGAATGTAAAGACAGTTTAGATTTCATTGATGTATTAATCAAGTTCTTTGCCTTCTTAATCTTCATTCATTCTTTCTAATAACGTATTTTTAACCTAATAATCTAGCATGAAGATTCACTCTTCATTTCGCTTTAGCATTTTAAAAATAACTTCTAAACGTTAGTATATCAATTAAGAACTCGCAAACTTTGTTTACAGTACAGCCCTAACCTTACTATAACTGATAACACTTTAGCAGGTTAGCACATTAAGCATGTACAAGTGCATGAACACTTTAATGTGTTTGTAAATTTTATAGCGTTAATGAGTTTTTCTATTTTGTGACCCATAACTAAAAAATAAGAACATGATGTAATTAAAGATTAAAATGGAATTTATGTTTTTATTTAATTGATTTTTGGCTACAGGTCTCCAATATAACATGTTTTTATTATATTTCTTTATTTGCTGACGTTCGCAGTGTTGTTTTTCAATTTTTTCATATTAGTAAATAGCTTACTTTTTTTGTCATTTTTTTTATGTTCGGTACCATTTTATTATGTTTTTGTTTAATTGATTTTAGGCCATAGGTCATACTAACTAACTATCACGGCGCTACAACTCGGTGACGAATCTTGGCCTCCTCCACCAGCTTCCTCCAGTCATCTCTGTTCTGTGCGGCAATCATCCAGCTCCTGACTCCCAGCACATCCCCTGAATCTCTTGCCACACCGTCTGACCATCTTAGTTTGGTATCCCTCTTCTTCTTGTGCCATAGAGAGGTTCTGTCAGGATCATCTTAGGGATTGCTTCATTCTCCATCCTAGCCCGTCTCAGTCTTCCAAGCTTCATTCTTGGGACGACATCTTGATCGTTAAAAATCAAGTAAATTTTGGCGTTTGTCCGCTTTTTCCAATTTCCATCGATCTGTACTCCTCCGAATATTATTTGAAGAATTTTTCTCTCAAAGATTAGGAGGTCTTGTTCAATTATTTTAGTTGTCGTCCATGTTTTTGAAGCATACAGCAGGACTGGGCAGATTATTGTTTCGTAAAGATGTAGCTTGTTCTACCGGGATAGAAGATGAGAGGTGAATTCCTTGTGAAGGGCAAAGTAACACTTGTTAGCCATCAATATTCTTTTCTCAACCTCGGGTGCATTGTCTTGTGTTACCAGTGACCCCAAATACTTGAACTGCGCTACTTTATCAAATTTTAAGGGGCCAATATTGATGGGCTCGTCAGGTCGAGGGACTTCTCCTGTGGCCTTATATTTAGTTTTGCCTTAATTCTCTTCTAACCCAAGTGCTCTGGCGGCCTCCAACAAAGCTAAAAATCCCTCTCTAACAGAATGTAACGACCACCCCACGATGTCCACATGATCCTCATAGGCTACTAGCTGAACCATCCGGTTGCAAATCGTCCCATTAGTTTGCAGACCAGAATCCCTCACTGCCTGCAAGTGGCAAGTTAAAGAGGAGGCATGCTAAAGCATCGCCTTGGCAAATTCCTTATGTTGAGGAGAACTCTCTCTTCTGTCCTTTGACCACCAACCTGCATAGTACACTTAACATCTCTTATGGTCAGCTTTACCTGTCGTAATAGTTTATCTGCGATATTGAATCCTTTAAGTGCCTTTTGCAGTTCTTCCCGGTTAATGCTATCGTAAGCTGCCTTGAAGTGAACAGAAAGATGGTGGGTTTTAATCTGATGTTTGTTTCATCTCTCTAGGATTGTTCTGAGGCAGAATATTTGTTCTGTCGTAGATCTTCCTTGTCTAAATATGCATTTGTAGAGACCAAGCTTCTACTCTGCCAAGAGTAGAAGATGCTGGAACAGTTGGTAGATAAAATCTTATATCCAGAAGAGAGAAGAGATACTCCTGTAATTTTTACACTGGAATCTGTCATCTTTTTTGAAGATAGGACATATAACTGACTTTTTGCAGTCTTCCGCAAAACGTCTTCCTCAATGGTCAAGATTAGATTCTGGAACCTTTTAATCAGCTCTTCACCTCCGTTCTTGAAGAGTTCAGCAGGCAGGTCATCAGCTCCAGGTGTCTTATTATTCTTTAACCGATTAATGTCGTCCATTATTTCTTCATCATCAGGTGGTTCAAGGTCTGGTCCCTGGTTCCTGACATCCAGGAACAAGTCCTCTCTTGTGTCAAATCCAGTGTTTGTTCCACAGGGAGCTAAGTCCAGAAGCTCATCAAAATGGCTTTTCTTTGCAATAGGACGTCACCCTTGCAGGCCACTATATTCCCATCCTTATCGCTACAAGTTTCAGGTACATTACTTCGAGGTCATACTATATACATTAATAAAATACATTTGTATTATATTTCTTTATCTTTATCTTTAATATCTTTAATGTTTCAACTTTTTGAGCCATTTTCAAGAATCTGTAAACAATTTTAATTTAGTCACTTATCCTTAAAATATTTAAATTTTTAAACTTTCGGTAAATATATTGTCCTTATTCTATCTTATGATTATATTTCAACCATGGTATATAAAATAAAATTTTATTATTTTGGTTTATAAATTATTGCAAATTACCTATCGTGCACCATTTTATATACATTTTTTAAAATAGTTTTTATACATTTCGTTCAGTGATCCATTCCTTATTTCAAGGAATTTTATTATGATTTCTAAAAATTATATAATTATTTATTTCCTAATCATATATTTAAAGAAATAATAGAATCATTAAATTATTTTCATTATAGAGTCCAGGAAGGTGTATGCTATCACCTTTTTACTCGTGGAAGAGAGAAATTTCTGGACCAGTACCAGCTTCCAGAGATGCTTAGAACTAGACTTGAGGAAGTTATCTTACAAGCCAAAATTCTTCAGCTCGGAAAAATTGAACCTTTCTTGCAAAAAGTACTCGACCCTCCTTCTCCCAAAGCAGTTACATTATCTTTGAAGGTAGGTTTTATGGTTGGAATTTTTTTTTTTTAAATTCGACTTGATCATTCACAATTTTAGGCTCATATTTTATTACATAGCTGTTATCGATATTCTTCTAGGGTTTTAACAGGGTTGTGACAATCTTTAAACTTTATAACTTCAAAATATATAACAATTTGTTATACAATTATTTCAGTGCCAATAAAGGCAATTTTTAAAAAGAATATTTTTATTGAAAGCATGGCAGCTCATTGACTAAGCTTATTCCTGTCTCCTGGGCTGTTTTGAATCCAGCTCTGGGAGATAGTTACTTATCGTCACATCAACATTATTTGTATGTCCAAGGCAGTTTAATTTTTTTTATATTTGACAATTTAAGATAGATATATTTTTTTTAATCATTCTTCCAGTATTGGGGATTCTACCACTTAAATGTATGTTATTACACCAGTTGTCTAAAATGGAAGAATATTAAAATATTACATAATACAATTTTTTGTAAGGAATTGAAATTCTCCAATGCTTGAAAAAGATTTTTAAGACATTCTGTATCACAAACTTGATAAATAGAGATCGATAAGTAGTTGACTGATAAATTATAAGGATGAAACAAGATTGTCAGGAATTTCAGTCAAAATTTCTTTAATGGGTTAGACGACGTTTCAACCCAAATATGTGGGTTATCTAACTAACATCAGTAAAATAATAACTATAAAATTGTAAGGGTAATAAGAGTGAAGAATAACAGTAACTAGATAAGAATATTCGGGGTGAGAACAAATAAATAGATTTTATTTATTTCATATAATATAAATAATTCATAACAACGAAAATCTTTAGATGTGAATATCACCTAAACAAAGCGTTTGCGGACATTCCTTCAGAAGAAATCTTTTTCTTGTTTTGAGGTCCTTAGATCATTTTTGCAGTTTGGCCACTTAACCCTGAAACACTCTGTATAAGTAAGGTAATAATAATAAGAGTAAAGAATAAACTCAGCAAAATTATAATTGTAAAAGGTGAAATTTACAAATGAGATAATGGTTATAAAAACATTGGAAAATGATAAGAAAAGTAATTTTTGTTAACTTAACTTAACTTAATCCAGTCCTGTTTGTTACCGCTGAGCAGTGTGAGGTTCCTTCTTATGGAGCTTGATTCAAGAATCTCTTTCCTGGGCCAACTGTCTTCTCCTACTCCAGTCCATTCCTCTCCTGTCAAAGGCTTCTTTTCCTTCTTCCCATCTTTTTCTTGGTCTTCCCTCCACTTTGACCTCGTAGGTAGCCCAGGCAACTCTGTTTTCAGCCATTCAATTTCAGACATGTCCAAACCGCCTAAGTTGGTTTTCTTGGATTATTTCCTCTGCAGGCCTCAGGTCCAGATTAGCTCTTATGGTCACTTTCCTAATGCGATCTCTTCTGTTTTCCCCTCAATTTTCCTTAAATATCGCATTTCCATATGGATTTCGCTTTTGTGCTTGGAAGTGAGAGATTATATATTAACATATAAAAGTGAACTCACTTTTATATGTTAATATAGGGAGGAAGGTATTCTTGAAGACAATCTTCTTAGTGGCGTTTGAGTCTTCCTTTTTGTCCAAGAAGTCTGACTTGAGGGAGTAGAAGAATTTTCCTACCATCTTAATTCTTTCTTTTATGTCTCCATCAACCCAACCGTACTCGTTGAGGTGAGAACCCAGGTATTTAAAATCCATTACTTGCTCGGAGACGGATCCCATCCAGCTGAACATTCCGGTCTCCTCGGTCACTTCTTCTCCCAATCCTCATAAATTTTGTTTTGGAGATGTTAATTTCCATGTTTCTATGTCAAAGCGGCTGAGAATCCTCATAGAACAAAAGATAGGGGAAGAACAATATGGCTTCAGGCCTAACAGGAGTACACAGGACCTGATATTCACGATGAGACAAATATCCGAGAAGATTATGGAGAAGAGCAGAGAGGTCTTCGCTTGTTTTGTAGTTCTAAATAAAAAGCTTTTGACAGGGTGCAGAAGGCAGACATATCAAGAGCATTGGAGGAGTGTGGCGTTCATATAGGATTGAGAAAAGCCATCCTAAGTCTATATGAAACACAGAAAAATGTCAGGATGTGCAACCATACATCAAAAGAATTCTCAACAGATCAAGGAATCAAACAGGGATGCAGCCTTAGCCCCCTCTTGTTTATACTAGTGCTGGACTCTGCACTAAAACAAGCAAAACAGAAAATGAGGCCATACAACCTCGGATATAGGAACCTACAGCGTGTCCAGTATACAGTACTTGCTTTTGCTGATGATATGGTGGTGTTCTGAAATGACTGCCGTAATCTACAGTTTAACCTCAAGATCCTTCAAGCTGAGATGAGGAATATAAACATGGAAATTAATTTTTGTTATAAATGAAAAAGATAAATATATCAAAAGTAAGAATTAATAAATCAAACAATCAGTGTAAATAACAAGAACATAAATAAGAAATATGCAAAAACAATGTATATAAATAAAAATTAACAAATATGACAAAAAAAAAATAGAATTTAATAAATAGGAATAGTTTCTTAACAATTACCTATCATTTAGAAGTCGAGACAAGTACTGATAGGTTTATAGAAATCTGTTTTGGGTGGGAGGTACGAAAGGGATTCCCTTCTAGTTATTTCAACCTAGGTGGAAACATTGGTTCACATTAAAATAAATTCACTTATTTGTGTATCTTTCTTTCGACACTCTATCCCTCTCCTAATTTCTCCTAGAATTTGTTCTAAGATCTATGATATCTCCACCATTACAGTTTTAACAACTATTTACCAAATCAATTTTTACTTAAGTAAATACTTAATTTAATTTAACTTACTTAAGTAAATACTTAACATAAATATGTTCAAATATTGATACACTTTTCAGCTGTTATTGGGGATGAGAGCATTAGATGAAGATGAAAATCTTACGCCTCTTGGTTATCACCTGGCAAACTTACCCGTGGATCCTCAAGCAGGAAAAATGTTGATCTTTGCATCTTTGTTTTCCTGTTTTGACCCGATTGCTTCAATTGCTGCTTGCCTCGGTTTCAAGGACCCATTTATCATTCCTTTGGTGAGTGCTTTATTATTATTATTGTATTAATATTACTATTGACTTTTAAGCCCATAATGGAAAAAACATTTAGTTTGAAAGTAATATTTAATAAGCGATTGATAAATACTGTTTATAATAATTTAGCTAAGTTAGAATACTGTGCTTAATTAATTTTAATATATTTAATATTTTTAAATTGTGATAGGAGGCCATTGCGGTCGAATGTTTTAAGTCTTCTGCTTTAGTATTCTTGGATCAATAGTAGGATTAATTTGAATTTGGCCTGAGTTGAATTGTTTAGAGGACCCAAGGAATAAATCTCTACCCTCACACTCTAGCTAGATTAGGTTGTTTACCTGTTAGATAACCTGTAAGAATGATAAGTCCAAAGGAAAGAATAAACAAAATTGTAATAGATTCACATCTATCAAGATTATTTGGTAGAGGTGATTTTGCTGATAAATTACAAAAAAATGATGTAATAGTCAAGAAGATTGCCCATGAGTACTTTTTCCAAGATTTGTGTTAGTAGATATTATTGAAGATATTTTTCCCATTGTCTTGTTTTGTAGCCTTTTCCACTGTTGCCTGGAGAAAAAAATAAACAATAAGTGATGGATCAACCCAACCCATGAAAGGAGCTTCAAAAAAGGATGTTTGCAATAGTTCACCTGTCTCTATACCAGTAGTCTTTAGATTGTAGCAGAGCCACCACATTTGGGTTTGGACTATCGTTCACGAGCTCAAAAGGTATGCGTTATGATGTTTCTTCCTTGAAAGCTTGAAGGAGGCTGTAATTTTACTTAATATTCTATTGGAGGAAGATAGGTGAGTGGTAAGGCAATGGATTCACCCAGCTCATCCCATCTCCAACTACAAGGCTCAGGTTTGAGTTTGGTTAAATTAGAGAACTCATTTTTGTTTCCATCAGCCTTGCCCAACTGTATGGTTGATAAGTCCTCTTATGAGTTAGACTTTGTGGGTCTGACCCTTCATCGGAGGCAAAACACTGACTACATTACCTTATCTTACTCTAGTTAAGAACAGTATCTCTTCATCAAGTACTACAACCAAGAATTTTTCTTGATTTGATTGTTTTTTTTTAAGTTGCATTGCAACTTTGTATGTATAAAATAATGAAATTTTTATGCTACTCATTCTAGGGGAAGGAAAAGGATGTTGATCAGAGAAAGAAGGAGCTTTGTGCTGGAATGAAGAGCGATCACCTTTTGCTTTCTGAAGTTGTCTCTTTGTGGGAAAGAGCTGAAGAAAGAAGGAGAGGGTGGGAATTCTGTCGTGCTAATTATCTCTCCAACAATACACTTACTCAACTTTGGTAATTAAAATCAATTGTTCATTAAATCAATCAATACTTATTGGAGTAATTTGATTACACACAGTTCAAATTCTGCTTGGAAGCAGCAAAGTCAAAGTTGATTCCATCTTGATATAAAGGTTATACGGTCAGCAGTTTTACAATAGTTCGCATAATCTTAATTTCAACTTAGAACATGAAGTCATCGTGGTTGATCCTATTCCTTCAGTGATCCTTAGACATACTTTAAACATTATATTTAAACAAATAAACAACCACTTACCTACATAATTATTGTCACATCCATGTGAATGAATGAAAATAATTTTATTATTTTGGGACTAGTGTCCTTTTAGAACAAGAAATATCGATGAATCACAAAATAATCAGAGTATCTGGGTGAACTTTGATGTTTTTACAGCTTAGGTTTTTAAATGCATTTCGTGATCAATCGGATTGGGAATGGAGTAGGTGTTTGAAGTGGAGAGATTTGAAAGAGGATATTGATTTTGCGTATTGAATACCTGAAGGTATAGAGTTCCAGAGGGAGACAACTTCTATTAAAAAGGATTCATCAAACGCCGCAGTTCTGTGAGGAGGATAGAGGTCGGGCGCACGGGATCTGGTGGGACGCGATCGAAAGGACCGTTTGATTTGTAGGCTGTGTGTAGAATTATAAAATATATTTCTATTCTCTCATTGTAAACATACTGATTCCAACTCTTAACTCTTAAATCGATCCCTTATAACTGAAGAGACAAATTAATAACCTTATTTTTACCCCTTAATCTTCCCATAAAAATTGTAGAAATTCTTTTTTGTGAAGAATTTATATATTCTGTTAAATGTATTTATTTTGATTTTTTTTTTCCTTAAAATTTTTCAAGTAATATTTAACTTTACTTTGCAGCGAAATGAAGAATCAGTTTGCTCGGCATTTGTATGACATGAGATTTTTAGATAGCGACAAGTCAAGATGTACCTCTGGAAATTTCAATTCCAATTATCCAGGACTCCTGAAGGCTATAGTCTGTGCTGGTCTCTACCCAAACATAGCAATTATAAAGTAAGATTTTTTAATATATCAAGAAATTTCGAAAACATAATATAGGAATTTTCTTTCTAAGCTTTCCCACTGAGAATGCATAGATTATTGTAAAAAACTGAAGTAGCCGGTCAAATTGAAGGTGAGGTAATCTGAGGCATATTGAGAGAGCATCTTGTTTAAAATGATTTTTTATTACTCAAACTTATTCATATATTACAAATTTTACTTTAAACTGTTTTTCATTTGTGTATTGACTTAATAAATCACAATTTTATTTTCAATATTTTATAAGTAAGGATTAGACTGAAAAAAAAAAAATCAATTAAAAGGAAACCAGGACTATTAAGAAAGGGAGCTTTTTTTTTTTTTTTATATGAGGTTAATTGATAATAAATTAAATTTCTCTCCCACGTATAAATAAATATGTTTTATAGTTAAAGAGACCTGAAAAATGATATAAATGCATTCTCTTTTAATTGTCCTCTATTTCTTGACTTCTTGCTTTCCTGAACTGCTTTTATAAAACATTTAAGGAGATATAGGTGTCTATTGTGTAACAATAGCTCTAAAATCGCCTAATCTTAAACAACTGGTGTCATTATATTTCTTTTGTAGATCTATATATAATTATTGGTTATATTAATAAATAATTGAATAATTATGTGATAATTTAATAAATTATTGAAATTCATATTTTCTATGTTTAGTTTCATATTTTTAAAAGACTTGTATTATATCCAAAATTATTTTTAACTTTACAGAAAACAGAAAGTAAAGCGGAAAACAGGGATGGCTCTCCTTATTTTATACACTCCAGAAGACGGAAACGTTCGATTACATCCTAAGTCAGTTAATAATAACCAATGTGATTTTGGTTCAAAATTTTTGGTGTATTATGAAAAAATTAAAAGCTCGGGGATTTTACTCCACGATACTACTATGATACCTCCTTTGGCATTGATATTTTTTTGCCAAAATTTGACTGTCACTGATGACGCAGATGGAGATGAAAAAATAATAACAGTGAATGACTACATTACATTTACATGTTCCAGTTATGTGGCACAGTTAATACAGGTAATTTATTATTATACAGTCAAAAGTATAAGTCTAAAAGATATAATATTATTGTAATTACTTTCTGGAGTCTACTATACTGCTGATTCTTTCTCCATTTGGCATGATAAGCCATTACAGAGGTCTAGCGTGAAGGACACAAAAATGTCTTATTCCAAGTTGATTTCCTAAGTTCAGAATGACATCCTTAGCCCAGATCACAACAAGAAAATTTTATAATGAATGAGCTGCTCTCCACATTTCTAGAATAAATTGGTGGGAACTTTTTCAAAGCCTGGTTGTTATTATTTTTTAACTTAAAACAACTTCAAAGAGTTCAAAGAGAGACTTGTATGAGACTCTCCATTACCGATAGTTTTTTCAATGAGCAAGCACATTCCATTGACCTCTTTATCTTCTATTGTGGTGTATTAGTGAGCTTTTCACTAATTTTATTTATGTATGCATGAGAAACTCTAGGTTCTTAAATCTTTTGTAAATTAAACTTCTTTGCCCTTAACGTAAAGCAGTAGAATAATAAAACCCTAAAGTTCAATGTAACACAATTTCCTCCACTAGCACATAATATATTTAATAAATATATTTTATTAACTAATCGTGGATATTTAATTTTTTGTATTTATTTTTAATAGGATTTGAGAACAGCTTTGGATTGGATTTTGGAAAATAAAATTGCTCATCCTGGCATCTCAGATTTATGTGACCCATATTCACAATCTGTCGAATCTCGTCTATTAAGGTGGTTTCATCACTTTATTAACTTTACTTTCCTAATTCAAGAATTTTTTTTTTATTTTTCACAAAAATAATTATTCATTATTTCATTTTATTTTTTCAAATTTTCAGGGCCATTGTTGAATTGATTACAATAGAAGATGAAGAAGTGAATTATGATGAAAGTGACTTTTCTGATGATTTATACTGAATCTCTTTGTCTAAATAGGCTGTGGATCAATTTTGTAAAAGTGTTTTTAAAAAAGCTTTTAAAGATAGTGATTTGTACAATGCTGTGGGTTCTGTTCTCGGTGGAGAACTGTTTTAAATGAGTAAAGGGACAGAATTTATCAATTGACCTGACCTGCATGATGGTGTAATTGTTTGTATATGTATAAATAAGTCAGGCCAAAATTAATTGTTGTCAATAAATATTGAATTTAATTTTGTCATCTTTACTTTTTATCAGCTTTGATAAATTGTTTTATTATCAGTATTAAAGAATCGAATGCAATGATGTTTGAGTAATTATATATACTGTACAATTATACAATACAATATACTGTATTGTACATTTGTTATCTTGAAATATTGTGTAATTTATTTAGTTGATAAAATAGATCTCTCTATTTTTTTTCTTTTTTCTTAGAAGAAAATTATGTTCATCAGTATTATTTTTGTTTGCCTGTTTTGTTTTTGCTAGAAAAAAAAAGAAGGTTAAAACCTAATATGTTTTAGGTCTCATATAGTTTTTGCTTTAAACATGTTTTGGTTTTAATTAACCTCTCAAAATCTTTAAATTTAAACTTTTCATTAAAAATTTATTTTTGTAATAAACTTTTGTTGTGAAAATAGTTGCTATCAAAATATTAAATATTTGTTACAAATTTATGCATCTATCAAAAAATGCCTTAATTAAAACCAGGTTTGTGCATATATGCTCTAATTTGAACATATGAGTGACATCATATCAAAGAGGAACTTCTGTCATTTTCAGAAAATAGGAGGAAAAGCCATTTTTATTTTATAGGTTTAATTCAAACTGTTTTTAATGGTTTTATTTAAGAATGTTCAACTTGAGTCATGAAACAAAGTCATTAGAATTGTTTTAAATATAAGCTATATTAAAATAATTGGATTTTTCTCAACTTTTAAAAAATGTCAGATGTCCTACCTTGGCCACTCATATATTTGGACAATTGTTTAAAGAAAATGAATAAATAATAATTTTTCCATTACAAACATTCTTCTGATGCTATAGTTGAATTTTTAAGAAACGTATTAAGTAGTTCTGTAATTTTATTTACTTCTTATGACTCATAAAAATAAATAATTTATGTTTATGTAACTAAATTTTCAGAGAAATGGATTATAATTTTAACGGATTATATTTTATTTTGTTACTAATTATCAAAAATTTTTTTTATGTTGTAAAATGAAACAGTTTTGAATCTTGTATATGAAAACCCAAGTTTCATATTTTCTGTGGGTTATTACTTACTTGTTCATTAAAGAAATAAATCTTTCAAATCTTACTGTCACGTAATATTATGTATTTTAAACAATAAATACTTAATATTATTGTTTTTACTTATCTATCCTTTTAGTAGCATATATTATCTATTATAAGACTTATTTATTACTAAACCACTTAATATAAAAGTTTAAAACTTGATGAATATTCAATTATGTTGTGTTTTATTTTACTTGTGATTATAATGTTTAATTATGATTTTATGAGAACTATATAGCTATATTACTGTTTTTTTCTTTAAGTTTATACGGAGAACCTGATTTATTGAAAATGATTCATTTAATTCAGTGAATGTACATATTGTCTGTTTATTGTAAAAAATCACTAAATGCTTTTGATCAAACTTTATAACGTTTCAAGTAGTTATATTTGATTAACAAACACATTTATTAATGCAAAACTAATTAAGCAAATCAAAATAACATAAACCCTATTATATGTTATATTTATAAGGAGAGATAGTTAGTAAATTACTGATTTTAACTAATTAATTTTGTTGAAACTGTATCAGAAAATATTGGACATATCTCAGCGTTTCTTTCCCTGGGCCTTTTTGGAGGCATGAAAACAAATATCAAACTTTTAGAAACTATTGTTATTATTACTATCATTCTGTATCTGTATATAATCATTATACCTATATTTCTATATTTTTATCTAAAATCAGAAAAACATACTCAAGATATTTTAATGAGCTTCGGTCCTTGATAAGGATTAAAAACCAGTAGTCACTTTTAAGTCAGGGGTTTCCAAACTATAGTTCGCAATAACTTTCAATCTGGTCTGTGAAAGTTTCTTTGATTACATGGTAATACTATTTTAAAAATCTGGTGCAGTGGGTGCATCACAACTTTCACTTATCACCCTCTTAGGAGAAATAAGTATTTTCAGACAAAGAGGAAGTGAAAATAAAAATTATAAATGCTATATTGATTTATATTTCATTGTGGGTATTTTTATTTGTATAAGTACTGTTATATATACAAATTTTAATATTTATATCGCTGTAATCTATACAATTAAATATTGAATTACACCAACAATAGCATTTATGAAAACCGCATATGTATACTTACATAATATTGTTGGAGTCCTTATTATATTAAGCTCATGTTACATATGGAAGTGTTTTATAATCTTCAGGCGAGCTCGGGTGCCCTCGTATTCATTTGGATCCTCAATTAAAACTAATTTCTCCTTTAGTTAATTATCAAATTCTTTCATATTTTATATTATAGATGAATGTTAAATGGTCAATTATTTCAAATAAAAAAAAATAAGGTACTTTAGAGGAAACTAATATTGAAAATTAGCCATTTAAGCCCTGTTAGAGAACAAAACCTACTTTTATTTAAAACTACTTAATTTTACGCTTGTATAATGAATTTAATCAAAATCGTTAGAGCCATTTTCGAGAAAATCGTAAAAATGAGTTTAGCCCATGATATAAAGTGCCACTTCCGGTTAGCTAATTTTTATGAAAAAGTTGCTGTAGCATCCTAAGCATATAAAAACCTTAAATATGCAATTTTGCTTTTATACGACTTCGTTTTTGAGCTAGACTGTAATAACACACACACACACATACCATTTAGCGGGGCTTGGTTATTTCGACTCAGGGGAAACTCAAAACATGTTTTTCTGTTGAAAACTCTGATTAAAAAATGTTCAAAATTGCAATACTTTTCCTTACTAAATATTTCATATCTAGGTAACTGAAAGTAAAAATATGAAATTTATTAACTCAAGAATATCATTTATTTATGAATACGAGGAAACATCATTTATTGCATGAGTTGTTTCTCATAGAAAGTTCATTTCACAACTGAATTGACATTAATAGAACAAGCTTGTTTTTTTTCATCACAAGCCGTGGCCCGCAGAACTTAATGGAGTTCTTGATGTGGCCTGCAGGCCAAAATGTTTGGAGATCCCTGCTCTAAGTAAGGGAAGTAAATATTTGTTTAAAGAATGAAACAAATTTATGTTAAGAAAAAACATTTTCAAAAGTTTAAATTTTTGTTTTCTGATTCTTAAGGCCCATCGGAACGAAAACACCATGATATATGTTCAATTTTTTTTTTTGGTGTAGGATCACCTCAAAGAAATTTGAATGACATTGGTAACCGTGCATGACTGTGACCTCACTTTGTAAGTGTTGTGGTTCCACCCTGAGAAAATTCATCAAATTAGGAACTTTGTTATTTTATTCTGTTTAATTACTTTACCCAATAAACCAATTATTGAACAAAAACACATTTTAGGAAAACTGGGAGAAGTTGAGTAATTCAATTATGGACTAGCCAACAATTACTCTTGACTGTATTTGTGATTTATCAAAGAGCTTTTTTTTTTGGTCTACTCCTTGTTAACAAATCTTCACTTACTTATTGAATCATTAAAATAAATAAAGTAAATATGATAACCTGGTTTTTGAATTTAAAAATAATAAAAAGCGTTGCCTCCAAATTTGAATTATAAAGTAGAAAATATTTCAATTGGTCTTCTAAATTTGATATTCATATTTATGGCACATAAGGCCCATACCATGACTATTTTATATGCATGCACAGTATTGTATAATTACCCCAATTTTCACCGTTTAATTACTTCACGGTGTCTTTTATTTAGTACATATAAAAAATATCTTGTAAAATTTCTCTGTGTAAGTATATGTAAGTTTAATTCAGTGTGACCTTCCAAAATATCCTTCATAAATTTATACATTTATTCAATTACAACAGAACAAGGCATCATATTAATTGACATTCATGAGCTATAATTTTTAACTGTGGGTTCCTTAGTTGGACAAGATTACCAAAGAGTTGGGTCCAATTAGGTAAGAATGAAGATCCTGTAATGAATGGTCAGGACTAAATGGATGGAATGCAAAATGGGTTCTTTCTAGTTTCTGTTTAGTTTGGAGTCAAACTTCTTATTCCTGTATAAATATACAGAAATAAGAAGTTCATAGTTAGATGTGTTAGGATAAAAAAAATGTTTAATTTCCTGATAAATCCAAAAGTTTCTCACTGGCCTAATGCACTGGTTAAAAATAAAGCATAGCAAACTAGAAAGTTGGATGCTGCAATCAACAATTACAATTGGGATATTAAAGGTAAAATATCAGTATTCGATATTGTTACACTACAAACCAGTAGCGATTCAGGATTTAATTTAGGAGGAGGGCTTAATATATACACACATACGTGTGTGTGTGTGTGTGTGTGTGTGTGTGTGTGTGTGTGTGTGTGTGTGCGTGCGTGCGTGCGTGCGTGCGTGTGCGTGTGCGTGTGCGTGTGCGTGTGCGTGTGCGTGTGCGTGTGCGTGTGCGTGTGCGTGTGCGTGTGCGTGTGCGTGTGCGTGTGCGTGTGCGTGCGCGTGCGCGTGCGCGTGTGCGTGTGCGTGCGCGTGCGCGTGCGCGTGCGTGTGCGTGTGTGTGTGTGTGTAAAACAGCAATTACTCCTCTGGGGAATAAAAATAAAAATAAATTAACTATATGAAATCATATTTAAGTGAATTTTGATGACAAAATATAAAGGAAAAAAAAAGCAGTAACAGTACTTTTTATTGATGTGCTTTCATTTACTAGCTTATATGCATTATAATTTAAAAAGAGAACATATTGTAATTGTTAATATATTTAGTGAAAAATACTCCTAAAAATATGAACCAGAGAAAATAATTTTTTTTTTCTTGATTGGTGGGGTTTCAATATGAGAGCCCTTCCTCCTCATAGATCCAGTGCTACATCAAATGAATATTTGAAGTTCAGAGAGCAGCCCATAGCACCAGAGATTGATTAAATAATTAAGCTATTCTAGAGTTTACCCTCAAACAAAAGAAGGAAAAATTGCTGATTAAAATAAAGACGTTTATAAAACACCGATGTATCATAAGTATATTGTATCGAATATTGAGATAGAAAAATACGTTATAGCTTGCAATTGTCATTCAAAGTCTAATAGTTACAAGTAGATTTAGATGTTTTTCTATGGTCATATTCTTTCGTAGTATTACTATTTTTATTTTAATTCATTAGCGCAACTACAGCAGGCAAGACACTTTCTGTACTCGCCCTCTCAATGTCTTATGAAAAGGCTAGTGTTTCTCTAGCCTTCCAATATTTCTCAGCCATCTACTTAAAAATAACTCACAAAAAAGTTCAATAAATTGTACAATTAATAATTATATTGTATTAAAATCAGGAATACCCACTAGGGGGTTTCATGACGCAAGGGAGAGAGGGAGGAGACACATTTTTACGAGGGTTCGAATTTTTGAGGAAGGCACATTTCTACAGGATTAAGTTAAGTATAATTTTTCGGAGTGAAAAGTTTCAATCCAGGAAACAACATGGACCGGTCCACCACAAGTATATTTGTATTTTATCCACGATTTTTCTAATAATACTTTCGCTTCACTGTTTTTAAAAAGAGGGGAGCAATAAACTTTCTTGAGAGGGAGTGAGGAGTTCATACGCCATCGGCCTTGGGGGAGGGGATAGTGGAAGCGGGGGTAAGCATCCTTGATTACAGGTAATAAACCTATGACTAGACTTCTACTTTATATATGGCGTTCTAACCTTCACCCTTTCGCCCCCTTCCCTCCCCTCAATATTTCTCAAGTACCAGTGCCTGTCGTTAGCTCTGAAAATAACTCATGTTCTTCGTCCACGGCTAATGACTGCCTAAGAAAGTACGCATACTGAAAATTTACCATATATCAGTTACTTAAGATTATGAGAATTTCCAGGTAGGAGCAACATAACATATGGCTTCACAAATAAAGTAACTTCCTCCATCCACTTCTGGCTACGTCGTAGCTTAAGATAAAACCAGTAGAGCCCATCCTCCCCAAGGTCTAAGGCGTAAGAACCCACCCCTACCTCTCTTCCCACTCCCAAGATATTTTATTGCTCTAATTTTCTTAAAAACAGAGCAAGTTTATAATAAATAGAATTAGATAAATAGTAGATCATACACAATTACATGCGCTGCGGTCTGTTTCATGTTTTCTCCTTGTCCCTTAGTATGAAACTTTTCAATCAGAAAAT